GGGTTGCAAAAACCCTAGCGTTTTTGTTAATAAGGTTTTATTTACGAAAGCTTTATAACCTTTGGGTAATTAAAAAGAAACTTTCGGCAACGGTTAAAGTTAGGGCGGGGCTTTGGAAGCAATTAAAAATAAGCCAAAAAATTGCTAAAAAAGCGAATAATATGTACAAAAAGTACTATAACAAAGGCAGGACCCCGGTGCTTTTCGGGGTAAGCAATTAAGTGCTATTAAATACGGCGAACATTAAAATAAAAAGGCCGTTGAAAAAGCTATCGAACAAGTGGTTGGAACCTTTCCAAATCCTAAAAATGGTTGGGTTAGCCGGTTTGGCGTTCCGGTTAAAGCTCCCGGTAAGTTACCGAATACACAACGTATTCCCGGCAAATTTATTGCGGGCGTTTAAAAAAAGGCCCGGCGAAAAACCAAAAAATAAAAAACCAAAAATCGAAAAAAAAAAAAGATCGCTTCGAAATAAAGGCCTTGCTAAAATATAAAGGGCTTTTGCGGAAACGAAAATACTTGGTTAAATGGATAAGTTACAACGAATCGGAAAATTCGTAAATTCCAAAAAGGGATATTACAAAAAAGATTGTTTAAACGTATAAAGCAAGCTTATTAAAAATAAGCTTATAAAATAAGGAAAATACCGGACTTTAGCGGGTAAATACCCGGAAAAAACGGGGGTATTACAAAAAAAGAATAACAAAAGCCAAAAAAATGGCTTAAAGGAATGTTTTAACGTACCGAACCGGCTAGCCACCGAAAAAGAACGTAAAAAAACCCGTAAACGGTTTGTAATAGCCGTAAAATATCGTACCCCATAAACAAAAAGTTAAATAAGGACGGTATAATACGGGGAACGTTTTAAATTAATGGTGCAACATACTTAAATCCCAAAGGACATGCAAGGTATAGCATATTTCGGAAAGCCCGTAAAAGGCATGCTTAGCGCGATACGCCAAAGCAATTACCGTACTTTAAACGTACGTTATGGTGAAAAATACCATTGCTTGCCCGGAAAGGAAATGGGAAAACCTCCGGATAGTACGGCGGACGGGCTTAAGCGTTCGGGTAGCGGTAAATGCATGTCGGCGGTATTTAAACCCATTAAAAAGCAAGGAAAAAACATTTTAAAACTATTTATTAAAGCATTAAAACCCAATTAGTAATTAAAAACATTGGGATTTTGCAATGCTGTAAAAGCAATATAACAAAAGGAAATTATAATTTTAATTGTAACAAATTAACGAAAAAAACTTAAAATTAACCACCTTTCGAAAAGGGAATACCAATAATTAATTAGGAAAATATGTAAAAAAAATCGATTAAATGCCGTATCCAAAGGAACCAAAACCTCCGGAAACCACGTCCTTTTCGCTGGCGCTACAATCGTTGCCGCTAAAATCGTCGGCGCCGAAAGCGGCACCTCCCGGCGCCAATACGGACGCCGCACCCTTACGGGGAACCGCGCGGCTGTAAGCCTAAGTATTTAAACACGCCGCAATCGTAGCAAGGCTAGCGGCAATGCCACCAAAAAAAGCAATTACACTTTCTTCGAAACGCTTAAAAAACGCCTTTACCTCGTTAAAGGAATTACCAATGCCAGCCAAAGCTTAAGCTTGCCTTTTCGTTTAAACGGCGATAGCGTAAAGTTATTGGAAAATGTTTTAAATAGCTTTTAATATCGCAGCGCTAACAATTTTGCGCTAAATGCGCTTTTAAATAACGGTTTAACGTTCGTAGCGCGCAAATTGCTCGGCCGATATGGTATGGAAGGATTTAACCTTTTAAATAGCTTTACGGGCGCGAAATTAAACTTTGGTAAGCTTTTCGAAAAGCTCCGGTATTGCTTTAAGCAACCGCTTATAAACGGTATTTAAAATTTTGTAAAGGTTTTGGGCCATTTTTTAAAACTATTTAAAAAGTTTAACGCAAACCTTATTGCTAACCACGTTTTTGCAATAAATATATTTAAAAAACCCCGTACAATTATCGAAACATATCGGTATACGGGGGTTAACGGCATAATTTTAATATGCTTAACAATTAAAATAACGGCTATAAAATACCGTACGTTCCGTATAATTGTTTTTAAAAAGGGGCAAACAAATAAAATTCCAATTATCGCTTTATTGGGAATCGATAACCTTCCGCAACGGGAACGCGTTGCAAATACCTATATAAAGCGAAAAAAAGGCAATGTCCGTTTCGGGGGCAAATTTATTAAAATCGAAAGCGTTGCGGCGGCGTTCGTTACGCGCTTTACGCTTTTTTTTAGCGAAAGTTTTTTTGCCGCGGCGGTTAAAACCCGCCGGGGGGTTACCGGCAAAACGTTTGCGGAAATTTTAAAAAGCTGCAAACGCAAAAGGGCCCGATGAACCCGCAACATTTAAAAAGCTTACCGAAAGGTTACCGGCAAAACGATCGTTAAGGATTTAAAGGATTAAAAGCTCCGGCGAAACCGAATCCGAATCCAATTAAACCACAATAGCTAAAAAGGATACCGGGGGGTCGCTAAAAAGGGCTAGCGGGCCGGTTGGAACCGAAAAACCCGAAACGAATACCCAAAGGAATATTATTTTCCTTACGTAATTGGGTACAAAGGATAACATTTGCAGCTACCGGTTAAATCCAAGTATTTAAAAAGAGCGGTTAAATACTAATTACTTACGGTTACAATCGTTAAAATTGTTGGAATGGTTATTAAATGCACAAAAAGGAAAAAAAAGGGTTCGTAACCTTAAACGGGAAAAAAAGCTTTTTATATACCGGTACGGACCCATTTTTTCGAATGCTACAAAGCTTTATAGCCGGTTTCTTTAAGCGTTGCCGGGCATTGGGGCGATTTAGCGGGATACCGTAAATTACCGGCTATTTACGGGGTCGTACGCGCGGCATAAGCGGCTTAGGATAAGCCGTATCGGAAAAGGGCAATATATTAAAAGCACGGGCGAAACCGCCCGGCAAAAAGCGGGAAGCGTTAAATGCACGGGCGAAACCGCCCGGCAAAAAAGGAAAAAGGGAGCGCTAGCAGCCAGCCGGGCACGGACCCCCCGGGGACATGCCGGCGAGTTACCGGTATTGCGGTTAAAGTATAATGGCGAAGCTAAAAGATAAGGTAAAATTTAAATTGCACGAAAGCGCTTGGAGCGCGAAGGACTTAAAAGACCGACCCCGGGTGCCCGAAAGGGCACGAGGGAAGGGGAGGTTAAAAAAGGAACAATTTTTGTTGGCGATAGCACTTTTGGTAGGAAATTTACGAAAGCCTAACAAAGGAAACACCGCATCCGGCCCGTAACCCGGTAACCACCCGCCTTTGCACCGATTAACCCTTAACACGGTGTTGGCCGCCGCGCACGGTCGGGGCGCGTTAAGCAGGTTTGGAACCTGTTACTTTCGTTATAACTTTGTCGAAATACCCCCGGAAAGTTTTTAATTCCTTTTCGGATAAAAGATAAATGCTTTCGTAAAGCGGCATCGTTCCTTTTTCCAATTTAATTGCGTAATTTTAGCTTATATATTTTAGCAAAAGGTTCGATTTATAAAGCTGCGCATATTTTGTAACCATTTTTTTAACTTATTCCGGAAAAGCTTTTAGCTTTTCCCCGGGGTTTTCCGGGGTTTCCAAACGTGCAATCGTTAGCACGGTTATCGCTTGTTTCAATTAAACCAGCCCTTTAGCTATTTTTAACAAAATCATTTTAACCTTTTTGGTAATTACCGGAAACCTTTACTTTATATCCTTAAACCGGATTTTAATATCCTTTTGCTGGAATTAAAGCATGCTTAACGTAATGTTATACCCAGCCCGAAGCATTACCACGTAAAATATTACTAACTTTCGGGTTATTTTTTAGCTATCCGTTACCCGAATTTTATATTTTTTTACCTTTAACGTAAGCATGCGTTTTTTGGTATCGAATTACGCTAAATAACTTTCGTTTAGTACCGGTATTTTTTTTGCTTCCACTAAAAAACGGTTATACAGCAAATTAACGTTATTCCCATTATTAACCAGCGCTTTTAACTTTACCCGGCAACCGTTAATCCGTAAATATACTTCGGTTTTTTAGCGCGTTTTAATTGTTAAAGCGCATTTTTAAACCCCGGTGTTTAAACGGTTAAGCAACGGTGTCGAATTGGGTAACGATATTTTGCTTTTTTTAAGGTACGCCGGCCGGATATGGCTTAGCTTTTTACACCCGTAACACCGTATTTCGGGCCTTTTCCCCTTCGCTTTTTATGTAATTGCTGGGGCCGATAGGGTTTCCGGGTTATTCGTTCGTATTTTGCATGCTGCAACGATATGGTTTAACTGCCCGTACTTAAAGCAAGTAACCGGTTTTTTAACGGTTAAAGCACCGGTATTTCCCGATATCCTTTTGTGCAATTCCGATATTATTTTTGTTTTAAAAGCTTTAGCTTGCAATTTTTCCATGGTGTAAAAAAAGCTTTTAAATATTACCCGTTTTTAAATTTCGGGGCGGAACCGGTTAAGCAGCAATATCGTTTTCGTCCATTTAAACGCTAGTTTGGGAAAGTTGTTTTTTACTAAATTTTAACGAATTCGAAACGCTTCGAACAATTTGTACTTTTTTTATTTAATAGCGGTATCCCCCGCAAGCTTTTTAATTGCTTGCTATATCCGCAAATCGGGGTTTTTTAACTTTGTTTAAAGCTATTGCAAAAAATTAATTTAAGTAAGCAATACCCCGGTATTTAAGTAATGCATTTGCTTGTATTTTGTTTATTGTGCTTATTGCCGATAATTAAAAGTGCTAAAAGCTATTTAAACCTTTACAAAAATTTTACCGTAACATTCCTTTTTGCTTTCGAAAATAAATTTGTAATTGTTAATGTAATAAGCAATATTTTGCTATATTGCAAATATTTTAAATATGGGCGGTTTAAAAGTAATTTTGCTTTACGTAAAACCTTTCCGTTGCTTAAAAATAATTTTTTTATTTTCGTTTAAGCCTTTATGCGCATGCTTTAACCTTTTATTTTGGATTTTTTAAATTAAACGGGCGCATTTGCTTTAAATTTCTAACGCGTCGTTTATTTTTTGCAGCTTTTTTACGAAAAGGTTTTTGAAATCGTCGAAAATTTACAAAGTTCCTTTAATATTTTGTTCCGGTAGCTTAACGGCCCTTTCCAACGTGCTTAACGTAGCGTTAAACGTTATTATAGGCGGTACGAAATTGCAAATGCCTTTTTTAAGCTTGTTCGATCCTTTCCAATAATTATTTAGGCTTGTTTTTTAAATAAAAAAGGTGTAAAAAAAAGAACAATATGTTAAGGGTTAATCGGTGCAAAGGCGGGTGGTTACCGGGTTACGGGCCGGATACGGTATTTCCTTTGTTAAACCTCCGTAAATTTCTTACCAAAAGTGTTATCGCCAACAAAAATTGTTCTTTTTTTAACTTCCCTTTCCTTTGTGCCCTTTTGGGCACGCGGGGTCGGTTTTATAAATCCTCCGCGCTTTATACGCCTTCGTGCAATTTAAGCTTTACCTTATCTTTTAACTTTGCTATTATGCTTTGGCCGCGACACCGGCACCTCGCCGGCACGTTATTGGAAGGGTCCGTGCCCGGCCAACTGTGCCAATGCCCCCTTCCTCCTTTCTGCCGGGCGGTTTCGCCCGTGCTCTTAACACAAACCTTGGCATTAAATAGCTTTAAGCCTTTAAGTAAATGCTTAAAGCGTTAATTACCCATAAAAAGGAATCTTCCCTTTCGTTATTTACAAATACGGTAATAAAGGAAAAGCTTTTCCGTATAAGTAAAATACCGCATATATTAAGCATAAAAAAGTTAAATTTATTGGTTTTATACGTGCAATTAAATGCAATAACGTCGGGCGCTATTGCAAATAGCTTTAAAACGGAAAAGGGTGCAAAAAATAATCGTTCGATGCGGCTGGCTTTGTTGCGCCAATTTCGATAATAAATTTCCGTTAAGCCATTTAATTACTAAAAAAAATAAAGCACAAAGCTAAATTAACGCTATTAATTAATAAAGGGTATGGCATGCTGGGGAATTATATCGAAAAGCTATTAAATTAGCGTGCGCCCGGTTAATTCGTACCTTCGTTAAGCTTGCAAATAATTATACAAATCCCTTTTCCGGAAATTAACTTTAAAACCCCCATCCTTTTCCTTTGCTTTAAAGCTTGCTATAATTGCTGCCAAACGGAAGCTAGCTTTCCAAAAAGCAAAAATCCGTCCTTTCCAAACTTGCAAAAACTCCCGCTTAAAGCTCGAAAAAGCGGCAAGGTCGTCGGCGAAAAAATGGTTGTATTTAACGTTAGTAAGCCGAATTTCGATCCAGCCGTTGGCCGTGCGCCGGAAAGCCGTTTGCTAAGCACAATTCGTTTTTTTCGTGCTTGTTTTACGTTTTTTTGCTTCGTACGTATGCTTAACGGAAGCGGTTGGGTTAAAAGTGCCCGCTTTGGCGCATTGCAATTGGGTGCGGGTAATTTCGTTAAAAGCTTTGTTTTGGTAATTATCCTTTAGCATTAAGCTATAGCTTTTCGCGTGCGCGCGCGCTTTTAAAATATCGAAAGCTTTATCGCGCAAAGGCCAAATAACGGTAAAAGGCATTATCGATCGGAATAAGGCCGAATTAATAAAAATCGCCGGTTTTTTTGGTATTAAAGGTTAACGTTGTTGCAAAAATTAAAAAGGCGGAAAAAAAAAAATTAAAAGTTAAGCTTTAATAAAGAAAGCGGGCTTTTAATGGGTTGGGCCAGGCCGGATTTATGCCTGGATCTGTTTGTTAACCGGTGCAAAAAGGAACGGCCGTGCCAACGACCGTACAATACGGGGAATTAAACTAGTAACTTTATAAATTAACGTAATTAACATAGGAAAACATCGCTTGCCATTTGGGTACATTTAATTTGGCTTGTGGGACGGTATGCGGCGATGCTCGCACGTGTGCACGGATAAACACGGGGTTAAATAGCAATACGTACGGGGTAATATAACACTTCCTTATCGAAATCGATAAGGTTGTTGTGGTTTTTTTTGTATTGGTTGTTTATCGGCGTTATTGATATTGGTTAATTAGGCTTATCGGCCCTTATCGGATTTCGATCCTGGCAAGCCAGGGGCTTAAAAACAAAAAGTCCTTGTGGTTTCGACGGGATTCGAACCCGTGGTCCTGGCGGGACCGGCCTGGTGCGAAACCACTGCACCACGAAGCCTAATTATTTAATTAAATATACGAAATAATTTAACAAATAATGCGCAAATTTTAACGTTTTTCGATAAAATGTACTGCAAAGCGCATTTGGGTTAAATGGCGGAATTACTTTTTGCATTTAACCAAATGGAACGCTGGTAAATTTAAGCACCAGTCGTGCCACGGGTGGGCGTTTAATTTGTGTGGCGGGCACCAGTCGAGTGGTGCTTGGCGGGCGATTGATTTTGGTGCGGGCACCAGCCGAATGGTGCCGTGCCTTTTTTGGACGGGCGTGGAGCACCAGTCGGTGGGTGCCGTGTCCTCCGCCCCCCAAGTGCTGTCGGCAACCAACGAGGCCAAGCTGTCCCCTCCGGGGCCGTGCGACACCCTGCCGACGGCCAGCTGCACGAGGACCAGCCAGTGTCTTTCGCGCTAGTTGGCGGGCGGGCACCCGCGGCACGGCGCCCGTATACCAGGTGCAGAGCGTTGGCGCTGTGCCACCAGTGGATCAAGCTCGACCTCCCCCTCTGGGGGCTGGCCATCTTCTCCGGGGACGAGTGGGAGGCACACGACACCGACACTGAGGAGCGCAGCTCGATCCGCCACATGGCCGACCAGATGATTTGGTACGCGACTGTGCTGGCCAACATGCTGGGAGCCCGCAGCACCCCAGACTGCCCGAGTTCGTCGACATCAACCAACAGCCAACGCGCTGGGCCGAGGCCGGCGTCCATGGGTCCCTGGGCCACCTCTAATCGTAGCCTGCCGTGTCGCTGCGGCTGCAGAGCAGCAGGCCGAGGGAGTGGCACAGTACCTACTCCGTCGAGCCCACCATCTCGACCTGGGAGGCCGACCCCATAGCCAACGGCGCCATGTTTATGGCGCTGACCGACACGGACATGTACACTGTCAGCTTCGTCTTGTTTAGAGTTGTGCCCAGATGGGGGCCAGACTGGCCGGCTGTTGCTTTGTATATAGCTGCCTCCGTCGGTCAAGGTTGAAACTAGGGTGCAATGTCCAATAGAAATGATTTAAAGACGGTTATGCTGCAGGCCTTCTCGCTGAGGTTGTGGCTATCCAAGCGGACCGCTGAATCTCTCCTGCGTTGCTGGACTCCATCACCGGGCGCACAATGAATTTGCTCGTGGTCACTTCGAACCCTGGACATAAAGCAATATCGACAACAGCATCTGGTCGCCACGGAATGGCCAGCTCAAATTGGCGTGGTGGCGTCACGCGGCTGATCGCTTACATTAACTGCCGCCATTATACATTACGGTGCATGTCCAGCTTCTTCATCACCGGACTCGTGTCCCCCGTCCTCGTCCTCCCCCACCCAGTCCGCACTTTCCAAGCCGTCCCCTCGGATGGCGAGACTGCCAAACCAGCCGAGCAATGCGACACCCCCAAACAGACCCCAGGCCAACAGCTCACCAAGTGGGCGGACCTGGCTGGCCAGTGTGAAGAGACCCCCAGACAGAAAGGGGCCGATGCTCCGCCCGGCGGCTGAAAGCGTCTGGGCGATGCCGTTCAGTGTGCCCAATGTCTCGTGCGAGGGGGCCGAGTTGTTGATCTGCGATGGATGCTGTGTGTCAGTGGGCAAATGAGAGCCAGGCCAAGATGTACACAGTCCCAATACAAGTGTACTCACCAAAAGCATAACACTGGACAGCCCTCCAACGGCGCAAATGCTCTTTAGGACGAGGACAATGCATAGCTCCGTGTATAGCCAGGCTTTGCCGGTCCCAAGGCCAAAAAGAGGCTCGTCCCCGTCGCTTCCTATCCAGGGCATCAAAGCATTGCTAATGGCCAGGCCAAGAAGAGCAAACTGGTAGGTTCGAAGGTTGCCCATTCGGGCCTTGAGTGGTTGGAACAAGGAAATCTGAAATAGTATCGTGGCGAAACCGGCAAACGAAAGAAGCAACCCAATGGTTTCCGGCGAGAGCTCCCGACCGGTGGGCTTAGGCGCCGAGGCGAAAATGGGGTATAAACTGTTGAAAGAAATATTCGCGAGCTGAAAGACCAGGTAGGTCGTCAGCACGATCATGGTGCGGTGGTTCAGCAGCTGTCGGAAGACTGAGCGCTGGCCAAAAGCCGAGTGCTTATCGTCGGCGTCGATGGCAGATGCGTTAGTCCCCACTCGCTCGTGCCCGCGCCGGGAGCCAAACAGAGGACTCCCTTCACTGCTTCCCCCAGGCGCGTCGAGCGGGGTCAGCGGATCGATCTCGTCAAGGTCATCATCGTAGTCGTTAGTGCCGGCCTGACGTCGACTCGAGCTCGTCGGCCACCTCGTGCTCCAGGAAGCCATACGCTCGCGCGGGTTTTCGGGCTTGCCCCACAGCCGGGCAGCCACGGATCGGGTCCAAGCAAAGCCGGGCAGGTCACCCTTGCGGTCGGCCTCGTCCATAGTCTCGTCGAACCAGATAGCCAGCACGATGACGGCAGCAACCAGCAGGGCAGCAGACGCCGCGTTGGGGAGCAAGAAGGGGTATACATATTCCAGCAAGTCGGCGCCGTCAGGGACGAGAAGGCCACCCAGGGCAGGCCCCGTGATGCCACCAATGCTATACATCACGGGGAGCCATGTGAAGGCGCGGCTCTGGTTGGAGCGGTCCGTCAGCTCGCCGAGACATGTGGGCACGACGGCGGCGTTGCCGTTGAGCAGGCCCATGGCGACATGAACAACAACCATGTGCCAGTAGCGGGTGCAAAAGCCAAACGCGACGAAGCATGCGGCGAGCAGGGCGGACCCCAGCAGCATCACGGGCTTGCGACCAACCCGATCGGACATGGCGCCCCATATCAGATTGGTTGCCAGCTGCGCCAGGGCAAAAGCTGATGCCAGAAGGCCGACGTACAGCCCCGTCTGGTCCTCGGGTATATCTTCCATGGCGCGGACCATGGTGGGCAGGTATGGCGATATGGAGTTGAGCGCAGTCTGCTCTGCGAGGCTGAGCAGGGCCAGCAGGGTGAGCTGTCGGAGGGGCAGTGGTGTCGGGCCGTGGACGTGGGCGGCGGCGTCGGCCTCGTCGCCGTCGGAAAGGGTGTCGTCGGCGGCGTCGGAGCCTGCGGCATCGTCGAAGGAGCGGTTGGGGTCTCCGGGAGTCTTGGGCGGGGCGGTTGGGAAGGTCTGGTAGCCCGAGCTGCGGCGCAGGCTGGCGGCCAGCGAGGAGCGGCGGCGCGACCCCCAAAAGCCGCCATCGTCGTAGGAGGTAATCGAAGGAAAGGGAGAGCCGGCGTGGAAGGAGCCCGAGGCCAGGCGAACCGAGGGTCGAGACGCGGAGGAGGCAGCGGGCGCCGACGCGGCGGCGGCGCCGATCAGGTTGGGGTGCACCATCTCAGGGGAGGGAGTGCAAGGCTCAGCAACAGGTGCCGGCCGGAGAACGGGAGGGGGTCGCGTCGGCAGTCGAGGCTATCATGCGCGAGGCCAATTAGTACCAAGATAGCTCAAGGGATGCGCTGTAGGGAAACTAGAACTGGAACTGGAGCCGGACAAGGCAATTTCGTGAGCTTGAGCTCATCATTCGCTCGCTTCAATGCAACGCTGCAGGATTTTTCGCCGAGGTGCGGGGGGCTTTAGTGGGCTAGCGTCTGTGCTGGGCACCACAAGACATAGCAGCGCAACGACGTCAACGAAGGGCGCGGGCGGATCGACGCTGATCACGCCTGGGCGAGACACTAGCAGCGCCCATAAATAGTGTCGACACGCCAACGGTGCCGGGCATTTGTCGGGGGCAAGGGGCGACAGGCTGCATGGTTTCTGCACGTCGCGCGAGGTGGAATCTCGGCTTTTGTGGTCGGGTTGTGTGTTTGGATTTGGATCCCGTTGAATGATTTGTGCTACGCAGGCGCTGCCGCAGTCGGTAATGCCGGCCGAGGGTGCGAGGGGTGCTGTGGTCATGCATGTCATGTCCCCATCAATTGATCTAAAGCCCACTAACCTAGCCTGTTGGGTGGGTCGTCGCCTCGCCCGTGTTTCAGTCGGATGGCCAGAACATTAACTTGGACACCATGTGCGAGGCTTGTGCTAATTCCTAAGGCAGTTCAACCTCCCGCTTGATTTTCCATTTTTCGTTTCCTAATCCCTAGTTACACCCTTCCTCCTGTCTGGCCATTGCGTCCTGCAGCGCAAGAGCTCTCGTCCGTAGATACTGATGCCTCCTTCATATCCGAACCTGGCTGCTTCTTGCTTGCTCTCACTGCTTGGCCACCGCGGCGGCGAGGTCAGACAGAGCCTCGCGACGCTTGAACTTGGCATCCTCGATGACTCCTGTGATTTTGCGTCCATGTCAGTACTCGGTCAACATCTTCCTCTAGTTGTTGTCGCCATGTCTTGGCTGGGGTTCCACGGCCTGTTTTGGACTGGGCCTGGACCCAACAGCTTACCAGCATCGGCATCACTCGAGAACTGGCCGCTCCACTGCACAAACGTGTGGCCTTCGTGCTTGCCCGACGTGATGGGAAAGAGGCGCACGGTGCTGAGGACCGACGTGTACGACAGCTCGGGTGAGGCCGTGATAACCGAGTAGGTGATGTAGTGGTTGATGGTCTGTTTCTCGTCAGCCTGTGTGCATCCATGCCTCGTCGGTCCTGGGAAGCCGCCCTACCGAGTGCTCCTCCTGCTTGACCTCGAGGACGGTGCCGTCCTTGAACGTCCACTTGACCAGGTCCGTGTCGGGCGAAGCGCCCTTGACCCATTCGCTCTTGTCGAGCTTGCTCCAGAACTTGCCAAAGTCCTGCAGCTTGATTAGGTGCCAGACCTGCGCGAGCGACGCGTCGATAACGGCCGACTCGACCACGCTGGCGGCTGTGGGGATCTGCGAAGCCATGGTGATTTTTGCTGCTTTGGAGTAACTGCCACTGCTGGTGCTTCGAAAATTCGATTGTTGGTGGTGGAATCTCAGTATCTGCCGTGTTTGTCCGACCAGAAAGTGTTGCCCGGCGTTGTTTTTTCGTCGGCCGCGAAGTGCGTGCATGGGATGGTACTTTAGTAGCCTGCCCGCACTTGCATGATGACGTCGGTCTGCACTCAAGCACCCGTGAATGCGGCAGGTGGGGACGCCACCTTGATGGCCCAGACGGACCTGCCAAGCGTCAGGGGTGTTGACACTAGGCTTTCTGAGTCGCTGGCAACTATCCAACAAGCAGTCACAAATCAAATCGAGGCTCGAGATTCGGTGCTTGATAAAACAACAGACCAAGTTTCTAGCTCGAGGGACATGGCGTCAAAATACCGCAGCTCCCCCCCGCCAACGTCAGTTACACCACCAATAAACCCCCGTCAGTCCCAGCGACGGTCCCCGATGCGTTCCCATCTTTCATCGACCACAGGTACGCCTCGGCAACGTCCTCGACCTGGCCCACTTTGCCCGTGGGCACCGTGGCCTCAACGGACTCCATCCAGCTCTTCTTGGCCTCGGCGCCCAGCCCGTCCAGCAAGCCCGTGTCCACGAGCCCGGGCCGCACCATGTTGACTCGAACCGGCGCCATCTCGACTGCCAGCGCCCGCGTCACGGCCTGGATGCCGCCGCACAGGAACGAGGCTATGGCGAGCCCCTTAGCGGGCCGCTCTGAGAGGGTCCCTCCTGTCAGCGTCAAGCTGGAAGCGCGCGTCGATGGCAGGTGCCGCACCGCGACCTTGGCAACCATCAGCGGCGCGATCATGCGGAGCTGGATTGCGGCGTGAGCCTGCGCGGGTTGGAACTCGCTCAGGGGCGTCATCGGAATGCTGTCGCCGGCCGTGTAGACGACGTGGTCTACCGGGCCCGCCTGCTTGGCAGACTGGAAAAGCTGCTCCAGGTTCGTTTCGATGGTGTCCTTGGCTGAGAGGTCGATCGCGATGCCCGAAATGCGCTGACCGACGGCGCCTGTCGAGGATTGTAGTTCACGGACGGCTGAATCTAAACGGGCCTTGGACGACGACGAGATGGTGACTCGAGCGCCGGCCTCAAGTGACGCAGCCGCAACTGCCTTGCCAATGCCAGCGGAACCACCGATGACAAGCACATGCTTGTCCTGGAGCTTGTTGTACTTGGCCATGGCGGATGCGATAAGTCCTGCGTTTTTAAGCACAGTGGGTTCTAAGGGTGTGGAATTTAATGTCATAATAGTCATAAACTCAGCCGGGAGACGGTTGACAAAGCTGATTTATATACGTGTACCATCTTGGCACAACCTGCGAAACCAACGGGGTCGTGTCGGATCCAACCATTTCTAATCTCCGTGATGCCTTCTTATGCGTCTGCGTCGGGTATATCACTTTTCTAGTTTATCTCCGCAACAGCGCACACGTTTAGTCAGGGTCAATTCAACACTTATTCAGCACACATCCTCTTCAGTGCTTTCCGCGGCCCAGTCAGTGCAAGAGCGTGGGGTTGCGTAAACTTCGGCCCCAACCAGTAAATGCACAAAAATACCCAGAGTCGCGGCAATATCTTCTCTTTTTAAGTAATGCTCCCTACGCATAAAATATCATTGAAGAAAATTCTTCACGCTCCCACCAATGTTTTTCAGATCCAGCAGAAAAGTGTCGTGCCCAAACTTGCTCTGCTCCTCGCTCAGCTCGACGTGCGTGACCCTGCGGTTCCCCACAAGCCGCAGCGTGTCAGCCACTTCGCGCTGCTGCCAGGCCGGAAACAGAATGTCACTCGCCACCCCCATGACGAGTGTTGGTGTATCTCTAAGCACGGAGAGACCCCTGATTAAATCCGCAGATGGCTGCGGTGAAGTCGGGCCCACTGCCCCCAAGCTGTTGGATGGCGTCGCCTCCGCGTCTGTGGATTCCCCTTGTTCTTCGTAGGGAATTTCAGGCAGTGTCAAGCTGCAGGCCGCCATCTCAGCAGGTGACGCCTGCTCGCCTGATGTCAGACGTTGCTCGCGCTCGGCTCTCCTGGCAGCGGCAGCAGCCTGTGTTTCGGCGCCCAGGTCGAACAGGTCCATTGCCTTGCTGACGTAAAGGAGGCTGTTCGGGTCATAAGTCAGGCAGAACTTCTCGCCAGCGTGGTCGAGGTATGTCTCGATGAGGAAGTCGGGGCACAGCGCGGGGGGCTTGGTCGGGTCGGCGCGACGGCGGCCGAAGCGCTGCTCCCACTCGGGACCGGATCGATAGGTGACAGTGGCAATCTCGCGTGCTAGCTTCATGCCGGCGTGGGGCGGGACGCGGCCGCCGTCGTAGTAGAAGCCGCGGTTCCAGTTGGGGTCCATCATGAGCACCTGTCGTTGCGTGTGGCGCATGGCAATACTGTATGGGTGACTGCGAGCGCAACCGCTGATGCTGACGACACGGCCCACGCGCGCTGGAAACAACGTGGCGGCGGCCAGCGACTGCATGCCGCCCATCGAGGAACCAACAGACGCGTGTAGGCGACGGATGCCCAGGGAGTCCAGCAGTCGGAATTGAGCGCGCACCATGTCTTCGAGAGTTAGGATCGGGAAACGGGTGGCGTAGCGGGCACCGTCCGCCGGGTCGACGCTAGAGGGGCCGGTGGAGCCATAGCAGCCGCCGATAACGTTGGTGCAGATAACAAAATACTTGTCTGTGTCAAGGGCACAGCCGGGGCCAATGAAGCGCTCCCACCAACCAGGCTGCGGGTTGGCATCGGTCGACTTGGCGTGTGATGATGCCGATAGGCCTGTGTGGAGGAGGATGGCGTTGGAGCGGTCGGCGTTGAGAGCGCCCCAGGTTTCGTAGGCGACATGGAACTCGGGGAGAATGCCGCCCCAGTCGAGCAGCAACGGTTCGAGGCAGTGGAAGTCGAGGGTCGCGCCAGCCGTGTACGAGGGCTCGGGGCCTGTTGAATCGGATCGACCGGTCGAGGCTGAACGGGCAGCGGCCTCGCTAAGCTTCGCGGAGCGGCTTTCGAGGGCGTCGAGGCAGGGGAAGGCCATGGCCGGGTTGGAAGCGCTGCTGCTCCATCGCGCGGGCTGGGAGCGCAGCTTGTTGTGCGGCGGCTGGCTGGACTCGAAGTTCGCGCCTAGGGCGATGCGACTAGTTCGCGGGGCAGGATAAAGAGGTCGGGTAACTTGCGCGAGTCGAGCGCTGATGCATCGTTGGGCCTTCATTTTCTGTTCCTCACAGTGTCACTGCTGGAATATGGGATATAGCAGTGTGATGGGGCGGGAAGTCCCCATCGTCGCGAGAAGCAATTCTCTCCATGTTAGCAAAGATGTTACGCCCGGATGTCGGCCCTGATCGATGGCGTGGAGGCCAGGAAGCCGCCATTTCTGCAAGGCGACACAGATCTCGCCATCGCACGTGATGTGAGGGACTCGGCGGGCTGACCAAGCAATGTGCCGTGTCACGTGTTGGACCACGCCCGTGCCGTCACCTTTGCCTGCTCCTTGTTGGCACGTGCACTCAATGGCGGCCTTTTCGGAACCCGGCAGCGGGGCTGTCCGGAGGTTGGGGATCAATGGAGTGGGGTTTGTCAACGACGCGCGGCAAGAGTTAACAATACGATGGACATTATGTCCACGGAAAGGGAATCACCATCTATGTAATCGAAGTTGGGGTCCAAGCCCCAGTTGACCAATTGCCAATGGTGGCTGTAAGTGGCTGGCTGGTCGGGATGGCCCGCAGCCACGATCTCCACCCCAACGTGGACGCAGCGGGTGCCGTGTTAGCCGGACCCTGTTACGAACCAGATCTCGCTGGGCCTGTTCCGCCTCGTGCCGGCATCGACCCACAGCCGGCCGACGCGGCTGCTTACGCCACCCCCGAGTGACTCGCCCCGCGCATGCCCGTCCCCTTTGCTTCCTTGTCAGGCCCCTTTTTTTTGACCAGCCTTTCTGTCTCCTGCGTGCCTGACCACCTACCCAGCGTGCCAGCAGGCCAGCGCCGTGCTATCGCCCAAGACCTTCGGGCGATCCGCTGCAGCCCAGTCCGCCCAGAGCGCATGACCATGGGCTCCTGGACAACTGGCCCCTTGGCATCTATCCCCATCGCGCGCCCTACCGGGTCCGGCCATTGGACCCGTCGGCTGCGCCCTCCCTCGTAAGCCAAGGTGAAGAGACTGACGCGTCGTTACCGTTTCCGTCCAACCCAGGGAAATTTGTGAATGGGGGAGAGATGAGCCCCACCACACATCGGAAAATCGGGGTCCACGGGCGGGAACGACTTCACTTTCTCACATGAGCCGGGTGGTTTGTTATGCACGCTGCTGTTGCTTACGTTTACGTCCCTGGTGTTGCTCCTCCTGAGACCCTGCTCCCAGTTGCATCTTGGCTTTGGCGGGTTTTCTTTTTTTTTTTGTCGGGGCTTTCGATTTTTCATTTATTTGGTTGCTTTCCTTTCCCAGCGTCGTCTCTTTTTGTTGTCTCGATCCTCCACAGGACAAATCCAACTTCTACATTGCGCACCTAGCAACCCCAACATCCACTTTCGTTCTTCAGTAATTCGTTAACGGCCTACCGTCTTTTGATCATGTCCCAGTACCCTCCTCCCCAGCAGTAAGTCCATGCCATCAATAGAACATGCCACCCGAAGGCGCTATAATACGCGGTTATGATGCTAACCGCTGTCCTTTCACGTTGTTAGGTACCCGCCCCAGGCCTACGGCACGCCGCCGCCGCCTGGCGCTTATGCCTCCCCTCCGCCGCCCCAGGGATACCCTCCCCCGCAGCAGCCGATGGGCTACTACCCGCCCCAGCAGGCACCTCCGCCGCCCGCGGAGGAGCCCAAGAAAGACCGCGGTTGCCTTTACGGGTGGTGAGTGGCGCCACTTGATGATGTGGATTCGTGGCCGCGTTACTTGCACTAATACCACTCGTGTTTCCAGCTTGGCCACCGCATGCTGCTGTTGGCTCTGTGGAGAGTCGTGCATGTGCTGCATTGACTGCTGCTTTGACGTCCTGTGCTGCTGCTGCGACGACTAAACGGCCCGGCCCAGTCATGTTATATCGGGTTCCAGTTTGGACAGCCAAGGAACGAATGAGAATGGCGAGGCCTTGAAACAAGCAGCCACGCCCCAACGCCATTGGACGTTTGGGGGTTGAGACGGGGAACCGATATTTACGAACAACAAATTACAATCGCAACGATGCCGACACCACGCCTGAGTTGAGCGCTCGGTTCGCATGCCAGCATTTGTTTTGTCGCTTTTTTTTCTTTTGGTTTAACTCGCATCGCAATAATACCATTTTGCCCAAGGACGACACTGTTGAACCTCTGGTCCATTGTGATCCTTTCTCGTAGCAATGCCCGAATGGCGCTGACCAGATGTCCTCCGTACCCACTTCTTCCAATGGCAGAACCAAGCATCGAGTCAGCACGTCGTTTCCCCATGGTGGCTGTCGCGCCACTTTGTCGCCACCCGGCAATGCGGGGCCCCTCAATTATGTGAACAGCACAGACTCCACGCGTTCATCCTACGTCACCCCTCTCCTCGCCGTCTACCTAACCCATCTGCTCCAAGGCACACTTGAACCATTCAACGATCAACCTTCAATCCTCCTATCGTCGACATCCTCACCACCTAAATCACTCCAGGTCACCATCTCCGACGCCGAACAAGAGATATCTGCCGTCTCGAGCGCCACCATCTCCGCTTCCCAAATACCCTTCGCCGGCGCTGGCGCCTCCCTCGCTATGATGCGCCCCTTCGGTTTCCCCCTAACGCGACATCCCCGCCCTGTGTCCCATCCTCCGCCCGTGGTAGACTCTCCTCAAGACGACCCTGGTGTTGGTGCCAGCACTACCCCAACAATGCCCGGCAGCTTCCCTGAAAGCGTCACCGTCTCGGCCCCTCACCGGCCCAGCGTGCTGGACGTGGTTGTGGCAAAGGCCATGATGGTGAAAGCCTTGACTCTGCCCCTTGAGCTGGTCAACAGGATCATGGACTTCGCCGAGTACTGGCCACACACGTCGGCACAGCTCGACTATGGCGCCGCCCCCCGCGCGGTTGCTAGGGGCAGCTCCCCTCAAGAAGATGTGTTCCTGGCAAGCAAAACTCGCGGGCCGTCTTCTCTCCCCTCCCACCAGTACTTGCGCTGCTTGACTGACCATGTACCTCTGCCATCGTTCCCAGCTGCGCACTGTTCCCCTCGGCTTGTTTAAGCAGGTAAACCCCGATGCCGACCGCTACAAGACCGAAGAGGCCAAGCTGCTCTGTCTCTCGTCAGAGCACCCGGTCGAGCAGTTCCACAAGTGGATTGGATCGCCTTCCCACACGGTGCAACACCCTTGCCGCAAGGTTGTCTTTACCATCACGAGCAAAGATCAAGGATGGGGCGGCATGCATGGCGACCAGAACACTTATCGACATTCTTGGACTTGGTTTGAGGCAGGGCTGGAGAGGATCGACGCGTCGGGAGAGTGTGAGTAGAGCCATCCCCTTTACTGCTCGGCTGAATGCTCACCGTCTTGAAAACAGGCGGAAGCAACTGTCCCGATCATGCCCGACAGGCTATGAACGAGTCTTCGATCTCGACTCCGCGGCCTGACATCAGTCTCTGCGCCCTGCGCCCCATCGTGCCACCTCTTTCGGGCGAACCCCACGAGCGCCTCCAGATGCGACACCCTACTCACCATATGGAGGAATACATGATCCAGTGCAACAAGACAGCCTCACGCGACGGCCTGCAGACCCACGTTGTTGAATGGCGGGCCGACGACCACATCGATCCAGACACGCCACATGCACAGGAACTGGCCGATAGTGGCCGGGGCAGGGCTACGGGTACGGGCAAGTTTGTGCGAGATCTCAAGCTGGGAGACGTGGTTACTGTTTGGGCAAAGGCAAGGTTCCCCGGCTGGGAAAACAGGCTGAGCTTTCTTAAGGTCGACATGTACTGGGCAGTTTGATGGATTGTAATTATCGTTAACCAATACGCTTTACGTTTATGGAAGATTCGCTCCGGCGCTTTTAGCATTGCGCTTCAGGGGCTTGGTAGCAGGACATTCCAATATCTTTTTCCCATGCGTCAAATCTGTCCATCAACTGCTAAATTTCATAATCGCAGGGTTCCCAATTCTCCACGTCAGAAGATATGGCATCATTATGACGTCCCCATGGAGTCTTTTCCCATGTGACGTCACGACTTGATACTGCAGCACCTTAACGTCCCGAGGTATAAAGAGATGAAATGTCGAGGTTTGAAGGGCGCAGCCACCCATTCCTATCCCAACGAAATACGCTATAACACAACCCCTTGCGTATTCCACACACAATCCACACCACAATGCCACGCGACGGGACCGGAAAAGCTCACAATGCCGTCGATGAGAATGCGACCCAAATCATCCATGGCGACGACCAGCCCGTAAGTTAAGCGCTGACACCCACCTTCTCCATCCCAGCATTAACACCGCTTGTCCCCCGCGGTGTAGGGCAGCAACATCGACAGGTCGGGCAAGGCTGCACCTCCTCCCAAGACAGAGCAGGGCGAGGCCATCGAGGGCATGAAGGCGAGCGGGGGAGGTTCGCAGGGGCTCGCTGAGGGACCCAGCCGGGGACGGAGGCGGATCAAAGGCTGTCTAGGTAGTTAGAATCGTCCGTCACTCACAATGAAACCTGTCCGTAGATGCTTACTCCCTTTTAACAAGAGAATCATAAGTGCTGTGCCGAATTCGGGGCTATTTTCCCTCGCTCCTTGGCAGCATGTACAGCTTTCGGGCGGACCCGATTTGAGGCCGCAAAGTTGCGCAAACTGTGTGGATACTGTGCGCACAAGGCGTCGCGGGAGGACATGGACCTGAATCAGCGCAAGGGTAAATTCCCCGCCAAACTTATCTAATATCTCATCTTGCGATGCGCCTAATGGGGCTATTGTCGGCTGTAAGCACAAAAGTTCACTCGCCAGCCGCCGACGTGGTCGTTGGCGCGGCCGTTCCTTTTTGCACCGGTTGATAGGCAGATCCAGGCACCAAATCCGGCTTGGGCCTGACCCACCAAGGGCCCCACTTTGCTTATTAAGGCCCAACCCCATAATTTTTTCTGTCGATCCTTAACACCAAAAAAACCCGCGATCTTGATAATGCCTTCCGACGCTATTTGACCCTTCCGCAACAAAGCTTTCGATACTTTACCTAGCCATTAAAAGGCCGGCCCCGTTGGCCTGGAAGGGGTCGGGGCCAAGGCAGTGGGCGAGGAGGAAGCACCAGGGCGGACCCCGACCGCTGTCGGGTTAGGATCGGAGACCCCTGCAGCTAATTTGGGAGGTGGGCCCTCGCCCCTAACCTATCTGCCCACACGGGGAGCTGACTTCAGCGCCTCCCGCACGAACACAGTTACGGGGTGAGGGTGATATAGCACTCCTCTTTGAAAAGGGGAGCATATAGCTTCCCTTCCTAAAATACGGGCCTCCTGCCGAGATATATTAGATAAACCTCCTGCCCCGACTCCTAGGAGGAATCCTGCTTCCTTGAGCATCCCTTAAGGTCCTGAATAGTTGTTAGCTTCAGTCTGGACTCATTTCCCAGGCCTGCATTGCACCCTTGTGACAGTTAAGGCTCCAGCATCGTTTTCAAGTCATTATACGCTCGCCCATCATGTCTGACCCGTCGTTGGCAACGCTTTGCGTCCCTGCCACGTTCGGCACGCCCTCTCTTTTCGGAATCTCCGACGTAATGGTTGCGGCATCCGTCGCCAGCATCAATGCCACGTTCGACACCTGGACCTTTTCCCAACCGAAGCGATATGTTTCAACCAGCTTCTGCAACGTAACAGTATCGTACACGCATCCCAAGCAGAACGACTGGGTTTCGGTTGAGGCTTGGCTTCCCGCTCCGGAGGCGTGGAACAACGTCCTCACAGCGGTCGGCGGCGGCGGGATGGGCATGGGCCGCAACTCGGCCAGCTACGGCTTTTTCATGACGACCGCCGTCGATGATGGCTACGCCACCGTTACCACCGACGCAGGCAACCCCGGGGATATTGCCGTTTTGGGCGGTTGGGCCTTCCTCTCCGATGGCAACACGAACCAGGTAGCGCTGCACAACGCGGCGGCGCGCTCGCTCGAAGAGCAGGGACTGCTGGCCAAGCAGCTGGTCGAGGCCATGTACGGGCGCAAGGCGAAGCGATCCTACTTTAGCTCGTGCTCTTAGGGTGGGCGGCAGGGCTTGATGGTTTCGCAGCGGTACCCGGACTTGTACGACGGCATCCTGGCCGCCGCGCCCGCGCTCTCGCTCGACGTCTTCGCGTCCATTCTTTGGCCCCAGCAGTACATGGTCACCCAAGGCCACGTGCCGCACGAGTGCGAGATGCACGCCGTAACCGTCGCCGCCGTGGCGTTTTGCGACACCCTAGACGGCGTCAAGGACGGAGTCGTGGCAGACCCGGCGCTGTGTCTCGAGCGCTTCGACCCGTTTTCCGTTGTCGGCAAAACGGTTAACTGCTCCGACGCCGCCGGCGGGCAAATTACCGTGTCGACCGGCGCAGCGGCCGTGGTTAACGCAACGTGGCACGGCCCCAAGTACGCGGCGAGCGGCAAGCAGGTTTGGCCCGGTTTCCGGCCTGGCGCTGCCATTACGTCCGGCGGGCCGCGGATGAACATTGTCGAATCGGTAGCGAACACGGCCTGCGACGGGAACGGTACCTGCGTTGGGAAGCCGTGGCCCATTGCGGACGTTGGCTTTCGCGCTATGCTTGCCCGAAACATGAGTTTCGACTTGGCCAGTATGACGAGTGCACAATTCGAGCACTTTATTCGCTACGGCCACCATGAGCTGCGTAGCTTCGCGGCAACAGACCCGGATCTTACCGAGTTCCAAAGGGCTGGCGGCAAGATGCTGAGCTATCACGGACTCGTAAGTAGACCCATTGCTGGAATCGAAACGCCACGGTTGCTAACTAGCGTCTCGCAGGCCGACAATATTATCCCGCCCGAGGGCACATCGCAGTACTACCAGCAGGTGACGGCTGTTTCCCCCGACGTGCACGAATTTTACAGGCTCTTCGAGGTGCCCGGGCTCGGGCATTGCTTCAGCGGCAGCTCGGGCCCCCCGGTGGCGCTCTTCAGCCAGCTGCGCGCGTGGGTCGAGAACGGGACGGCGCCGGCGTCCACGGGACACGAGCTGCTGAACGAGGTAACGGGCAAAATCGACAACAGGTTGGCCTGCCCGTTCCCGCACAAGCCGCGGTTCGACGAGGGCTGCGGGGACGTGGGACGAGAGGCGTGCTGGTCGTGTCCAGAGCTGGTGTGAGGGTCATGTTGGGTTGGGTACTGCAGATAGAGAAACAGCTCGTGTGCTTCACACAATAACAAATCTCATCTTCCCATCCATGCCAAAGTGGGGTTTCCTCGCTTGCGTCTGCAAGGTCCACCGCTGGCCTAACTAGTGGAGCCGCACCCTAATTGGCCGACTCGCATTCTGTACCACTCGGCTGTGCTTTTCGGCCGTTGGCGATTTGGGACAGCTCGGTCGCCATTCCTTTCAGCTTCAGCGACGACTCGCCAATCAGCGATGGCCCGCAAAGGCAGCAAAAAGGTCAAGACGGGCTGTCGGACATGCAAGTACGTGGGCTCCATCTGACGTCTATCTGCGGCACGTGGCTCACGCCCTGAACCAGGATCCGCAAGGTCAAATGCGACGAGCAGAGACCCGCCTGCGTCCGCTGCACCAGCACCGGCCGCTCCTGCGACGGCTACGAAGGCCCCCGCGACCGCAGTCCTGCGGCGGCTGACGGCGCTGTCGCCGTCAGCCACAGGCCGCATGCCAAGCTGGCCCCCCGCACCGCCGTCTGGCTCGTCACTGGGCCGCGCCTGTCCGAGCCCGAGAGCCGCTCGTTCCAGCACTACCAGGAGGTCACCGCCCCCGAGTACTCGCGCGTGTGCGACGACTTCTTCTGGCGCGGCGCCGTTATGGTGCTCGGCCAGACGCAGCCCGCCGTCCAGCATGCCCTCATCGCCGTCAGCTCCATCCACGAGCAGTTCCACCTGGCCGCCGCCGGCCCTTCCATCGCCTTTGCCACCCGCCAGTACAATACCGCCATCCGCCACATGATTTCCAAGTCGGCTGTCGACGACGAGCGCGAAACGGGCGCCATCCTGGTCGTGAGCATCCTCTTTGCCACGCTCGAGTTCCTGCTGGGTAACCATGTTATCGCCATCGAGCATTGCCGACACGCCGTCCTGATCTTCAACGGCATGCGGTTCGTCAGCCCTTGGATGAGGAAGAATCTCCTCCCTTTTATCCGCCGCGCAACAACATACCCCTTGTTCCTTGCCGGCCACGTCAACTATGAGCCCTTGCCCGCCCTTGTGGATGATTTTGGAGGCGCCCTCAGCCGCACCACCTTCCAGACGCTGGACGAGGCTCGGGAAGTGCTCCACGGCCTGGCCAGTCAGGCCACCCGCCTCCTGCATCTGGCCAACCCCTTCCGCATCGGCAGCCGCCGAGCAGAGCCGATCCCCGAGTCATTGCGTGCTGAGCACCACGCCGCGCTGGCCGCTCTTGATCGCTGGTCCGAAATGTTTGCCATCTTCAGGGCCCTGCCGCGCGGCGCCTCACCTCCGCGGCAGCAGAGGGAGGACTGGTGCGTCGACCCCCTCACCGAGCTCCAGATGCGGGCTTTAACGGCACGCGCTTGGCTGGCCGCCCACTACGACCTTGACGCCGGCGAGCTGGCCTTTGATGATCACATGGACGACTTCCGCCGCATCAACGATCTGGCACGGTCTATGGTTCAGCGCAAGAACTGCAGCAGCGACGGCGACCAGCAGAGCCACCAGTCGGCCCGATTCAGGTTTGACGTTGGCGTCATGCCGCCACTCTATTTTACCGTCCGCTGGTGTCGCGACCTGGCGGTGCGCCTCGACGCGCTCAGGTTGCTATGCCAGCTCTGCCACGGCGACGAGTGCATTTTTGACATTTACACACTAGCTTCGGCCCTGCGCGCCGTCATCGACCGCGAGCACGCCATCGACCTCGCCTCGCTTCCCTGGCAGGGCGGCGACGGCGTGCACGAGTACCTCCCGGCCTACAGAGACGACATCTCGGCCATGAACCCGCAAGCCTGGGCGGCGCCCGCAGAAAGCGCGCTGGCCAAGCGGCGCGTTTGGGACGCCACCATCATGCCCGAAACAGCGCAGGTGCCAGAGCCGGTCTTTGACGGCAAGGCGACGGAGAAGTGTAGGGTGCGGTATGTGGAGATCGTAAACGATCGTGTGTGTCACACGGACGAGATTGTAACTGTCGTGACTAATTTGACGGCCAACGTTGTGGCCTCGGGGATACACGCGCAGCGCATGGCAGCCTTGAGGAAGTCGGTCCAAAACGCCGACCCCCTGGTTCATGGGCCAGCAATATGGCTAAGTTGGGGTGGCTGTTAACATGTAATCTTTGTTAGTTGGTGGCTTGAAGCGAAATGCATAGCGAGGTTGTATTCCCACGGAGCTGTTCGCCTCCCATCCAGCTTTGTGTGCAGCCATCCTTCGGATCCAGGAGCGTTACAACGCAACAACACAGGAGTGGAGTAAGTAGCCCCATAGGATTGGCTGCTTATGCCGCAACACCAATCCAATCAAGTCTTTGGTAGTATAGTGGTCAGTATGCGAGCTTGTCACGCTCGAGACCCGGGTTCAATTCCCGGCCAGAGAGATTCTTTTTTTGCCCGTTGCCTACATAGCCTTCATCCTGCGATGCTCGCGGAATTGGAGAAGCTCTTTGCACATTAATCACCTCCAGGCACAGATAATTCGCGATATAACAAAGAGTAAATCTAGGGACAGCAAATATTTTACGACAATTCCTATTCTGCATCCAGCGGACACCGCGGAGGGTTGTTGTTAACCTGGATCCCGCCTCGCTTCTTTTCGCCGCTGTCTGGAAATGGCAAAACCCAGCCTCCCTCGCTCTCGGGCGTCGCTAGCCACAGTCGCAGAAGATGCCGCCTCGGGGCTGGGGGAGGGTAGTCTGTCGCAACTTGGTGTCAGCTCTATCTGGGCTGCCATGCCAGGTGCGCAACGATTGTCAACTCACCTTTGTATGCCGTCCTGGCGTGGAAGATGTGCACGTTGCTTAGAAACTGGATGTCGCCCACCTCGAGCACCATGTGCAGCGCCAGCCGCTGGCACGTCTCCTCGAGAATGGTGATGGCGCGCTCCTGCTCGCCGCTCAGGGGCGGGACGAGCCCAGCGTCGGAGAACCGAGCCAAGCTACGGACGTAGTAGGGGTCGAACTTGGAAAACACGCGCCGCCTGCCGCCGGGCTCGATGTAAAACACGGGCTGGCGTGTCCAGCCCTCTTGGCCGTTGCTAACCTCGCCCTTGCGGTCAAAGTACCACACGGGCCGGGTCAGCAGCTCGGCCACGTCCGGGTGGTTCTGCTGGAGGTCGTTCCAGACGGCATGGCTGCTGGCCAGGTCGCTCTCGCCGCCTTCGGCGGCGCGGTGGACGCACAGCAGCCCGACGAGGTCGCCGTCGTCGGCGTGGAAGAACTGGCGGGCGGCGGTGCGGTAGATGCGCACACGGTGCGTCTGCGCCGCGTCGTCGCCCACGTCCTTGACGTGGCCCAGCACGTGGCCGCGCCCGTTCTGCGACACGAAATAGCCCAGATGCGTCCCGAGCCCCATGTAGCCTACCGCCGTCTTTCGCGGGCCCCACGTGTCTGCCGGGAAGCCCTTGAGGAGCACGAAGCCTTTGCCGTCGAGCAAGTCGGCGCGCAGGCTGGAAAGGACCTGGCCGAGCCGCGGGAGCGGGAAGTTGGACTTGCTGATGCCTGTGAGGTCCGTGTCGCTCGCGATGAAGGCGTCGGCCGCGGCGCCTAGCTCCGCGATCTCGGGCCCCGTCAGGCGATGTGTCCAGGCTGCCGGGTCGGCCTCGAAGCGCTCCTTGTGCCAGACAGTGGGTCCCGTGATTTCCTTGGGGAATCTGTCGTACGGCTGCAGGAGCTCGTAGATGGGGTTGTGCTGGCCCGACGTGCGGATGCCGTCTGGGAAGACGGACCGGTTGGCCTCGTGGTTTCGCGTCGCCTTGGACGGCACTGCCGCGGCGGGCTGGGGGTCCGACACGAGGATTCCTGGCGCCATCTTGGGTGTAGAATTGGGCTAAAGTGTATTGTCTCTCCGACAGTCTCTCATAGAACAGGTGGTGAGGGAAATGGTAAAACATGTAAACACAGCAGTCCATGCCCGAATCTCGATCCAGGAGAGGAGACCAGCCAGGTATTAGTACGATTGGCTGTCACAGAGCACCGATTTGCGACGCTATGCCGAGGTCGCATCTTGCGCAACGGCCGGCACTCCTTTCCCAGAACTGGCAGACCTGTTTGAGCAAAAGTTAACAGCTCCATCGCCCAAAAGGTCAGCAGGACGGTCGATGGTGGAAGCTGATTGCGTGATCGCTCTGAGACGATTGCGCGAGACCTCAATGGGTCCAATTCAGGGGAGGGGCCTGCGTTGATGAGGAACGCCAAAAGCTCAGCCCCGCAGCTTGGGGGCAGCTTGACATCAACACCGGTGTGTGTCGCTGTTGCACGAGGACGATATCGGGAAGAGACAATGGCCATCCATTACGTAGCTTTTATCAAATTGTTGATTGCGCTGGCTATGCGTGTATAAGCTCTCCAAACATGAACTGCATTGGTGCGAGGTACTTAGTCAAGCATCAGACAAGCACAATGCCCTCGCCCTCCATCTTGCCCACCTATTCTTGCCATCTTTTCCGTTGCTTCCCGTCGCGGTCTACTCCTCCGACGCCGGCTCAGAAGGCCAGATAAACCAGGCGATGACGATGAAGGTCTTGAGCATGGCGGCAGTCCACAGGGCACCGGCGATGCCGAAGCTGCTGTGGGCCATGAGCCCGCCGCAAAAGGCACCAAAGAGCAGCAGCAGCGGGGCGGCGGCACGGCGGTTTCGCTCGGCGTTGTACAAGCCGAACAGGGCCGGGTCGCTGAAGAGGTCGCAGTAGATGGAGGTCAGCACGACCGAGGTCAGGGCGTTGTACTTGAGGGCGCGGCTGGTGACGGCCTGGCCGCACGACTGGAAGGCGATTAGGGCAATGGGCACTAGCACGTTCCAGGTGATGTCGTGGGCGCCGGCCGCGGGGCCAAAGGTCAGGATCACGGCGGCGGCGGTGCACAGGGCGGCCTGGACGGCGAACGAGGTCACTAGGACCCAGCGCTTCTTGGGGCCGAAGGCGCGGTGGAAGCGGCTGAAGAAGAAGGAGCCGATGCAGAAGAAGCCGAGCGACGTGAGCGACTTGACCCAGCGCGTCGACTCGGACGGGGCGGCGAGCCCGAGGCCGATGTAGACGGTGTTGCCTGTGTGTGTTAGTTCTCGTCTGGGAAGAGCTTGTTGGCGTCGGATCGCTCACCCGTCTGCATCGACACAAATGACCCCCAGATGGAGATGGACGAGCTGTCCAGCAGGCCCGTGATGATGTAGCAAAACAGCAGCACCAAGTCGGCCCAGTCGCGCCGCACGTCGACCGTCAGCTTCTGGCGGACCGACTTCTTGGGGGTGCTGTTGCCATTGCCATTGCGCAGTAGCGACTGCCCCTCGTCGCCGCTAATTGCGCCGGGCAACCTGGCGCCCGCGACGGTGCCATATCCATTTGCAGAGCTCATGTCTGTGCCGGGATGTATAAAGGTAGGAACCCAATATATCAGAGCGTATCAAGGGCCTAGCCTGTGGATGCACAGGGCGGACAGTGACGAGGGAGAAAAAATCGTATGATCTCTGCAGCAAGCGCGGGATGGATGGCTACAGAAAAGAAGGGGAGGGCCAATTGAAGAGTCTGCTAGAGAACTACCCCGACAAGGCATCAGATCGGGGCTTGCTTTAGCCATCGAGACGCGTTTTTTTTGGCCTCGGCACAACTCCTCAGGGTTAGGCATCTTTCGGCCTTCTCTCGGGCGAAATCCGCCAAACAAGATGACATGGAAGGTCGACCAGGGCCCCTCACCCAGGCAGACGTCACAGCTGAGCTTGCCTTCCCCTCTCGACCCCAGTGCTGGACCCAGCGGCGGAAACTCGGGTGACGACGCAGGACTCCCGCTGCTCCCCCACACTCCTCAATGGCTTAGCTCATCCCACCCGGGTCCGTCATCGCTGCGGCCGCGACGATATAAGGCGTGCTGGCGCTTCTCCAATTGAGGGAAAAGGAGGCAGATGCAGTACGAGGAAGCTTCTGCGGGTCGCCAGTAAGCACACACACACGCTCTCATCTCGCTCTATCTTGTGCTCGCTTGGGCGTAGAGATAAGAGGAGAACTGAAGCTTGCCCAAGGTTTCCCCATCTCCCTTACAGCGTTTCGCAGGCCGTTCGTTGTTCTTGCCACTCGTCTTTGCCTTCCCAAGCTTCATCGCTCCGCCGAGAGCTCCCTCCCACACCACAATGCATGTCAAGCAGCTGGTCCTCGGCGCCGCCCTCTCCGGGCTGGTGACCGCCTCTCCCCACCGCGACAGCCCCCAGCAGCGTCTTGCCAAGGGCCTAGAGCTCCCCGACAAGTACTACACGTTCAACAAGAAGGCCGACTCGTCCAAGGAGAAGCCCTACACCCCCGGCCACAGAGATCCGCTCGACCGCTTCATCGACCCGGATCGCGATGGGCTTGACCCTCTGCCCTGGCGCAACGGCGACGGCGCGTCAGTTCTGGGCCCTTGGAACAAGCAGCGCTCGCGCCAGAGCCCCGACATGGTGCGGCCGCCCAGCACCGACCGCGGCAACATCGCAAACATGCGCTGGTCGTTTGCCGACTCGCACATCCGCATCGAGGAGGGCGGCTGGACGCGCCAGACGACGGTGCGCGAGCTCGGCACGTCGACGCAGCTGGCCAGCGTAAACATGCGCCTGGGCCAGGGCGTCATCCGCGAGCTGCACTGGCACAAGGAGGCCGAGTGGGCCTACGTGCTGGACGGCGAGGTCCGCATCACGGGCCTCGACTACGAGGGCGGCAACTTTGTTGACGACCTCAAGAAGGGCGACCTGTGGTACTTCCCGTCGGGTGTCCCGCACTCGCTGCAGGGCCTGAGCGAGAACGGCACCGAGTTCCTGCTCGTCTTTGACGACGGTCGCTTCTCCGAGGAGTCGACCTTTGTGCTGACCGACTGGCTGGCCCACACGCCCAAGTCGGTCATCAGCAAGAACTTCAACCTGCGGCCCGAGATCTTCGAGCACCTGCCCAAGAGCGAGAAGTACATCTTCAAGGGCTCCGTGCCCGGCCCCATCGACGAGGAGCGCCCGCGCGGCAGCCACGTCAAGAAGAGCAGACACCGCTTCAGTCACAAGATGCTGGACCAGGAGCCCATCAAGGCCAGCGGCGGCGAGGTGCGCATCACCGACTCCAAGAACTTCCCCATCTCCAAGACCATCGCCGCCGCCCACGCCATCATCGAGCCGGGCGCCATCCGCGAGATGCACTGGCACCCCAACGCCGACGAGTGGTCCTTTTTCCTGCGCGGCAAGGCCCGCGTCACAATCTTCGCGTCCGAGGGCACCGCCCGCACCTTCAACTATGTGCCGGGAGACGTCGGCATCGTGCCCGCCAACATGGGCCACTTTGTCGAGAACATTGGCGACGAGCCGCTCGAGATGCTCGAGGTGTTCCGCGCCGATGAGTTCCGCGACTTCTCCCTCTTCCAGTGGCTCGGCGACACCCCGCAGCGCCAGGTCGCCGACACGCTGTTTGCCGACGACCCCGAGGCCGCTGAGAAGTTCCTCAAAACCATCAACAACCCCAAGCCCGACCCGGTCGTCAAGTCCGACGCCAACCTGTTTGAGAACTACGGTCGCCAGCCCAAGGGCGAGGCCGAGCAGGCCGCCCCGGAGCTGTGATGGTGGAGTCATATAGCGAACAAGTGAACATTTACGCCAGCATCGCGAGCACCTGGAGTCAGGGATTACAATACTTGGCGTGCCCGAGGCAGTCGCCCATGTTTCCTACGTAGTAAAAATGTATCATCAAAACTAGGCAGATAATCTACGCAGTTGCATTTTGATACCTGATACCTTTTCGTTCTCGAGTCGCCATGTCGGTCGGTTCGGCGAGAGTCATGTGAAAGATCGCCCTGGCGACGTTGGCGCTGTTTCCGATGCGCCCGGATGCGACACCGTGACGTTGCACTGCAGGCTTTGAGCTAGCCAAGCCGGCAGAGGGTGCCGTGTGCCCACTAGGGCTTACGTGGATGTGTGGGCACGAAGAAGCGCTTTCTTGGTCTGATCTTGCCCCCATTGCCCCAGCTCCGGGGCCACCGTCTTGGGTGCGTGCTATTCCCCGACTTCTCAAGGCCTGGGCAACGCTTATCGAGCGGTCCCAGCAGCCAAGCATTGGCCAAGCCCCGGGAACGAGGGTACTTCCCGTTTGGCACACTAGGCTAGACGACGCCGAGGCGGCGCGAGATGACGGAAGACGACCCGGCGCTCTGTTTGGCTGTTGGCGTCGTGATTACTAGCGGTTGGCTTTTGTGAAGGTGTCAGCTCGGTGCGGCGTCGGGATTCGGGGGCCCCGGAGCTTCTGGGGCGAGGAGTCGGCAGATTGGACGCCACGTTCCCAGGATGAGCCACGTCGGTGAAGATTGCTTGGTGCTGCCGAGTTGACCATGGGTGGAGGTGATAGCGCTGCGTCCCAATGCGGACAAAAAACATCAGCTGCACCATGGAAACCAAAACAAAATGTTCACTGGGCCCGGGCACTCGGGGTTAATTCCACGCAGGCTAGCAACGGCATGCTCCTGTAATACGAACTCCGCGACCCCGGAGGATCCCCGCCCCGCGGCTAAGGCTGGCGAAAACCCACAAACGGGTTCTCGTTTGGACCTGTAGGTTTTGGGTCCGGCTTGGACCCAAAAACCCAAATGGGGACTCGTTTACGGGTCTTTAGCACTTTAAGTTTTAAGTAATTAGGTCCCCAATAAGTACCCAAATTAATAAAAAGCCCGTACGTAAATTTTTTTTTTAATTATAATTATTTGTAAAAGTAAAAAATTTAAAGGTAATAACAAAGGTAATAACGTTTTAAACTCGGTTTGTTCGCTTGAACCCAAAAACTACCCAAACCCTAAAAACCCCGACCCGAAAATTACCCAGATTTTGGACCCATTCCTAAATGGACCCAAACCCAAAAACTTATTACCTAAATAGGTCCCCACCCCAAACGGGTCCTTTAGGTTTCCGCTAGCCTTACCTGCAGCTGAGTAAAGACCGGCGCTAGCGGCGACGAAGCTAGCGCCTTAGTTCGATGCATTTCGAAATCATCTTGTATGGTGGGTGATTACGACGGAAGGTGGGTGTAAACGATCGGTATTTATTCCTAGCCCTGCGAGGGAGGGACCGCGCCCCCCCTCCATTTCGTGTGGGGGAACGAACTCGTCCCGTCGGAGAGATTCCCACTTACACCCAGCGGCGGCATCATTACCATCCAGCCACTTCCGGACCACTTCTCCCACAATGAACTGCTGATGGTTGGATACCGGAGCCGGTATAGTTTGGTGCCTGTAAGGCGTGTTAAAGGCAGGTTACATCTGGACTTGACTTGGTCCTAGTCGTCAACCCAGGACATGTCCATCCATCCCCTACTAGAAAGTCTAGAATATGGGGATCTCCCCTTAACGTTAAACGAAAACGATATTTGAAATCACCAGGATTTGTAATCGTGGACAGCAGTTGTGGTGCCATCTCAAGGGGCTGCGGGAGTTAGGACGTGAGCCCGATAGAGGGAAGACGATCTACACAACCCCCAATGGGGGTGGTAAAAAGCAGCAGAGGACAATCGCATCCCGACTGGTGGGCTAGATATGCTTCAAAGCAACCTTCTCGAGCGGAAATCCCCACCTCCTCCTTTCAGAGGTCCTCATGCGACGGACGCTCCGCGCCCTCCAACCTCGCAAAGGTCGTCCTGGCACGCTGGGGAGGGCGTTTTCAGGTCCACGCCTGAGCGGAACCAACACTGCGGGCGCGCATGGAGCATCAGTTGGCCTTGGCCGAGCGGGAGTTAGCCATGTGTGGTCCCCCCAAGGGTGCCAGGCGCTTGTCGACGCCAAGTGATTTTACCGCGGCCGCCGACAATCACAGCTGACGTCGCAGCAGCGTGGATCTGACTGAGGACCTGACTGAGGACCTGACTGAGGACCTGACTGAGGACCTGACTGAGGACCTGACTGAGGACTTGACTGAGGACCTGGCTGGGCTGCCATTTACCGGCGCCTGCATCGAGCGCTCGGAACAGGGAACGAACTCGATTGAATCGAGGGCCTGGCGGTACCCCGCACCCCTCCCGGCTGTGAACCCCCACCGAACCGTGGTGCGGCCGGCATACCCCCGGCTCCAGCCTATAGTTTGATGCTACCTACATACGTCTTCTTCTGGCAGCCCGCGGCTGCCGTCCTGTCGCCCTGCTCGACGCGCAGAAAGTATCGTGTTGTACTCGGTACAACAATAACATGTACGTGCAGGGCGAGGTTGCTGCCAATCCCACCCTCCTCGCCAATCCTTTCCATCGCCCTCCCTCCAACTTGCAAAAAAGTGCCAAACCGGTCATTGTGACATGCCAAGCAACAGTGCCATGGAGGGAGGCGTATGCATTCTGCTGTAGTTCGTGCTTGTTTCGCTCACAACATGTGCATCCCATGTATTGAATGTATCGCTTGTATTGCCCGTATCCCACGTATGCCATCCCATCCCGCCCGTCCGGCTTTGGCTGCGCCCGCAGTGCGGAAATAGGGGCTAAGACAGGGTGAGGGGAAGCTCGTCGGCATGCCGAAATCGCAGGAGGGGATATGCCTGGAGGCTCGGGGCTGTTACTGGGGTGTTTAGGTAGGGTAGGCAGGATGGGAGGGAAAGAAGCAGATTGGCCCGCTGAGCTTCTCGAGAGTCGTGACTTTGTGCCTTGGAGATTCTCGCACCCCCCTCCTGTTCGTGTCCCATCCCCCGCCGTTGGGGTATGGTTTGCTTACTGAGGCTCGCGGAATAAAAAGATGGCAGGCTTCGCACACTGGCGACGGCTGTTAATGTTCAGCTCGTCGGCAGCGGCGGCAAACCCGCAGGCCATACGAGATACTTCTCTATCCCTGCGTTTTTTCTCTGCTGGCACGACAGTGGCTTTTAAACCCCTCGCACCCTCTTCTCTCCTCCGACCCTGATTTTACTGCTTTCCACACGGCACCCAGAGTTCAGTCACTGTTTCTTAGTACCAGCCCCTAGCCTGGCGTCAAACCCCTCCCTATACTCCCCGAGCCGTCCCTAGAGCTCTGTCACTAGGCGGCGTCGTCGCACTCTCGCATTCTTGCCTGTAATCCCGTCCAAACTGCCGCCACCATGGGCAAAGTGCAGCACTACGTCGAGGCAGCCAAGAACGACCTTCGGACAGACCACACGTGGAATAAGCTGGGCAACTTGACCAAGCGCGGCGCAAAGGCACTGCCCGAGGCCTCGTTGCACTATGTCAAGGAAAAAGCGCCAATCATCGGCTGGCTGCCCAAGTACGACTACCGCTGGCTGATCAACGACGGCATCGCTGGCCTAACGCTGGGCCTGATGCTGATCCCGCAGGGACTGTCGTACGCAAAGATTGCCGAGATCCCCGTCGAGTACGGCCTCATGTCGAGTTGGCTGCCGGCGAGCATCTACACAGTCATGGGCACAACCAAGGGTGCGTAGCTGGCTTTTTGATCATTTTCCTCTCCTGCACGCTCTAACCGTATGGACCAAACATACAGATCTCTCCACCGGCCCAACGTCACTGATCGGGCTGCTTACGTCCGAGGGCGTGCACGAGCTTGAGCACAAGTATCCGCCGTCGCAGATCGCGTCGGCCATGGCCTTCTGGATGGGCGTCTACGGCATGATCCTGGGCTTCCTCAACCTCGGGTTCCTGCTCGAGTTTGTGTCGCTGCCCGTGCTGGCCGGCTGGATCACGGCCGTGGCCATTACCATCATCCTCAACCAAATGCCGTCGCTGCTGGGCATCAAGGGCGTCGGCAGCGGCGCCGCGCAGCAGATCCACGACATCTTCGCCAAGCTGCCCAAGGCTGGCGGCTGGACCTGCCTGATCGGCTTCTCGGGCATCCTGTTCATGACCATCCTCGAGAAGGCGGGTGCGCGCTGGAGCGCCAAGAGCAAGATCGTGTGGTTCTTCTCCATCACGCGCGCCTTCTCGACGCTGGTGCTGTTCACGGGCATCAGCTACGCCGTCAACAGCCCGCGCGGCAGCCCCAAGAACTTTCTGTTCGAGGCCACCCAGGTCACGGCCAACGGCCAGGAGGCGCCTTCGATCCCGCCGCCCGACCTGATCGCCGAGACGGCCATGAAGTCGATCGCGCTCTTCATCGGGGCGGCGGTCGAGCACGGGGCCATCGCCCGGGCGTTTGGGGTCAAGAACGACTACGTGCCGGATCAAACGCAGGAGCTGTGCTACTTTGGCGTCACCAACTTCTTCAACTCCTTCTTCCACGCCATGGGCGTCGGCGGCGCCATGTCGCGCACCTCGGTCAACTCGCAGTGCAACGTCAAGTCGCCCCTGAGCGGCGTCGTCACCACGGCCGTCGTGCTCATCTCCATCTACTTCCTCGTGCCGGCCCTGTACTGGATCCCCAAGGCCACGCTGGCCGCCATCATCATCACGGCCGTCTGGAACCTGATCCACCCGCCCTCGCACTTTTACCACTTCTGGAAGACATCGCTGGCTGACTTTATCTCGTCCATGCTCGCCCTCTGGGTGGCGCTTTTTGTGGACGCCGAGATCGGCATCGCCGTCGCCGTCGGCTTCAACATTATCTACTGCCTGCTGCGCCAGACCTTTGCCCGCATCACGGCCTCCAAGGTGCCCAAGCGCTCCGAGCTGGCGCGCTCCATCGACGCCGACCGCGACCGCGACGCCTACGGCGGCGAGGACCGCACGCGCGACGTGCACGTCTTCCGCTTCACCGACAGCTTCTTCTTCCCCAACAGCTACGCCACCACCGTCGCCATCCTCGACAGCGTCCAGACCTACCACGCGCCCGCCTACGACGGCGCCCATGGGCCCGAGTCGCGCAAGGGCCGCAACTGGTCCGTCGTGGCCGAGCAGCGCATCAAGCGCCTGCGCAAGTCGGCCGGCGTGCTGGACCAGTCGGCGCTCCCGCCCATCGGGCTGGTGGTGCTGGACTTCACGCGCGTCAACCACGCCGACAGCACGGCCTGCACGCACCTGCAGAACCTGGTCAAGGAGGTCCGGCGCTACGGAGGCTCGCGCGTCGAGGTGCGCTTCGTGGGCATGAGCCCCTACGTGCGCGAGCGTTTCGTGCGCTACGGCTGGAAGATGGCAGACGACGGCGACGCCTGGAAGGGCGCCGGCGACGAGAGCGCCGTCACGCACGTCTACGAGTCCGTCCCCGCCGCCGTCTTGTCGCCGCGCCGCTCGCCTGTAATTACCGAGGGCACCGACATCCGCATCGACAGCTCCGAGGACCCGGAGAAGGCTAGGGCCATGCATGCTCAGCGGTCCAGCTCGCCTGACGAGTTGGGAGGCGAGAAGAGGCGTGACAACTAGGGCGCTGGGGTGCCTTGGGAGGGGTGGGTTGGTTCTGTGATGATGGCGTCAGCAGGGAGAACCCCGGCGTCTGGTCGAGTCGCGCAGGCATGGCCCCCGCAAAGGGGCTGGTTCGGTTTGTTTTTATCACGTTTTGTTTTTATCATCGCATCAAGGCGCACAGCAGCCTAGAGTATATATACCCTCATTTCAGGTTGAAGCTTTTGCAAAGTATCTGCACATGTGAACCTGTCTTTGCGCTGTCCGAACTGTCTGTTGCTTTAGGAGAAATTTCGGTCCCCGAGCAACCATTCTGGTGATTCTTTGCCGGCACTTTACATCCGCAAAACCAGCCCTGGAGTCTTCCGCCCGAAAGATCACCGAGGGACGTGCCATGGTCTGCTTCTCGGAGAGCCGCTTTGAGTACCATGCGAGCTCCGAACGTTCTCTATGGTCAAACTCTAGTTGTGCTGCGCCTTTGTCTGCTGCTCGGAGACCCATCAGCCTGTCACTTCGACTCCGAGATATGGCCGACGCACTGCTAGCTGTGTATCGTTTGCGGTAGTACATAACCATACCGCAGCCACTCTGGGTCTTGCTCGAGTTGGCCCAGGGCAAAAAGCCCCAGCAAGAGACAGGTTTGCCAGTCGATGCTCCGATAGTGAGTCTGCTTGCTGCCGTCCTGGCTAGAGCAAGGCAGAGGGCAAAGGAGGCCGAGGTTTCAAAGGCTGAATCGTCGGGGGACAGCTGGAGACCCTGACAGAAAGGCAACATCCGCGGCGTCCGATGCCAGGGAGGGGCACCAGGGGTACAGCGGCGCCAGATAGTCTGGCCACATCTTTGGTCACATCAAGCTCGTTTAATATCATCCTCGCCTTTTGGAAATGGCCTGGGAAACTCGGTGACAAGGGCTGCAGCCGCTACCGGTCGCTGACAGACATCAAGTCTAGGCGATGGCTTGCTGGGGCACCCCCCAGGACGCAGCGTGTGAGTGCAGCTGGGTTGGGAGGGGATTGCTTCTCGCCCACGCACTCTTTGGGAGCTTTGGGTATGTTGGCCACCCCAGTCTTGCTATTGAATGGCCGTTACTCTGCTGCTGGACAGCTGGGATCTTGCCTGAGGGCGTTCAGGGGTATCACGTGATGGCACCTGGATTGTTGTGGGTCCAGCCGAAGCCTTGGCTCGGCAGTAATCCGAACCACGAACCCCCCCTCAAACTGCCATCAACAGGTGGGATTGAAAACGTCGAGCCGCAATGATGACCGAGACGCGGCGTCCACGGCTGCCAGCATGTAAGAGCTGCTCGCAAAAAAAGGTCAAGGTATGCGGGGCAAAGGTGCCCGTCCCAAACCCTCGTTGTTTCCCGATCTGACGCGCAGACCAAGTGCGACAGCACCCGCCCAAAATGCCACTGGTGTGCTCGCAACAAGGCCGACTGCCTCATGTTTGACTCGGCTGGTCAGCAGTGGCTGTCGAGGAGCCTGCTTGACGAGCTGGAGCGCCAAGAGGCCGCGCTGTCTGCAGCATCAACCGCTGAGGCAGCTCCAGCCACCGTAACAGCTCTCCCACTAGCCATAGCCTCGGCGACGGGACACACCCCAGGGTTGCATGGCGCATCACCAGCCACCAGCCACCAGACCCCCGCGGCCAGTCACCCGCCGCCTAAGCACCCCACGCCCTTCGGTGGCTGTCCATCCACATCCACCGCCGCCCGCCCTGGCGCTGGCCTGGGCTTCATCTCGGTGCTCTTTTCCGATCCTGAGTGGCGCCGCACCAACGAAGACCTCCTGCGGACGCTGGCCGGTGCTGCCGGAGCCCCCTCGGCTGGCGTCGAGGCGTGTCCGCTGTCCGACGCCGCCGTGGCCAAGGGTCTGTTCGAGCGCTAGTCAGTATTCCCACGCCTGTTTCAAATGCTTCATGTTATCATTGCTGACAAGGCGCCCAGCATCAACTGGTCCCATGTCCTAGCGCCGTTCCTCCTGCGGCGGGAGGTCTGGAAGCTCTATACGCGCGTGTATCCCGAGGCGCCTCGGCAGCCATCTTCTCCTGACCCGCACGAGCTATTTCGAGCCCATATTATCTGCGCCATCGGCGCCGTAATCCCATATCGCAACGGTCAGCATGGCCAGCACCCCGAGGGTTACTACCGGGCGGCGCTGCAGCACCTGGACTCGGCCTTTCTGACGCGCGGGCTTGATTCGATCCAGGACCTCCTCCTCATCTGCCGCTTTGGCGTCTACCACCACATCGGCATTTCCATCTGGGATATTGTGCGCCTCTGCGTGCGCCTGTGCGTTGAGCAGGGCCTCCACTCGGGCGATGGCGAGGACCCGGCAGATCCGCTGCTGAACCAAAAGAAGCGCCGTATCTTCTGGCAGACTTACTTAATGGACCGCTACAGCTCCACCACGCTCGACCGTCCCTTCGCCATCGACGACGGGGACATTGAGGTCGGCTTCCCGGCCGATGCCAACGATGAGGAAGTAGCCCTGATGGGTACCGGCGCCATGGAAACACCCCCTCTTGCAGCATGGGATGTCGCCGCAGCGGCCGACAAGCCGAGCGAGACCAGCGTTTTTCTCTTTTGCGTGCGCCTCCGCCAGGTCTCGTCCCGCATCCACGTCGAGATCTCGCGCCTTCGTCAGGATCCCGTGGTGCAGTCCCAACCGCATCTCGCCGTTGGCCGCATCTACACAACGCTCAACCGCCTGCTGCAGGACCTGCGGGCGTGGCGTGCGAGCGCTCCGCTGTCCTCGTCGCTGGCATCAACAGCGGGCTCCCCAACGCAGCGCCAGCCGCCGTGTCTGTACGAGAGCCTGGAATGGTTTGATCTGCTGCACACCCGCGAAAAGATGTCGCTCCTGCGCAGGGTTGTCGATCTCGTCCCCAAGGCCAACGGCGCCTCTCCAGCACATATCCTGTCCTTGTTCCTCCGCACCTCGCTCGAGACTATCGATTGCTATGTTGCCATGTCGCGGCGCGGCGCCTCTGTCGTTCACACTCGGTCCTATTTCCACCTAATGTTTGTCAGCGGCGTTTCTGCCATGTACTGCGTTGCCTCCTCTTTGGCCGCCGCCGGCACGAACGACGGGTTGAGTGCTGGCGCCGAAGTGGATGCAGCATTAAAATCCGAACCCGGGCTGGGCCAGGACGTTGTTACCGTAGCGCGTGGCCTGCGTGTCTGCGAGGAGATTCTGGTCGTCATGTCGGAGCAGCTCCCCGGCGCTCCTGCCTACGTTACCGTCTATGGTGCCTTGCGTCGCCACATCACCCGTCAACTCCAGCTGGCCGTGCCTCACGCCGCGCACGAACTAGGTCTCCTTGTCGACGCTATCCCAAACTCTGCCGCTTTGGATGTCGGACCCGAGGCAGGCGTTGCGGAACACCTGCGACAAACTAACACGACGGCATCATCCCCGTCGACCACCGCTGGTCCGACAAGCATTCTGGCAAGCTCAGACGCCCAACCGTCAGGGGGCCGCGAAGGGTTGCAAAACCACGCACTCGGCTACGGCGATGGGAGCACGGCTGTCCATCACGCTGGCTACGATTGGATGGACGACCATGGCCAACACCATGCACCTACCTCTGCGCCAGGCTTTCCCTTTAACCAATCCTTCGGCGGAGCGGCAATGCCGATAGATCCTAGAGCTGGCGGTGGGCTTGGTCCCGCAGGCATTCAGCAGCTGCCCCAAATGCCACAGGAAGACCTGCTGCAGTGGGTGTTTACTAATGACGAGTCCATATGGGGCATGGACATGATGCTTGGGGAATACGTCTACGGCGATCCGAGCCACGGCGGATTCCTCAACCGGGTAGACCTGTAGGTGCAGCGTGGAAGCATCGGCGGCCCGGAGCTAGGCTGCGGGACTTTTGTACACTTTGCGACTTGCATTAATTCTATATCATCTACTGCTTCTGCTTCCTTTCTGCTTCGATAAACTCCATTATCCTCTCGGCCGCCCTCATGCCCGTCTGCATTTGCGTCTCGCCCGTAGCGGCGCCAATGTGCGGCGTGCTGACGACGCCGAGCTCCCACAGCCGCCCGTACCTCTCCTTGCTCGGCGGCTCCTCCTCGTGGCAGTCGAGCCCGGCGCCCCAGATCAGGCCCTCGGACAGGGCGCGCTCGAGGTCCGTCTCGCTGATGATGCCGCCGCGGGCCGTGTTGATGAGGATGGCCGTCTTGCGCATCAGCCGCATCTGCTCGTACGAGATGAGCCCGCGCGTCTCGGGCGTCAGCGGCATGTGCACCGTGACCACGTCCGACGACCGCAGCACCTCGTCGACCGACGCCGCCCGCGTGTGGGGGATGTCGGCCCACGCGTCGGCCGGCAGGAACGGGTCGTAGGCCACCACGTCGGCCTCGAACCCGCCGCGGAAGATGCCGGCCACCTGCCGCCCGATGTTGCCCATGCCCAAGATGCCGATGGTCTTGCGGTGCAGCAGCAGGCCGCCGCACGTCTCCTTGGGCACCGGCTTGCCGGCGGCCTGCTTGGCCGCCACGGACCCGACCTGGCGCGCCACGGCCGACGCCAGCGCCAGCACGAGCTCGGCGACGGCGCGCGCGTTCACCCCGGGGGTGTTGAGGATGGGGATGCCGCGGGCGGCGCAGGCGGCGGCGTCGATCTTGTCGATGCCGACGCCTTGCTTGCCGATGGCGCGCAGGTTGGGGCAGGCGGCCACGTCGGCGGCTGTCACGTACGAGCCCCGGACCAAGAGGTAGCGCGCCTCCTCCCGCCACCGGCCGTGGCCCGGGTGGGTCCTTGTGATGGCGTTGAAGTTGCGCTTGCAGTAGGCCATGACCTCGGGGTGGAAGTCGTCGAGCAGGTATACGGTCGGCTTCTCGTGCCCAACGAGCGAGCTGGGCGCCTCGGGCGAGTCTTGGACGAGGGCGGGGGCCATGGTGGCCTGGCGGTGTGTCTAAACTGTCTTGATGGGATGTGGGAGGTCTAGTCTGGGGCAAAAAGAACAGCTGCTTGTCGGCAATGCAACGGAGGAAAAAGGAGACAAAAATGCAGTTAATCTGCGCGATGGATACGAAACACTGGTGGACTCGATGCCAGCACGAACGCAGCCTGACCTTGCCTTTTGATAGGACCGCCACGGTGCCCTCCTACTCTAGACCGCGTCATTGCGGAGTGGCGGCTAGTCTCCCGGCCGCCGGGCTCCATCCGCTGCCGACGATGTGATCCCCAGAGCCTTTTGGTTGTCGGGTGGAGGGCATCAAAGGTCAAGGGTCTCGACGGAAACCATCCGGCGCGGACAGACTGCCGAGGTATTGGGCCGCGGACATGGCCCGAGGGCTGGGAGTGGGTCGTCTACTGGGTGGTGATCTGTCGGACATGGCCCGGTGCGGGGATGCCTGTCATATTGGGGAGGCTTTCTTGTGAGGTAGTGTAGTTTGTTTGGAGCAGGGCATGTCTGGCCCCAAGGGACTCTGGAGTAAGTGTTGGGGAAGGAAGCCCTGCTGAGGACTCGGGATTTTGTTTCTGGGCTAGTTGAGGCAAAGTGCCGTCGAGGAAGCGGACTAGCTGTGATGACTTGAAAGTACGTAACCGAGAGATGGAGGAACGTTGTTATTCAGCAAAGTATGCCACACAACAACGTCAGGGCGCACCTTGTACATAAAGTTGCCGCTTCGCTCGAGGGATATATAATGTAAATAGTTGGCCATGAAAATGCGTCGTTAAAACAGCTAAAAACTAGACAGTTCCATAATTCGTATACATGCTAAGCACAAAGTCGAACCATACCCAAATTCCAGCTATCCCCAAAACCCCAGCATTAGTGCGCAAAGCGCCAGCCCTCGGGCTCGCCAGCCGCGTCCTCGGCGGCCTTGAGGGCCTTGTTCTTCTGGATGGCGTAGTACTTGGTGCCAAGGACAAAGATGATGGTCAGGCCGCAGCCGGCGATGATGGCGGCGCCGCCCGTCTGGTAGTAGGGCTCCTGGTTGCGCAGGAAGAAGTAGGGCATGAACCAGTGCGACACGGAGCTGACGCAGTTGGCGTAGGCAATCAGGGCCGCTCGCTTGGTGCGAGGCCTCGGGACCACGGTGGTTTCCCAAGCGATTTGAAGCTAGAAATGCTTCGTCAGTACGGGCCTCTTTTTTTTTCTTTCCTTGGAAAGGAGAAAAAGAAAACTTACATTGAGGCCGACAAACGGACCAATGACCAACAGAATCATGCAAAAGTACCTTAGGCCCGTGTTCAGCTGCGTGATCATGATGGCACAGCCGATGGCCGTGGCCATCATGGGGGCGATGATGTGGTAGCCGAACTCCTGCGTGCGACCGGCCGACCACGACACAGCCAGCTGGACAAAGAAGGCGATGATGGGCGGCGGGGCCTGCACCAGGTACGTGACCGTCTTGGACAGACCCAGGGTGGCGAGGATGGAGGGGAAAAAGTCCTTGTACGACTGGGCGATGATGAGGCAGAAGTGGGTGGCGGCAAACATGTGCGAGAAGGGGTCCTTCATGCACTGCCAGAAGCCGTCCCAGTAGCCGCCCTCATCATCCTCGGCGACGCCGCCGGCCGACACGGTCATGCGGTACTGCGCCATGGCCGTCTCCTCCTCGGTGATGAAGTAGGTGCCGGTCGAGTCGGGGAAGTTGGGGATGAACCAGAAGCTGGCGGCGGCCACGGCGATGCTGACGATGCCCTCGAGCAGCAGGAACCACTGCCAGGCGCGCAGATTGGCGATGCCGTCCATGTTCTGCAGGATGGCGGCCGCCAGCAGGCCCGAGATGGCCTGCGAGATGGTGTTGCCGGCGTGCCAGATGCCCATGCGCATGGGCGCCTCGTGCTTGGGGTACCACGACGACGTCATGAGCGACACGGCCGGCACAAAGGGGCCCTCGGCCAGCCCGACGAAGAAGCGGCACACCATGAAGCCCGCGGGAGACGTGACAAGCGGCATGATGATGGTGGGGATGGACCAGGCCAGCATGCAGCAGGGGAGAAGCAGGCGAGGCTTGCCCTTGGCCATGATGACGTTTGCGGGAATCTGCGAGATGATGTAGCCGACGTAGAAGAGCGAGATTCCCGCGCTCCACTGCACGTCGGTCATGTGCAGGTCCTTCTGCATGCCCGCCAGCCGCGCGTTGGACACGTTGATGCGGTCCAGGTAGTTCATGAGCAGCATGGCCGTCACCATGCTCAGGAACTTCCAGTCCAGCTTGCGCACCAGTGACTTCTCGATGGCCTTGCGCTCCTCGGGCGTCTTGTCCCGGATGAGCTCGTACCGCTCCAGGATGGGGTCGCGGACGGCGGCATCCTCGACCGTGTCGACGCCGTCGCCCTTGAGTGACGAGCTCTTTGATCGGACTGACCCGGGCATTGTGAAGGGGCTTGGGGCTTCTCGCGGCGGTTGAAGGTGCGAGTAGGATGTCCCTTGACGATGGGCGGGTGGTGTCGTGGGCGGGCAGGGTCAGAGGCCGGGAAGGGGGCTGCCGGGCTTCCTTGTTAAATAGATGGACATGAAAATATTTCTGTCCCCTTGGCCGTCCATCTCCGCACCAGCACCTTGCTTGACACTTCCCCACATCCCGCTCAGCTCCGGCCTCTCAATCCGGGGGTTTGGGGAGCCCCCGGATTTTTCGACATGGCTGGGGAGACTCATGACTTTGCTTGTGGGGAAAGGGGCTGGCGGAGACGAGGGAAGCGTCGAATCATGGACAGGATTCCGCGTCGGCGAACTGGCCGTCGGACGGGGTCCGAAGATCCAGGATCTTGGTCCGGCCTTGGCCCGGGGACCAGCATGTGGCTCGATGCAACCATCGGCCCACCTTGGGCGGGGAAGCTGGCTGTTGTTGGCCCGGACAGGGCCTGGACAGGGCCCGAGCCAGTCTTGACATTGCAGAGGGACGCTGTTATGCTGCTACTCTAGAATGGTTTGATGGCCAGGTATCATCGTCAAACGGCACTCCTAGACACCTTCGGGGCCGCCACTGCTCCCCTGCAGTGCCACTCCACCTTTTGCACGTTGCCCTCGAGGCTGTCGGTGATGTAGAGCGTCTTGTGCTCGGGCCCGCCGAAGCAGCAGTTGGTCAGGTTGATGCCCTTTGTGCCACTGACGATACGCGCCTTGGGGACGCCCTGCTTGTCCACCACGAACACGGACCCCAGGCTGGGGTGGCACACGAAAAGGTTCCCCTCCTCGTCCACCCTGAGGCCGTCGGGCCCGGCCGTGCCAAAGGACTGGAAGAAGACGCCGACCTTGGACGTGGTGCCGTCGGCGTGCAGCGGCAGGCGCCACACCTGGTTCGCGCGCGTCATGGCCACGAACAGGAACCGCTCGTCGGGCGAGAGCGCCAGCCCGTTGGGCGACGCGCCGTTGTCCAGCAGCGTGTCCAGCTTGCCTGTCGGCGACAGCCGGTATACGCGCCCCGTCGGGTCCGTCATGCCCGTCTGGCCCTGGTCTGTGAAGTAGAGGCTCCGTTGCGAGTCCATAATGAGGTCGTTGGGGCCCTTGAACCGCTCTAGGTTCTTGCGGCTCAGCTTGGGCTTGATCGTGCTGGTGGCGGGGTCGAACTCGAGAATGCCCTGTGCGTGGAAGCGTGTCCTTCACTGTTAGAGACGGAGTCTTGGAACGCGCCAGCCACACCCGCCTACGTACCTGCTTGTAGTCTGCCACCAGAAGCGTCCCGTCTGGAGTGGCCACCAGTCCGTTGGGCTCGCCGTCCCAGCGGACGCAGACGGTCACATTCTTCTGCGCGTCGATCTTGAGGATCCGGCCGTAGGGGATGTCGACGATAAAGAGGTTGCCCTCGGCGTCGACCACGGGCCCTTCGAGGAAGATGTGCTGGAAGGCGGCTGCAAACCCGCCTCTCCACTCGGACTCCTCTCCTATGCACCGCTTGTCGTCCGGGATCCGAACGTAGAGCTCCGCTTCGATGACGGGGGGTGGAGGGTAGAAGTTCATTTTGGCTGGGTGTGATGCTTTGCTCTCCTTTCTGTAAAGCTGCTCTCCTCGCCGAAGCCGACTGACCAGGCAGCAAGCTAGGCAGTAAGTTAGGCAGGTATATGACCAAGCCCAGCCAGAGCAGCGCAGTGCGGGGTCTTGACCCATGACCCGGCATCCGAGTCGCGTTTGTCGGGCTGCAGCCGGAGAATGTGGAGAATCGGCCGGAGGAATGCCGGCGGCAGCACAATCATGCAAAAGACGCATCGAGTGACTGACACAGCCGTCGTGGGACCGTCAGCGGAAGCCTGTCCGGCCCGCCCGGTGCCCTCGCCCACGTACTGCCGTTTTGGCTGCCGCCGTCCTCCATAACCCTGAGCGACAGCTTCATGGCCAGCTCCTGGAACGTTCGGAGACCATGGAAGCGGCCAGAGATATCGGTGATGACGGCGCAAGCCTTGTTGATGGAGTTGAGCACCTGCGCCAGCGCCGTTGAGACCGGCGGCTCCTGGCTCGGACGCCGGCGTTTGAGGCAAACAAGCATCACGGCTGCCGAGAGAGCATCGTAGGCGTCTAGGAAAGAGCCGGAGAGATGGGCATCTGATCGTGACCGGGTGTAGAGCCGGTCGATAAGCCTGGTGCACGAGGCGATGGCGTCTCTCTCGACATCGGCCATGTTTCCAAGCAGGAGCTCTGGGTCTGCGGCCCCGGGCGCCCCTACATGTGCATGCGTATTTTGGATAGTTCCAGGCCGTATGAGACACATCAGTGCACGGCACGAGAGCTGGTCAAGGTAACCAGTCCACTCTTGGGCGGGGATACGAAGGTTCCCGGCGGTTGGGGCCAGCGAGCCTCGCCAGAAGTACAGATTGCTGTAGGAGAATATGGGGCTGGGACTGCCGCCGCCATCCCGCAAACTGGAAATGAGCTGCGCATGGCGGATCAGGTGACGGCATGCAGCTCTTTTAGCCCTGTTCGCTTCCGAAGGGGCTTCCAGTGAGGTGCCATCCTCGTCTGGCGGGACTTGAACGGTGATGTCGCTGTCTTGGATACTGAAGGGCCGATCCATAACAGAACTCAGCGACCTGTCATGCACGTACAGGGCCCAGAACAGCCACGCAGCGTCGTGCTCGCCTGTCCCGTCCACAGCCGGGTGCGGGCCGGGGCCAGGGTCCTTGTGCAGCCCCGCCGAGATGCACGTTTTCATGGCCATATCGAGCAGGTGCCAGGCTGAGCCGCCGCCGGGGCTGAACAGGGCGTGCACGAACAGCATGCACATGCAGTGCAACGCATCCAGTGTTTTGGACGGGTGGAGGATGAGCGGCAGCAGCCGCACTGCCGCCCCGTGCAGGCTCGCCGCCACAAAGGCAAGGCTTCTCGCCGAGTCGGGCGACATCATAATACCCGTCGCGGCTGCCATGAAGGCGTCGAAGCGGTGCAGCGCCAGCACCGACGAAATACCAATGGACGTCTGGGCCGCCGCCGCTACTTCGTCCAGGCGCTCGATAAAGCGATTTTCGTCGAGGTACGAAGGCACCATAACCATAAGGCTCGAGTCCACGAAGCGCTTCACATGACCAAGCAGGGCATTACGTCCCAGCGGCAGCTGGTGGTCGTCTAGCAGCGCAGTCTCGGCGGCGCCAAACCGCGATGCCGATGCCGACGCCGCCGAAGGGTCGTGACCGGCAACAGCAAGGGCCGCGAGGACAACCTCGGTGTGCGCCAGCCGGTGAGGCAAGACCGAACCTTCCCCTTCGCCCACCCCGCCGGCTGTAGGTTCGGCCATAGCGCTGTTGGACAGGAAGCCGATGGCGCCCATCGTGTCTCGCACGGACGAATCATCGCCTGCGGCATCCGGCGGGGACATTGAGGCGGTCACGGCGCCCGTCCGGCCAAACGAGTTGGTGCGGAGACGCTTCCGGGGTGGGGAAGCGGCATCGGTCTGTCGGCTGCTCCGCTGAAGGTCGGCCACGCGCTGCCTTAGGACGTCCATGTAGCTGTGGACGGTGGCATGGGTAAGACCGACATCTTCGGCGGCTAGGTCGACCTCCTGGGCGCGCGCGAGGCACTCGGCGCCGAGGTCGGCGCACGCGGTGCATGCGGGCAGGAGCCTATCGCACTTTGGGGGCTTTAGTTGCCAGGTTGGGTGCTGCCAAGACATGGACGACGGATACATACCTTTTGCTTGCGCTTCCAGCACCTCTCGCAGGCCTGGCCTCGTTTAGTGCCGGAGCCAGGCGCAGGCTGGGCGGTTGTCGATGCCATTGGATGCTGGTTCGGACAACGGCCGAGGGCTGGGCACACGCTGGGGCACCACGCGGAGTGACGGGGAATGGAAATCACCCGACGTGGTGCTAGTCACGTGTAAGTGGCCGGTATCCCTGGCTTGTGTGGGGGTGGCCCCTGTACTTGAGGACCCCCTGAAGGCCCGCCCCGGACTCGCGGACAAAGTCCTAAATGGGACCGCCGCCGGGAGCATCCCGAAATCCTCAGATGGGGGACGACGGGGCCGGGACTGTACGGGACCGAGAGGGGTAGTCTGAGGGGCCAAGAACTACGCGTTTGCCCGTCGTATATATGCAGCCGCGGCCGCAGCCAGCTGGGGGTGGGTGGGTGAGTGGTGTCGATTCGCGTCACCTGCACGAACTTGACTTCCAGTCTCCAACAACACCTACCACTACCACTTCTACCACCCACTCCTCATCCTCTCTCTGTGCGATCCCACCCCCCGTACACCGCAGTCATGGTAGCAATCTACAACTCGATGAAGGAAAAGATGGAGTGCGGTGAGGTGGCGTCGCTACTCACCGTCAAGCTCGTCAAGTCGGTCGAGATCGTCGGCATGGCCAAGACGGCCGGCTTCGACGGCATCTTGATCGACATGGAGCACTCGCAACTCGACCTCGAGACGACGGCGCAGCTCTGCAACGCGGCCCTGTACGCGAACCTGGCCGCCATCGTGCGCGTGCCCAGCAAGGACCCCTTCTTTGTGTCGCGCGTGCTCGACGGCGGCGCCCTCGGCGTCATCGTGCCGCACATCCGCTCCGCCCAGGACGCCCGCGATGTCGTGGCGGCCGCCAAGTTCCAGCCCGTCGGCCACCGCTCGTCCACCAACGGCCTGCCCGTGCACCAGTTCCGCTCCATGTCCGCCACCGTCGCCAACCCGCTCACCAACGCCGCCACGCTCGTCATCCCCATGATCGAGACGGTCGAGGCGCTCGAGCTGGTCGACGAGATCGCCGCCGTCGAGGGCGTCGACTCGCTGCTCATCGGCACCAACGACCTGACGGCCGAGATGGGCATCACGGGCGAGTACGAGAACCCGCGCCTGACCGAGGCCTACCAGCGCACCGTCGACGCCTGCAAGAAGCACGGCAAGTTCGCCGGCTGCGGTGGCCTGCACGCCCGCCTCGACCTGGTCGAGAAGTTTTGCGCCATGGGCGTGAGGTGGGTCATGGCCGCCACCGACGGGCCGCTCATCATGTCGGGCGCTACCAAGCGCGCTAGCGAGATGGCCGCCATCAGCGCAAAGGTCGCCGGAGCCCCGAACGGGAACGGCGTCAAGAAGGCATAAGGGTCGGCGGTTGAGATGGAGCGTTGCATATTTCCCGAATGTATAATTAGATGGTTCAGATACCCAGCATAGAACCGTAAAAGTTGGGTTTGGGTCTTCGTTATTCTGCTGCTGGTGAATCCGTGGTGGTGGCGGCGGCTATCCCCAGGCCCCGCCCTAGCTCTTATGTTGCGGCTCGAACCGTACACTCGGACAGCCCAAACACTCGTATATATGATGCCAAGAAGGTCAACAACACCCAAACAATAACAGTGACGTATGTGCAGCGCTGCGGCGCCCATTGTGGTCGTGCGGACCAACGCAGTCTGTATTTCTCAGGCCCTCTCCACGTCTTGCCCACCCTCGATCCATCAGCGCCGTCTGCAGTTGCAGGGTCCATGTTACTTGGCGCCAGTTACCTAGCGTTGATGCCACATTCGAGCTCGTCGCCGTTATTCAAGACCCCACAGACCAATGCGGGAGGGCTGGGATAAGAGATGGTCATACAGACAAATGAAGCCATGACGGCACTTCGTCTTGTGCGGTGTAAACGAGCTGCCAGTATGGAGGAGGGCGTCGACATATAATAAAAGGCGGGAACCCATCTCGTTGGTAACAAGACATCGACACGCTCATCTCACTGTCCACACACTCTCGACAAGGGCCCCAACATGGCATCCCTTCTTCGGAGGCTCCTCTTCCTCGCTTGACTCTCCAGGCTAGCAGCAGGCGCCCCCACCCTACCAGCCAGGAACAGCGGCGACGTCGTCCCCTTCATCGCGCTCGAAGAGCACTGGCTCTCGACCGACGAAACGGAGCTGCAGGGCCTCCGGGACCGCGTGCCGCGCCTCGTCGAGGTCGGCCCGGAACGCACCGCGGCCATGGTCGAGGGCAACGTGGCCGTCCAGGTGGTGTCGCACGCCGCCACCTCGCAGAGCGCCATGCGCATGGCGCCCGAGGTCCGCGCCGCCAACGACAATTATGCTTGGATAGAGACGAACCTGCTGTTGGGAAGACAATTATTTTTGGTCGGCCATCAAAAGTACCTGCTTCAGGAGGAAGCCGTACGTGTAAATTACCCAACAATATATGATATGCCCACCTTCGCATCCTCCTACTTTTGTGAGTGGCTATCACGAATCTGCAAACCCGACGCCCCTCTACTCCGGTCATAATCTTAGGTAATTGAAGTTCCCCGACGGGTACGGGGACCGAGGGCCGGAGTGCGGGGGCTGGCGAAGCAGCCGAGTGTGGAGACAGTCCTCCAGCACTCCCGTCTCACGGGGATGCGCAGCCCATGCGCCTCAGAGACAGCAGCGAGTCCTGTCTCGGTTCTTCCCTACCAGACGTGCCAGTGTCTTGCTCCTTGTCGCCTGAAACCTGTTCGTCTGCCCGTCGAAGCCCGTCGCCTGCGTCTGTGGCGCCTGCGGCAGAGTCGATCAAAGGAGGGGCATCCACGGCATCGTGTCCACGGGCATGCCCGAACGAGGATGGTGCGCGTCGCCTGCATGGAGGGACCGACGGTCACGAGGTGCCATCTGGCCGGGCGGCTGACGGGAAATTTGGGCTGCTGCAGCCATATATATTCGCTGTTTCATACCACCTGCCTCCTACGAGCGAGGGGCCTTTTTCCTCCCCGGCCTTTACCGCCTGATATCTAAATAAGCCGGCCCCGAGGCCAAAACACGCACCCAACCTATGCGATGCCAAATTCTTGTTCCAAGCGATCCAATGTGTTGCCCGTACCCGAAAACGATAGGATGGGTTGACCAAAATGACAAAAACAAGACCAAAACAAGACCAAAACCAACGTTCCAGACTCCAGGCTACGGCTCAGGGCTTACCAATCTCAATCCCGCCTTCTCTCAAGCCCCGGCCCTGCGCCGACAACAATCTCGACCAATAACAAAAACGCAGGCTATGGACGGCTAAGTTAAATACAGAATAATGTGTTTCGCTCCGGTTCAAAACAAAACAGTACCTAAACAAAAGAAAGAGGACATAGTACACCGGCTGCCACTCGACCGACCCCCCACTTCACTTGGCCGCCTCGACAACCTGGAGCGCGGCCACAACGAGCACCAGAGTGCTGGGCAGGATCCAGATGACGTAGCTCTGGAACAGAATCTTGCCCATGACGCCCTCGTACACGTTGTTGATCTGGCAGATCTGGGCCAGCTGCAGTGCCGACGGGGCGCCCGTGAGCAGGAAGCACACAATGACAAAGATGGGGTCGTCGAGGATGCTGATGGGCACGTATTTGGCAAAGAAGGCTAGGATGGGAGCCATTACCAGCGTCGGCAGCAGCATGCGGCAGACTAGCGACGCCACCAACAGCTTCGTCCCGATCGTCTTCTCCTCCGGGTCCACGACATCGTGGCTCTGCGTGTTGCGAGCCAGGTTGGCGCCAAGCACCACCAGGATTAGGGGCACAGCCACGCCGGCGCTCGACGACACAGCGCTCGTGACACTGTTGCGGATGAAGGAGCCATCCTGGAAGAAAAGGCGCTGCAGATCCGGCACTGACGCAACCACGATGGCAATGAGCATCGCCCACAGCGGCGGGTTCATGAACTCCCACAGGAACCCGTACACCTTGCCGGCAGCGCGCGACACCAGGCCGCACCCGCGCTGGACAGGCATGGGGAGACGCGCGAACTGGCGGCGAGAAAAAGTCGAGGCCGCGTCCATGCTGCGCTGCTTGAACTGACCAGCACGTGCCCGCAGGCCCTTGACGCCGCTCGGTGGCTCCGGCTCATCACTGTTACGAATGCGCGGGAACGAGAGCATGTGCTCGCCTGCGTCCGGGAGCCTGTCATATTGCTGCTGCAGGGGCGGTGCGAGGCCGGCGAGGTTTGCCGGCTTGACGAAGCGCGAGTGCTTTCCGGGCTTGGCTCCGTTGGGCGCGCTGGATGGGCGACCACCGTTTCCGTTTTCGAGCCCAGAGCCCTCGCCCTCGTCCTCCGAGTCGGCCGGTGAGGCGCGCGAGTGGTTGGCCGTGGCAACAGGCGTACGGCCGGCGGGCTCGTAGCCCTCCGAGTCGGAGCGCACGGTGCCCTCGTCGTCCGAGTCGAAGCCGCGCGGGTCGACACCCTCGATGCTATCAGCAAGCAGAGCCCGCGTCTCGCCCTCGCCGTTGGCGTCATGCTGGCGGCCCTCTTCGATCTGCTCGTCGTCGTACTCGTCGTACTTGTCCTTGGGCGCGAGGAGAACGTGGTAGCCCCAGCTCCAACGAACCATCTGGCCAAGCTGCTGGAAGACGAGAAGGTACAGGATTCCACGCGCTGCCACCTCCTCATCGTTGTCCCCCTTGATCCTATCCCAGTGGAGACCCTTGATGGTTTGTGAAAGCGAAATGACGAGCGAGATGGGGAGCGAGTTCGAGTTGCCAAAGACCTAAGAGGACAGAGCTGTTAGCATGTCTCGTACAAGTTGTACAGAGGCACGGGGCAGGAAGCTGGTGGCACGAGTGACGTACTCCCATTGCCGTCACAAAGTTGGAGGCGCGCTTTCCAAAACCGAAGCACTTGGTCACGGCGAGCGAGATGAGGTACGACACGAGGGTCTGAATAACGAAGATGACGGGGATGACGGCGAGATCAGAGAGGTTGTCGGCGTTTAGTTGCGAGGCCAGCTTGGTGAAGATCAGGCAGGGCGTGAAGAGCATGACGTTCAGGTTGGCGAGGAACCTTTGCTTGTCGGCGTCGAAGTGGCCGAGTCGGGCAATGATGTAGCCCGGCAGGCTGATGCAGACAACCTCCATGACGGCGCCAAATACCAGAAAGGCGAGGTGCGGGAGGTCTGGGTGGGCATCGTGCGGCTTCTTCTTCTTGAACACGTTGAATGGCGACTGGGCTATCAGCTGTGGCGCGAGGTCTTCCATGTTGTTGACCCGGAATGACGCCGGGGAGGAGAAATACGAAGCCATGTGCGGCGGATGTGGTGGCCGGATGCGAACAACAAAGAGCAAGGAGGGCGCCGTGGCGCGTTCAGAGGTGGTAGCAGTGATGGATGAGAAGATCGCTGGGACCTCGGCCCAGGATTTTCGGGATGATGCGTTGGTGGCGCGGGAGCAGACGGCGATTTATTTGAGCAAGCCTCCGAGCTCGGTCGGACGGGATCGGTGGGTTGGGCGAGGAGGGCGTTGACGACGGACGGGCCGGTCGTTGGAAGGTGGACGCGAGAAGGACAAAGTGCAAGAGAAACGAGGGCTCAGAAGAGACGAGACATTACAGCACGGAGGCCTGCCGAGACGAAAAGGGCGGGTCCGCGGTTGCAGGGGGCGAAGGAGAAGAAAGGGCTCGCCGTTAGTTCTTGTTTGATCTCGTTTCGATTCGAGAGATGATGCGGGCAAAAAGGGGGCAGGGCCAGGCAACCCGGGCGCCGCAGCGCGTTCCATTGAGCATTGATTGCAGGCCGCCAGCCTGTCCCTGCGATAAGGCGCTCGCTGAGTGGCAGCAGGCACGCCCCACTTCCACCACACCACGGGGCCGCACGGGGACGTGCCATTCGATGATGGAGAAGGCTAAAACACCGTGCCTTGCGTGCCAAGAGTGCTAGATCCTGGTGTCAGTGCATTTCTCGCTTTCTCTTTTTCTTTGACCTCAGATTCAGCTTGGGCCAGATCCACCACGGCACGATCTAATTAGCCCGACTAGGCAGCCCTAGCCATCCCTCAAAAGTTGCAATGACAGATTTCCACAACCAGCACTCATCTGCCGTCCGTGCGCATACGTGAGTAAACCACAGCAGACGCTATCATATACTCATAGCAAACAGCCAGCGGTTGATTCAGCATCATGTCCGAGCCCACCACCGGCCGACCTGAGCTCGCACTGACGCGGCTCCACGTGCTCCGTCAGTGCCCCATTGACCCTGCGGCATGTAAACTTTTGCGGGGATGAGGGATGGGCGGAGCATCAACGAACAAAGTCGAACAGATGCCAATGCTCTTGGCAAACCACCGCCCGCCAATGCCAACAAGCTTTTCAGAAGTCGTGAGGTCATTATCGTTTGCGTCCGAGCTTGCGAACCCCCGCCCTGATTGGTCTGGTCTTTTGTCCCCCAAAACGGCCCTTTCGGCTCTGCGCCCAAAACCGGGCACCTGCTGCAAAGGTGCAAGGAGCTGCCGGGCGGTGGCGGTTTGGCCGTCGCTGTCTAGACGGCTGTCCAGCCAGCATCCAGCGACATGTCTGGCGGCAAATAAAACGGTGAGTTAATAAGAAAACGGCGCAGTTTTGCCCAATCTGGAAACCGTGCAAATATATTCTGTCCTGTCCAGTATCACCCTTCGAATTTGCGCGTAATGATCTGTTAGCTGTGTCTCGATCAATAGCGCCCCTAGAGCCTGCCACTGACTCCCAATCAGCCAACCAACAGACCGCAACCATTTGCAAGACGTCACATCCCCGCGGCACAGTGACGACATGTCGGTCCGCCTGTCTCACCACTGCTCCCCGGCCTCACTAGCCCTTCCTATCCACAACCTCCATGGCCTGCCCCGCCGCCATGGCCAGCGCCTGTTCGATGCGGTAGTGCTCGGCGCCGATGTGTCTAGCGTCGGGTAGGATCACCTCAGTCTGCATGACCCGGTACAGGACGAATGGGTAGATCGGGTCGGCGCCTAGGTAGATGCTCGAGAGGAACAGGTGGAAGTGGCTGGCGAAGGAGCCGTGCTGCTCCGGCCAGTACCCCACATGCCGGCCGCCGAGCCGAGCGCCCTGAGGAACCTGCAAATAGGGTGGCGGTCCAAAAGTTAGTCAGGTATTCCGGCGTGGGGGTGAGGTGGTGCCCTTTACAAACAGAGGGATGAGGCTTACCAAATCGTAAAGCTCGTGCTGGCGCTGTGCTGGCGCGAGAGCAGCATAGCTAGGCTGCCGGCCCTGATCCAGCACTGCGGGATCAGGGCGCTCCAGATGCCGAGCTCGAGCGTATCGTAGCCCTCGCGGCCCCTGAACCACTTGCCCGTCTTGTCACCCGAGCCAGCCCCGGGCTCCGACAGCCACCAGGACGAGAAGGTGTAGTTGCCCCAGAGCACAAACGGCATCAGCACCAGGAAGATCTTGCCCATGTTACGGCCGACCCAGGGGCTCGAAATCTTCCAGTCGTTATGCGCATACATAACGGTCGTCCAAACCATGCCAACGTCGAGAAAAAACCAGAGCCCCAGCCCGACCATTTCGAACGGGTGCTCGGCCACGCAGAACGGGTACAGCAGCTCCCAGGACCAATTGCCGATGGTGGCCATCATGGGCATGCCGTAGCTCTTGTCCTTGATCGCCTTGAGCGTGATCAGCGCGTACGCCGAGTACCAGCATACCATGCCGATCACCAGCACGCCCGCCGAGGCCAGCGGAAGCCATTGCGGCACGTGCGGCGGCAGTGTGTCGTAGAGACCCATGGCGAGCTCGCGATGGGCTGAGTTGGAGTTAACGGGATGACTGGCCCGAGGTGGATGGGAGGGGAGATGGCAAGAGCTGGCTGTTGGGGCTTGGTCCTGAAAAACCGATGCTTAGTCTGTCCGCGTACCTGTCCCTGAATCCTTGCCACGTCCAGGGGTGGCCGCGATGGACTACAGATATACCATATTGTTTCTTCACGCAGCGCTGGCCTCTCCGGCTCGCTCGGGCCTGGAGCGGCGACAGCATGTACGCGTTTTGCCCATTAGCCACGTTTACCGCGCCGGCCCCAACGCGCAGCAGCCGGTGATCGCAAGACGAAATGGAGAACTTGTAACGAGGGTGATCGGCCTAAGCTTTTGCGATAGGGTGGACGGACATGTTTTTCGTCTCTTTTGCTGGCTCCAACTTCTCCAAGAGAAGCTTTCCTACTCAGCCGGTGTCGTCCAAACTGCAAGCAGAACCGGGCTGGTGGGGGTGGGGTGGGAAAGGCCGGGTCTGTTCAAAGGTGTGCTCACGCGCCGTACCGAGACGGGACGAAAACCTCGCAAGACGCCCGAGGGAGGCAGGAGAATGGACAGTTATCTGTACTTGCGCGGAGTTGAAGCATCCGCCCAAGCATGGAAGGACAAAGCGCTAGCATCACGTTTCCCAAAGGCCATGGCACACACGCCATATACACGCAAGGGGAATCCTGGGCAACAGCAAAGCCCGGGCCTGAGATTTGTTGAAGCCTTTCTGCATGCGCCGGCCCGAGGCCGCTTGTAGGCGAAGAGCGAGCCGGTGAGGCGCTTCAAGAAGGGCCTTTCATTGCCTTCTGTGAAGCTGCCCGTCTCAGCCAGAAGCAGCCAAGACACCTCAGCTCTGCGCCGAGGCTGCCCCTTACCCGAGAGCCGGTTACATCTCCCTATCAATCACCCAGTCCTCTCCCCACGGCGGCAGCAGTAGCAGCAGCATGAGTGGGTTTCAGCCGCTGTCGGCCAGCCCGGAGGCCCGCTTCCAGTCCGCAGCAGCACCAGACGCCGGCCGCCGCGGCTGTGTTTGGCTCTGAGGCTCTCCGGGCCGGAGTCGCATGTGGGGATGTGGGGGAGCGTATAAGCCGGGAAGGAGGTCTGCCCGCCCGCTCAGGTGTCTGGTCGGGGTTGGGTTGCGGCTGGGGCTGAGGTTGCGGCTGGGCACGAAATTGGTGGGAAAGCCGCCCAAGGTTCAAGGGAGAGCACGTGATGGAGGCGGGCAATGTGTCAGGGAGAGTGTCCGTCAGTCGGATGGCGTAATAGTTCGGCCTTTCGTAGCCTTGATGGCCTTTCCGGGCTGCGGGAAGGGTCCAGGATGACGTCATGGACCCCCTTATTCCCCCTCTCCCGACTCGGCCTCAGCCAATACGTTGCATCCCGACCGACCCCATGAACCGTCAACTCACTTGCGCCCAGTCAGCACTTTGACACTTGTGTAGAGCGGTGATGCGTCGATTCTCCGTGTCTCCGTCGAGGCAACCTGGCTTGCCTGGCACCTGTCACCACATGCCGTGATGCCCTAGCCGATGAGGCTTGCGCAGCGGTGGCAAAACCGATCGCCCTGACCCCCTTTTCTGCTTCTGTCAAAATCGCCCCCGAAGCTGAGGCTAGCGAGGCTGGGCTGGACATTGGAAGCAAGCTCAGGCAAGGTACAGCCGTGACAACGCAGGAGCACAGCCCAGTCACCCAATATGATGAATCGGCGCGCCGGCCCAGGTGGGGGCAATATCGACTGAGGCGTGTTGTTAATTTTGGAAGCTGGGGAATCGGCGGAAAACAAAAAACTTGGCCGAGCCAGCGCAACCATCTGGGCCAACCTGGCCTGTGTGCCTGTCGACCCTGACCTAAATCACATCTCAACCGGTCCCGGCCAAGCGCTGGAAGTCCCCTTCTCGGCTGCGAGCGTTGCATCCAATGGGGCGAAAGGCGCGAACACGAGGCGTGGCCCGCGCGGGAACCGGATGGATGTTGGCCAGACCTGCATCTCGCAGCGCGTTGCCAGCGTCGTGGGTTGCGCTCTGTTGCTGCCATCTGCAGGTCCGAAATGGGGACGGTAGGTGATCCGCCTGTTGTCGGTGACCCGGACGGGCAGTCGAGGCTCGACGCTGCCGCCGACTGGCTACCGACAGTATTGAATGGCTGTGCTGCTCTAGGGTGGGGCAGAGTCCGGGAATGGGAACGCCCAAAGCCGCCAGGACGACCGAGTTGGCGGTGGGCCCGCGATGGAGCTCAACGCTGCCTCGGTTTTTTAACAGGCAGTGGCAGGGTCGTCGAGACTCTCGGCTACGCTCCCATGGCTCCTCGTGGAGGATGGCATCTCTTGTGCCTATCACTCGTTTGCTTCTCATGTTTCATGTGGGAGACGATCGCCAGCTTCCTGATTGCAGCCATCCCTGGCCGACTCCCGCTCCGGCTCCCCCGACATGGGTCAGGCCAAGAAGAATGTGGAGATGGCGCCCGATCCAAGTGCTTCTTACGTAGTGCGACCATGTCTCTGGCTCTCTGGCACCTCCGGACAGGTGAGAGGACAGGCGAGAGCCCGACCTGGGGTTGGGCGAGTCTGACACCTCCAGCACGAGGAGCCGAGAGAAATGGAGACATGCAGTCAACTCTGACGGCTGCTCGGTTGGCCGTTGTGGTTGTGTAGCTCCCTGCTGCCCGGGCTGCCGAAAAACGCTGATGGTTCGCTGCCCAGAACATCAAGGCCTGGCCATGGCCCCTGTCGGCTGCAACGTCAGTGACGACCCTCTTCCAATGCAGGCCATTGGTTTGGATGCTACCCCCTAGACTCCATTGCCTCAAGCCACAAATGCCAGCAACAACGTCATCGGCCGTCGCAGCGGCTGCTCGTGCTCAAGCAACCAATTAGAGCAGAGCCGAGGGCCAGCAGCGCCAGCATGAGGGTATTGACGGCACTTGATGATGCTATTTCGAACCAGGCGAAGTGCCTGCGTCTGCTGCCGCTGCTGCTCCCGCCTTTGGCCACGACGTCTCATGCAGCCTTGTTGCATCTGGCGCTGGCCATTCCAGCAGCTCCATCATGGATGCGCCTTCAATTGCCCATCGGGCTGGCAGTGTGCAATGCAGGCCAAAAGCCAGGAGCAATGAGGCAGTGCTCAGGACCCCTCTAGCGCCTGTCTGAATTTTCAAGGGAGGAGCAGCCCGTCATTTGGACATGGAAGGTGCGGCCAAAAAAATGCAGAGCTCCGCCGACTTGGGAAAGGACGATAAACAGCCCGGAAAAAAAAGAAACAAGAGAAAATCCATAGCCGTCATCATGCCCAAGCCAGGCCAGCCCCAGCGCGAGTTCCCACACTACCCAGCCCCGGAGCTCCCTGTCCGGCTTGAATGCCACGAATAGAAAGCTTGCCCTGTGACACGGAAGCAGCCAGACTTGGGTGGTCTCCAGTGGTTTCGCAGCTCCCAGCACTAGCTCCAGACCCCGGCTAGGCCCAAAGTGGGAGCCCGGGCCCCACCTGCCCCATAAAGTCGAGGTCTGACGCAACGCAGCATCCATTTGAACTACGGCAACCCCTCGAACGCGCCTACTGCTTCCACTAGAGCGTCGTTGTGTGGTCTGTGTTCATGGCCGATGCTATCTCAAGCTGTCTTTTCCCGAACTAGCACGCTTCGTTTTAAACCAGTCCCCGATCTGCCTCCCCACGCGACCTAAGTAACCCTCTCACCTCCGCCACGCTACCCGCCTCCCCGCCAGCAATCCAAGTCAGCGCCCGCGCCGAAGAGTTCCCTCTCGCCAGACTGCTGCTTGCAACTGCACTCCCCCTCTCGTCCTACGCGGCAGACAGACAGGACGAGCAAGCTGCCGGCATTTCCAGAAATAGCTCGCCCGTAGAACACCACACCCAAGACAAAGAGCAGAAAACAAAAGCTAGCGACGATCCCACCCCGAGACGCCGTGGCTCCTCTTGGTGCCTCCTCTCGGTGCCACCCGCAACCGACGCTACCCTGTGTGCCCGACGGCGTGCCCAACACCGCACCTTTCCTGACAAGGCTACGCCGACCCGACGTGCCTGACCTTGCGCCCGGGAGGTCTGACGTCCCGTCCCTTCTGAGAAGCCCGCTCCCCTCCTTGTACAACTACCTGCACTCTTCTCCGCCGAACGCCCTACACGGCATGTGGCCATCGAGGTAATTCCACCGGTCAACCACGACGCCGCCACAACACAGACAGACCACGCCGCCCCGTGACCATGTCTCAGACACAACCGCCATCAGGGCCTTCCCAGGCCGACTCGGTGCCTGCAACGCCCGATGAGCAATACGACAGCAACCCGACCTCACCTGGCTCCGAGGCACACATAGACGACGACTCTGGGGCCAGCACACCTTTAGACCCGCCGTCACCCAGCGTCATCCCCAAACGTGTGCCGTCTCTGCGCACCGTTTCGGACCCAGAGACGGCCGCCGCCATGTCTTCCGCATCGACCGTCGTGGGCGCGCTCAACAACGCCCGCAGGCCCCCGCCCTCGGCCAGCAACCTGCCCATCGACCTTATGGCCCGTGCCCGCGCCCTTCAGAGCTCGCGCCTGGGCCGGCCCTCGATGCAGGGCTTCGCCAGCACAGGCAGCAACTTGTCCTCGATGGGCTCGCCCATGTCTCCCATGTCGGGTGCTCAATCGCCCCCGACCATGGGCCCGGGCGGCCTCCCCACAAACATGAGGCTGCCGCCCAACATGGCTGCCAATCTCGGCAGCATGAGCCTGGGCGGTCGCCCACTGCCACCTGGCTTCCCCAAATCGGCCCCCATTGTCCCCAGTGCGCGCAAAGCCCCGCCAAGTCTTAGCGAGAGGCGACAGATGAGGCTCGGTGGCCTGCCTGGAGCCGTAGGCGGGGGCCCGCTCGGCGCACCCAAGCTCTCGGATCTGAGCGGCGCCAACGGGCCAGCCGGTGGTGCCGACGGCGAGTCGGCCAAAAGCCAGGGCCCGCCCAAGGACGGCGGGATCAAGGACTCGAAAATGAACGACTTTAGGAGATATATTGACACAGAAAAGGGCTGGATCACGTTCGAGGGCGCAGCCACCATTACGAGGACAGGCGTCAATTTCGCCAGCGGTCAGACCTTTAGCATCTCGCTCGATGAGATCCAGGTACTGGACGAGCTCGGCAAGGGCAACTACGGCACCGTGTTCAAGGTCCGGCATGCCAAGCCACGGGCGCCCCGGTTCGGTCAGGGGCTCAGCGGCTTCAAGCCCAGCGCCCCGTCCCGGCAGTCGTCAGCACTCAGCACGGCGTCGGACGGGGGCCGCTCTGCTGATTCTGATGGCACAAACGCCGTCGACGGCGGTAGCGCAACGTCGGGCGTGGTCATGGCCATGAAGGAGCTCCGTCTAGAGTTGGACGAAGCCAAGTTCACAACGATCCTCAAGGAGCTCGTGATTCTGCATGAGTGTGTATCGCCCTACATTATCGACTTTTACGGCGCGTTTTTCCAGGAGGGCGCGGTTTACATGTGCATCGAGTACATGGACGGCGGCTCGATCGACAAGCTATACGGCGGAGGGATTCCCGAGAGCGTGATCCGCAAGATCACTCACTCGACCGTCATGGGGCTCAAGTCGCTCAAGGATGATCACAACATCATTCACCGAGACGTCAAGCCCACAAACATCCTCGTCAACACGCGCGGCCAGACCAAGATCTGCGACTTTGGCGTCAGCGGGAACCTGGTCGCCTCCATCGCCAAGACCAACATTGGCTGCCAGAGCTACATGGCGCCTGAGCGAATCTCGGGAGGCAGCTTCGCGCCTGGAGCGCACAGCTCAGACGGCACCTACAGCGTCCAGAGTGACATCTGGAGCCTGGGGCTAACCGTAATCGAGTGCGCCATGGGAAAGTATCCGTACCCGCCCGAGGTGTCGTCGACCATCTTCAGCCAACTTAGCGTAAGTCTACCCCTTTCAGCAACCGGCAGTCGCTGCCAAAGGCCAACACTAACTCACGTGTGTCCGAAACAGGCTATTGTGGAGGGCGACCCGCCCGACCTGCCTGCTGAGGGCTACTCGGCGACCGCGCGCGACTTTGTCCGTTCGTGCCTCAACAAGAACCCCAGGAAACGCCACACGTACCCTATGCTACTGGCCCACCCTTGGCTCATGCCGCTGGCCCAGCCAACAACCATCACGGAGGAGGCCGAGGATGAGGACGGAAGTGGGGTCGCCGAGGCGGCCAGCAAGATATCCCTCACCGACCCCCTCACCGGGTGCGACGAGGAGGTGGCCAAGTGGGTACGCGATGCCCTCGACCGCAAGATCAGAGGAGATCTGCCCAAGTCGGACAAGCCAGCGCTTCACGCGGCGCCGCTAGACACAGTCAGCCCCGCCACCAGCCCAGCAGTAGGCACCGAGCTAGGCCACGGAGGGCCCAGATAGGGACAGCCCTAGGCTATGACGGTGCTGCAAAGGGCGCACTCGGTTGTAATAAACGAAAAGAGAAAGGAGAAGGAGCCCGCGGCTGAGCTGGTCTCTGCCTTCCTACGACAACCGCGGGCGTTGCGCACACACTTCCAATTGTTCGCTTCTGACCATGATATTTTTTTCCTTTATTCTTCCCTTTGTCCAGTTTACGGGATACCACTTGATCCACACACCTCGATTATCTGGGTTTGCACGCAAGAACGAGAGAAGCTCCGGTTAGAAGGGGGAAGGAGTGCGGCGAGGACGAGAGAAAGGCACATGCTCATCATCATCATCATGACTTGCATTGGTTGGGTGTTGGCTTGACAGATATAGGGGGCTGCGATGACTTTCCAGGGCTCGGTAGACATGGCCCTTGTTCTTTTTTATGCCCTTTTCGCTTTCCGGGCTGTATTCCTCCATCTTTTTTTTTTTTCAGTGACGTCTCAGACTTTAATTTTCCTGGACCGTCCTTTTCCTGTTATTTCATAAAGCACACGAATACACTCCATCCTCCCACGGGGATTACACGCAACACCGCTAGCGCCTTTGCAGCCAACGTGAGTTTGCGGCATTTTGTGCCCGCCCCGTGTTTCTCTGGCCCGCCCTCGCCTCGGGAGCAGCGGCCGGCCTTGACAAGCCCCATCTCCACCACAAGAAACCCTCACGAGTCGCACAGAAAGGCAGGGAGGAACCAGGAGGGTATACATGCCTCACGCTAACCGATCACCCATTCAAGAGCAAACCAGCTCGCTTAGCTCAGTTGGTTAGAGCGTCGTACTAACAATGCGAAGGTCGCCAGTTCGACCCTGGTAGTGAGCATTATGAGGTCTCCAGCAGTCCGGTTCAAGCTCCGGATCCTCGCTTTTTAGCCGTGTTTCCTGCTTGCTTGCATTTTCTTTTTCCAATAACGCCAGGCCACCGCTGTACCGGTACCGGTGGCTGGACTCCTGGAGCATCTGGGCTGCGGGACAGCCTCGTTGGAATGCAGCCATGTCATTGACGAAGTGGGTGTAAAGGCACTTCTTTGTAGCCAAACAAAGCAATTCATTCTTCTCGCCGTGGCTTCCCTAAGCCTTGCCTGAACAATGGATTCCCGCCCTCGGCCTCCCATTCAACTTTCTCTACTCGGCCAGTATATAAGCCAGCCCACCCATTGTTGGGAGCAGACGGCGATGGGCTCCCTGTTTGACACAGTCTCGAATCATCGTCCCCGCCGGCCAGAAACGGCAGCCAGCCCCCCTTCGTGTTTATGAAACGAAAACTATCGCTGGCAGTCTTTCGTGCCAAACTGCAGGTCGACTGCGCAATGAGCGCAGTGGCGGATCCGTCACCCGTCACAGCGGCCGAGGAGCAGGCCTCCCAGCCGCACATGCAGACGGCGGCCACCAAGGCGGCGGTCACGATCAAGTTCACCAAGCTCGACCCGGCCCACTTCTCCAAACGGCCCGCGCGCGACCGCAGCGCGCTGTCGGACCTGCACGCGGTGGAGAGCGGCGGGCTGGGGAGGCGGGTGCGCGATGCCCTAGGCTGGCTGCAAGAGGAAAGGCTGCAGGAGGAAATCGACTACGGCAGGTCCGTGCTCGGCGCAAAGGTAAGGATGCTCTGGCGGCGGTACATTAACGGCAGTGATGAGAGCAGCCCGACAGCACCCCCCATGGCGGCGGTCCAAAAGATAACAGCGACCAGGGGCGGCCGCGGCGGCAGCGATGACAAGATGGTGGACACCCCGCAGCGCGAGGGTGTGCCGACCCACCGCCGCACCAGCAGCACGGGGTCTGGAGGGCACATCACGAGCCTGCTGGACCAGTGCCCGGTCGAGTCGTTCACGCGCCTGTATAGGGACGAGGCGGTGGCGGAGCAGAACGGCAGGCACCGCGAACCGGGCCTGGAGTGCTGCAACTGCCATGTGCAGCTGTCCGACATGGATTGGACGTGCTGGCACTGCAAGGTCCACGTCCGGTGCCGTGATTGCAAGCGATAGATAGCCTATATTTTGTGTTTTGTCTGTTAATTTTTTTTTGTTCCACCCTGTCGCCGGCCCCTGGGAGGGAGGACTGTGGCAGTTTCTGGGCAAGGTAAGCATCGGGTGGGAGTATGATTACAACGTACATAACAGCACTTAAAATACAAAGCGTTTTCTTGATCGGCTGCGCGACCCAACGCGCCGTCCCGTTCCTTCCTTGGGATCAAATGCAGTTCCTTCACTTTGCTTCACGGGCCGTCCCTGTAAATCAGCATCATAGAGCCCCACATTTGGGCGGGGCGGAGAGAGAGCTAGGGGGGTGACGTTTAGGAGGGGGGGTGGCATTTGCGGCCTGCAAAATGCGAAACGTGAGCAAGCCGCCAGCTTAGAATGGAATCCAATTCAACCTGCTCTTGATAACTCCACCACTTTCCAACACCACCATGACACGTACCAGAACGCTGCAGCCATACCTGCGGCACATTCACCTCCCGTCCGACGCAGCATCGGCAACATTCCCAACCTACTGCGTCGCCGCCGCCATCCAGGCCCGCCTGCAACGCGCCCAGCTCGACTTCAAGGCCGCCCCGTCCTCGCCCGACTCGTCTCCGCCCCCGCCCACCCTCGTGACCTTTACGCCCACCCCCACCTACACCCTCGGCCGCCGACAACACTCGTCCTCGCACGGCAAACCCACATCACCACCATCGCTACCAACCCCTTCTTCACGCTTCCTCATCCTCCCGTCCGAGCTGCAAGCCCTGGCCAGGCCGCTGCACCTGCAACATGCCACCCCATCCCCACCGCCCTCTTACGACGACCCCGTCGTCCTCCGCACCGAGCGCGGCGGCCTGACGACGTACCACGGGCCGGGGCAGCTGGTCATGTGGCCCGTCATCGACCTCAAGGGCGGCGGCAGCGGCAACCTCCCCTCCCCCACCACCACCACCATAAAGCACACCGGCAGCCGCCGCCACCGCCCCTTCGGCGTCCGCCAGTACGCCGAGCTGCTGCAGGACGTGACGGCCGTCGTGCTCGCCCGCCTCTGGGGCCTGGCCGGCACCACGACGTGTGACCCGGGCGTCTGGGTCGCCGGCCGCAAGGTGGCCGCCATGGGCGTGCACCTGCGCCGCCACGTGACGGGGCTGGGCGTCGCCCTCAACCTGTCGACGCCCGTCACGTCTCCCGGGGACGGCGGCGGCGGCTCGCCGGTGGCAGCAACCGATGCCGAGCTCCTCGCCAGCAACCCGTGGCTGCGCTTCGTGCCCTGCGGCCTCGAGGGCAAGCACGTCACGTCGGTCGCCGAGGAGCTGCGGCTCGGTGGCAGGAGTGGCTGCGGGCCGGACCCGCTGGACCCGGCAGACGCCGGTCGCGCCGTCGCCACCGCCTGGGCCGACGAGTTCGCCGCCCGCATCATCGGCGGCAGCAGCACGGTCGACGCCGATGCCGGGCCGGCCGTGCAGACCGTGGGTGACGACGAGGTGCAGCAGCTGGTGGCCGACGTGGCCGACGAGGCGAGGTTGATAGAGGAGGAGTCGAGGCTGTGGCCGGCCAGGCCGGACCTGGATTCCGCGCGCACTTGAGAAAGAGGCATTTTGCAAGGCCAAGGAGAATGAATGTGTCCAATTGCTCGCTACCGGTTCGTGCTTTCCAACCCCCTTCGCTTTTCTTGTTCCATCCGCGTGTATGCCTCTCGTTCTCACGCTACCGCCACGTTCGGGTCCCTAAAGCAAAGCACACAGAAACCACAGGGTCCCACACAATGCCGCTCTTGATGATCATCATACCGTGCTTGGTAATGGGATGAATACAACGCGCACCATGAGTTGCAGACCGAAAATGCGCATTCCCGTAAAATAATATGACGCAGGCCAAACGCAACCGAAGCGACTCAGACAATAAAAATATGCAAAAAAAAAAAAAAAAATGGCAGACTCGGGCCCAAGGAACCGTGTGGGGGATATGGATTAGTTTTGGTAGCGGACCTTGTTGGTGCTGCCAGGGTTGATCAAAAAGTAAAGAAATTAACATTGACTGGGTGCACCCAAAAAGCGGAAGCTCGCTACGGTTATTCCTCGTCAAGCAGTCCGTCCTTGTTCCACGTGATCCATACTCCATGCTCCGATAAGGAGCCGTGTCTTTCATTCATTAGTCTATCAGACGTCTTCCTTCGGCTCAGCTTTGATCGATTTCTCCTTCTTTTTGCGTCTTGTGGTGCCCCCCTCTGAAGCGTCATCGTCCGCCGAGCGGCGACGCTCGCCGGCGTGCGGACGGCGATACTCCTCTGGCTGGAAATTGGGGTTGTTAAAGTGGGCAACGTTGAAGTGGCTGTTCCTGAAGGCTTCGGTCGCCATGGGGTGATGCTCCGTCACGGCGGCCAGGGCCATGGCCTGGCCGTCAACCGACTTGACCTCCGAGACTCCCTCGGCCGTCTTTGTCGGGAAACTGTACCTGCTAAAGCGCAGCGGGTGTGTTGTGACTATAGGAGAGGGCGCCACGGGCATTACGCTTTGTACGTGCTCTGGTGCTTGTTGTTGCTGATGTTCAGGCTGCTGCTGCATCCGCGGTGATTGCGACTGCGACCGCGGTTGGTGCTGTGTATGGGGTGTGATGATGCTCCGTGTTGGCGAGGCTGAAGCGGCAGGCGTGTGCCGGACAGGCAGTGGTTCAGAACACGGCGGCTCGCCCCATGACTGCGGCGGCTGTGCCTCTGGGCTGGGAGAGTACGCGGTGGTGGCGGGGCCCAAGTCGAAAGGGAGCATCGAGGCCAGGGGGTTTCCGGCAGCGGCGCTGTAGGAATTCATGGCGAGCAGCAGCTCAAAGTCTACTTCAGGCTCGAGTGGACCACATGGTGCAATGTTGGCTGGGGCGATCTGGAACTGGTGTGTAAAGTCGGCAGCACGATGAACCTGCACGTCTACAGGGGTCGGCGGAGGCTTGTAGAGTATGTCGTAGTGATCCGGCCGGTACAGCAGGTGAATAGTGGGCCCAAGCTCCGATTCGGGGCGGGCGTTGTGCTCTTCGGGAAAGCGATATGTGTTGGCCTTGGACATCGGGGTGCGATCCAGGTAGACAATCTCGAGGACGAAGTCGGCTGGCCTGAGCAGAACCTCGACGAGCAGGATGATGCCGATATGCTCGATCTCACGGTTGGCAGGCTCGATGGTGCCGGACGAATACTCTTTGGCGCTGCCCCCGATAAAGGGCTCATAGTTGTCCACGTTTCCCTTGAGGTACGAGGCGGCTAGCAGGCGGAGGTGGTAGATGACGGCGTTGGAGACGCCGTCGTCGTTGAACTTGGCCTGTAAAGATGCTATGGCGACGTCCGGGTTGGCCAGGTTGGCCTGGATGTCAGCGAGGATGAGCATGGTCTCCTCGGCCATGTCTTCCCATAGGAAGCGCTGGAATCCGCCAACATTTTCTATGTACTGGTCCAGCTCGGCAAGGCGGGCGATCTCGGCGGCGATCTTGGCTGGAGTGGCCGTCAGGATGAGGGTCTCGAAGTAGCTGAAGCCGATTGCTGGAGCGAGCGCGGTCACGCGGTCAGCGAACGTGCTCCGACGCGCCGTACGGGCCTCAGCGGGCGAGGGGATGGGGAGCAGCCAGTCTGTGGGCGTCCATACCTCTCCAGCCGCAGTTGCCGTCTCCTTGTATAGGGCGGTAGTGCGAGTATGTCTGGGGCAGAGCCTGCGGGACAGGATGGGCAAGAGTTAGCGGTCGGTTGTGGTGTCGGCCGGCGGGCAGAGGCTGGGATAGAGACTGCTCACGATTGTCTTTTCCACGTAGACGGGGTCGGCCTTGGCGTACTGCTCGGTGATGGCGTGGCTCGTGATCCTGTCGCCGACGAGGGGACCCTGGAGGGCGTTGGGTCGAGATTAGCTGGCTTCCCTCCAACCGGGTAACATCCAGGCGCGGCAGCGTGGGGGGCACGGGCGGAATGCGGGGAAGGTGGCGGAGAATTAATCACGGCCAGGTTGTCCAGGGGGAGGATCAAGGCCTACTCACCTCGAGCTGTGGCTGGTAGTCGCGCGCGGCGGCTTCTTGGGCGACGACATCGTCCTGGGGTGAGGCGGCCTCCATCGTGGCGACGGTATGAGGTGGCGAGGTTGGGTCGTGGTTGGGGTGGTGGTGCTGTTGGTGGTGGTTTTGGGGGTGGTGGTTGTGGTGGTGATGGTGGTGGTGGTTTGGGTGGCTTTGGTAATGGGGGTGATGCTGGTGCTGGTGGTGGTTAGTGTGGAAGGCGGGCGGCGGTGGCACCTGCCCCAGCGCGAGGAGCTGCTGGTGGTGGTGTTGGCTGTGGGCCTGCTGGAGCTGACCAAAGGCTTGGAGCTGCTGCCCGCCTGCTGGGGATCCACCACATCCACACTCGGCACCGCTGCCAGCAAAGCCGTGGGCTTGCGATGGATGCGAGTCCTGGACGCCATGGACGCCTTGGACGCCTTGGACGCCTTGGACTGGGAACCCGCCGCCGACAAAACCGTCACCTAGCCCATAGCCGCCAAACGGCGCGCCGCACGGCGTGGGCTGCAGATGGAACATGGCTTTCCGCAACCCAGGCGAGCCGTATATTCGCCTGCGTGAGGCCAATTGGATTGGTGCAGCCCGTGCTTGCGGCTCCGACGATGGTCAATCGTCTCGAACCGTCTCGGCCAGGGCTGGTGTTGTCCAATCCGGGTCCAATCCGGTCCGGTCCAGTCCTGTCCGATTCAGTGCTGCCCAGTCCGCCCTTGTTCGCCTCGCCAAAGGTCCCGAGCTGGCGGAAAGAGGAAGTGCCGGGGCAGTAGGGCAGTCAGCCGGAAAGTAGCAGACCGGTCTGCTTATAAGCGATGGGGCGGGCGAAGAGGGTTACGCTCTATGCACATGCAAGCTTGCTGCTGCCCCTGTCAGTGAGGGGGCCGCCAGGGAAACAAAATAAGATAGGCAATAAGGGCGAATCCTTTCGATGTCGCCCAGCACATGGACCCAACGGTGTGGAAGCCGGATGCCACCCCTACAGCACAGGATCTGACCGCCGGCCCCATTCCCCGTATATATATACCTGAGCACTGATGGTGCCCCGAAGCGGCAGAGACATCAGACTATTGGAACCCATCCCACGCCCACGCCCGCCTCCATCTTGTGTGAGTCGTGCCGTCCGTGTACCCAGACTAGGCAAGGTAGCACGCTCGAGGGCAAGCCTTGGCCGTTTCGAGACAGCTCCCAGGGCTGGAGGAGAGAAGAAACCACGAAACCTCATACCTTGTCCTACAGCGCACGTCGGCTACGGGGGTGGCACGGCCAGCTGAACGCGGCGCAAGGGCACTTCTCGATGGACAAACGCCCAAAGGGAAAGAAGCGCAAGGGGGGGAGAAAAAGAAGGTACGAGGGCTGAAAATTTCCGTGCTTTGTGGACGGATGGGCAGCCGGGGCGCAACTCAACGACCTTCATCACTTCCAAGTGGCTTGGTTTAGCTTCCCGGTTATTTCAACTTGACCCAACCAAGGGGGCAGCTCGGCTCAAAGGCAGACATGCAGCATGCCGAGCGCATTCTTTTTGTCAGCTACACAAGGCCACGACGCCTCGTCTGGTACGCCCGCCCAGCGGTGACCTGTCAATTTTCACAGTTTGGCCGTCGAGCTCTCTCGGTCTATTCACTCCGGACAAGTGTCACCGGACTAACGCCCAGTAGCTGTCTGCCCGCACCGACGACTTCCTGGGAGCCCTGCGAGCCCTGGGCTCAGTGGGAAAGGGGCCGTGGTGTGGTGTGTGGTGTGTGGTGTGTGGTGTGTGGCGTGTGGCGTGTGGTGTGTGGTGTGTGGTGTGGGGGGTGGGTCGCCAGCAGGTCAGGGTCACGGCATCCTCCCCCATCTCACACACTCTCTCGCGCAGCGGCGCAGCACCAAGAGCCGGCTGCTGGCGTTCATGTACGTGGTCGCGCGAGACTCCGGCAAGACAGTCAAGATGCCATTGGCCAACCAGCCCCCGCGCACGCATCGTGCCTCTGCGGGAGTAAAAGCAACATTTAAGGCGTGCCAAAGACCCAAAGGGCAGCAGCCGTGGTGCTTGGCGCGGTTGGAAAAAGGCTCACTCGATAAAAGAAAAAGAAAGAAAGAAAAATGGACGGAAAGAAGCGGGGCCCAGACAGCCAGCCGACGAACCGGATGCTCGCAGTGCCCCCACCCAGGCAGCATGGTTACGTCCGGGGCAGGCGGGAAAGGGCGTGGTTGGCCAATTCGACAATTAGCTCTAGCTCACCGGCTGCCTCATCCAGAACAAGGCGCTCTTTCCATTCCACCATTCCCTCTCTCCCCACCCCTGCGTGGAAACGTGGCACCCCCCAACACAACAGCCCACCTGCACTATCAACTCGCATGCCATTTCCATGCTGACAATCCACTCACTGCCACTCTAATGCAAACAACGGATCATAGCTCACACCTAGCAAGTAGCCTGTGTTAGGGTGCCAGGCCTCGCAGACATCCGCCTCGCCCCGTCGGTCCTTCTGTGATTTCATTTCCCCCACGTTCAGACTGTGAATCCGAGTTTTCGGGTCCATCGCCATCCCCATCGCACATCCATCATCCACTCCATCCCACCCCCGTCGCACCACCCCTCGGGCTTTAGCCTCACCTATCGATCCCCTCCGATGCATGGAAGCCCTACCCAGATGCTGATCGACAGGCCTCGCGTCTTGTCGACCACCACCTCGCTGGTCTCTGGCTCTGCTGTCCCGAACTTACGGTGTGGTCACGAACTTGACCGACTTGCTTTTCTTCTCCTTCCTTTCCCTCCTCTTGCTGCCAATACCACACCCTCCCCCCGGTCTCCTGCTCGGTCATCTTGTCGTCGCCAGGCCGATGAGTCAGCTGCAATCATGGATCCCGCCTCGCAGCGTCGGGAGCTTTCTCATGCTGGATCGTCGGGGACCACCACCCGCCCGGCCCCCGGCTTGAACTCTGGCGCCACCCCTGGATTTCTGGGGTCTGTGTCGTGGCTCTCTGAGCGTCTGAGCGTATAGCCGAGGTGGCCAAGGCGACAGCACCTGTTTTCAGCCACCACGAAGGCCAGTGGATGGCTCGCTTTTTGCTTTTTGCCGTTGGCTTCTGACCTTCCTGAGAGGGACGCCTGCCACACGACATCAGATGTGTGTCACCACGCCACGTTTGCAATCCATCTGGTCCGGGAAAGCATTTGGAAACGTTGGATTCCATCCTCCCGTTCCAGAGGATCAGACAACGGAGCTAACCCAGGTCAGTAAAACGGGGCTCGAAACTCGATCTTCAACTGCTTCTGATCTGGAGGGATGGCCTGCAGAGATTCATCACGCCGGGCACGTCCCGTTCCATGCCTACCTCGGCATCTCTCCCTTACATGGCCATGGGGTTTGCACTGGCTTGATACCGCGGTCTGGCTCTTGTCTATCTTTCCGCCAAGGCGGGCTATCGATATCCCTGAGAAACAGGTCGCCCAGACCGCCACCGTCGGCATTTTGCTCAGACATCTCGGTCGAGCTCGGGCGATAGCGGCCCGGTTCCCTCTTTGTCATGCGTGACATGTCGTTGTCGTTTTTCTTGGTACATTACAGCCACGGGTCGACGGTGCTGTCATGCTGGTGGGTGCCTTGTGTGATTTGTGCGCCGTAAGCCATGACCAAAGTGATGTGTCCCTTCCAGCCCTCCTCAGTCCAGGCTTTGCGACGCACGCCGAGCAAGGCAAACAATGGGCAACGGGCCGGTGAATGCGGCCAGCCGCTGCCGCATGACGCCAGCGGCAAGATGCTGGATGCGTCTCAAGCCTCCGTGTTTGCCTTTTACGCGCGTTGAGACAAGCCGAGGAAGGGTGCTCAACGGCAGAGAGCGATATAGAGAGAATACCGACAGCGACCATCTCTCTCCATCCCAAGGACAGGCTGGGCATGCGCTGCCCGAAGGAAGCAATACGCAGGCTTTAGCTCCATGCCGTATCTGCGCGCCCTGCGTCGCCCGGGCATGCATGGCCACGACAGCCACGCCCTGCGTCGCCCCGCGCCACAATCGCTCGTCGGTGACGCCAACATCAACTATTCGTCTTCCCATCACCGTCTGTCGCCCCCTGGGCTCCCAATTAACGCCCGGGTACAGAGTCGGAGGCGTGCATGGGGTGCGGGCACATGTGCGCCAGCCCGCCTGTTGGACAGGCCACTTGTTCGACGTTTGTACCACGACCGTCCCCCGCCCTGAGCACCCAGTTCTATCAAAATCTACCCCTCGGCCATGTCTCAAGCATATGGGGAGGCTGAGAGGGGGGTCTCTGTTGCTGGCCACCGTCTCCTGCATCCCGCTTTTTCCTCTTCCCCTCTCTCCCGCCCGCCGCGGTTGCCGCCTGCTGGGGTTCCGAGATCCGGAAGGGCTCATCCGCCCCCAAGGATCCATTCGTCCACCCGGGGGCGGCGGCAGTGCCGGCATCAGCAACCCCTCCCTTTCTTGGGCCGTCTCACCGTCTCCCCCTCCTTTTTCCCGCGTCTGAACTACCGCCGTCGCGGGCGACTGCAGCTGTGGTTGGGTCCTTTTGACACTAGCTGTCTATCTATTACATGCAGCACGATGCCGTCCAATGGCACCATCCCCCCTCCTCTCTCTCTCTCCCCACGTCCCAGCCGGCCAGAAGAGAAGAAGCCGAGTCTTTAGCGCCAAACGTGACGACCCGTGTACCATGATGGGTCGAATCCCCAATCACGCATGGTCACAACGTCGATATCAAGGGCCGCGCGCGCGTGTGTGTGTGTAAAACAGTAGCAATACGCAACATGTTGAGACCAAACCACTCGTCGGCGCTGGGGCAGCAGCTGTGGCCAGTAGTCCGGGCCTGTCAGCGCCGACGGCGTCCACAGAAATAGGGTGGTGACCACGCCTGCATATTGAGGGGCGGTGCCATTGGCCAGCCCGACCTCGTTTCGCCCTTCCTGTCATAAATGACAGATCGTGCAACGAAGCGCCCCCCGGCAGCGGGAATACCGAAAACTGCATCCCGCCACAGCCAAGGACGCACACGTAAGAAAGAACCAAAAAAAAAAAAAGACGGACAGGTAGGGTGGCAGGACAGACACTACCCCCACCCTCTGTTAATGAACAAGAAAAAAAAAGGACATTCAAAGTCGTCATCGCCGTCAACCATTGGTGTGGATCTGCCGGCTCGTGGGGTGCGTCGCGCATGCGCCGGCGCCTGCTTGGCCCCCGAGCCTAGCCTAGTTGCCGTCGTCGGGTGCCATGAGGTCGCAGCGGCCGGCCATGCAGCCGGGCCAAAATAATAAAATGCTGCGTGCAGACTCTGATTTACAGAGTCTGATTTACAGGCGGTGTGAACCACGGTTGATGACGGAGCACATGTACCCAGGACAAAAAAAAAAAGTCCGTGACAAGTGAGTGGTGATAGGCGTCTTCCCTCACTTTTTGTTATGGGGGCGACTTCTTCGGAATACGAGGTGGGGGTCGGGTGCATCGTGGTAGCGCCGAAGCATTCACCGAGGGCCTGCCGCACGGCGGCTCCTTGTGCGAGGGGCCCAAAGCAAGCACCGCAACACGGGGCTGGGATTAGTGTCTGTAACGGCTCTGTTTCGGCGGGTGTGGCGGGAGAGAACCGGCGCCACCGCCAACACAGTTACGGACGGTGATGGATGAAATTTGTACAGATTCCAGAGACGACCAGAGACGACCACATAAACGCCTAGCTTCCGAAGAAAGAAATATGGAACAGGATCAGTGCCATGTCACATAACGCCTTTGGGTTAAGGGTCTAAAGCCAATACACGCTCGGACTGGAAATAAAAGTGACCTAGACTACGACAAAGCCAGCATCGTACTACGGAGGTCTGGTTCCCCCATCATATAGATTCATGCTTGCCACACGGCTGAGCCGCCCCCACTTATGCCGGTCGATGACGAAGCATGACCGCCGCCCGGGCCCGAGCCCGGGGCGTTCTTGTACATATTCCCGACCTTGGCGCGGCGGCTCAACCTGGAGGGGGGGCCCTGGTGGCCGTCGCCAAAGTCAAAGTCGCCGCCGCCGAGCGAGCCGTCGCCCGTGGCGGAGCGCAGGCCCTCGCCGTCCTTGAAGACCTGGTCAAAGTAGAGGGGGATGGCGTTTGCGAGCTCTAGGATGGCGAGCGTGCGGTCCGAGTCGGTCCTCGAGTCGATCTCGACGATGCCGCGGCGCTGGTCAATCTTGCCGTCGACCTGGCCGTCTAGGATTAGGTAGCCGACAATGTCGCGAGCCTCTTCCGGGCCGATGCGCAGCTGGGACGCGATCCACGACAGGTGCAGGCGCTGGTAGGGGGCGATGAGGCGGTGGACGGCCTTTGTGCGCATGGTGCGCGTGACCTCGTCGATGTTCTCGGCGATGAAGGGGTCGGCCAGCAGGTCCGTGTTGCGCTTGAGCACGTCCTCGTAGCGGTGCACGTCGTCGCGCTGGTAGGCGTCGACCAGGTCCGTCATGGCGGCGATGCGCGGGTCGTTGCGGTAGGGCTTGGTCTCCTGCGAGTCGAAGGGGTTGATGTCGGAGCGCATGAGCATCGTGGTCAGCAGCAGGTACTTGAGCACCTGGATGCGCTGCAGCGACCCGGCCTCGTCGTAGTTGCGGAAGCTCTCAAAGAAGTCCGACTGCGCGTCCTTCCAGTTCTCCTCGCTCATGTGCATCTTGCCGCCGCACTCGCGGATGATGCCCATGATCTTGGGGTGCGGCACCGCTGACCGCACCTTGAGCGCGCGCCTGTACAGCCGCTTCAGCTGCTTGTTGTTGCGCGTCTCGGCGTACATCTGGATCTCGAGCGCGTACATCTCGAGCGCGTACGTGCCCTTGCTGGGGTCGTCGGTGCCGTCCTCGCGCTCGCACGCCTTGTGCAGCTCGCGCAGCTTGCGCGTCACCGTGTTGTAGTCGCGCCGGTCCAGCAGCAGCTTGCACAGCTTGATGTTGGTCTTGAGCCACAGCCGCTCGTTGTTGGTGCTCTGGAAGCACTGCAGCGTGAGCGAGTAGAAGGCCTCGAGGCACCTGCCCGCCCCTGCGTCGGCGCCCGACGCCTTCTCGATGTGGTCTAGCATGTTGTTGATGGACTTTTCAGAGTAGTTGCGCGTGACGGCCGACTTGACGTACGTCAGCAGCTGCTCGTAGTGCTCGATGGCCTTGTCGTAGCGCTGCAGCCGGAACTCGAGCTTGATGGCCTGCTTCAGGCCCTTGAACCCCCAGTCGCCCTTTTCCTCCTCCAGCGCCGTAACCCCGAGGAACTCGTCGATGGCATCCTCGGGATCGCTCAGCTTGAGCTGCTTGGCGTTGTAGTACTTGTTCTCGATGTCGACCGCCTCATCGTTGCCGTCGTCGTCGTCCTCGTAGTCGAAGTCGTATTCCTCCTCGTCCGAGGCTTGCATGAAGTCGTCGTCGGACATTGTGGCGGTTGGGTCTGATCTGGCTGGGCACGGCAGCGGTATGGAAGTGATGGCTGGTCGAGGTCAAGGCTGTTGATCAGGGCTGGCTGCTGTTGGCGTCGGTCAAAGACTCCAACCGTCATCCATTAGAGATGGGGCAGCCCCGGGTTCCGCTTGATGGGCGGTAGTAGGTTCGCGGGGCTACTTATCGATTGTGCTGGTGCTCGTCACAGTGGGGAGCAGGGTGGGGCGCCCGGGCATCATTGGGTGGTTGGGTACGGAAAAAGTACCTTTGCCACGATCCAAACGCTGGGGAGTGCTTAACTCAACCCGTGAGTCAAGATGTACCCGCTCGTGCCCGCTTCAACGGCCAGCCCCAACCTTGTCTTTCGCAAGCCCAGTTAAAACGCGACCATCTCAGACGGCAATCCGTCCACCCCGGCCAACTTCGCAGCTCCATACATCATTCTCGAATCGCTCTTCCGTGCTGGGAAATCATCGAGACAACAAGCAACAGATCCTCACCAACGCCAAAACTGCCTTCACACAACACCGACAGCATACGACAGACAGCGTGTCAATAACGCTTTACGAAATCACTCGCGCAAGTCGCTCGACCAGCCACCACCGTCAAGATGGGAGGCGGCGATCTCAACCTCAAGAAGAGTTGGCACCCTCAGCTGCTATCCAACCAGCGCCGCGTTTACGAGTCGGAGCAGCGCGCTCTCGAAGAACGCAAGAAGACGCAGCAGCGAGTCCAAGAACTCAAGGAGGAGCGCGCGCAGGAGGAATTGCAAAAACAGATCGAGCAGGCTGGTGGCACAAAACGCATCGACCGTGTCGAGTTCCTCTACCAGGGCCCTACAGATGGCGCTCTTGGCACTACAGAAGAGCTGGAAGGCTTCCTTCTGGGAAAGCGTCGCATCGACAACATCCTCACAAAGAACGACAATAAGCAAGTCGAGTCAACGGCGGCAGAGGCCAACTTCATGGCTCTTGGCAACGCAAACTCTGCCCGCGACACAGCCCAAAAGATCCGCGAAGACCCCCTGCTCGCCATCAAGCGCCGCGAACAGGCCGCGTACGAATCCATGATGAACGACCCCATCAAGCGCCGTCAACTCCTAGCCTCGATGGGTATCGAAGATGCAAAGAAGGAGAGCCGGGACAAGACAAAACACCGTCGCCATCGTGAAGACCGCGAAAATGGCCGTGACAGACGCCACAAGAGGAGGAGATCAGAGGACCGTGACCAGTCGCGCAGCAGGGACAGGAATGGCGCAAATTCCGAGAGGAAACATCGCAGCCGGCGCGACGACTCCAGAGATAGGAGAAGTCGCCGCGACAGGCATGATGGCCATGACGAAAACCACAGGCGAGAGGACAGCAGATCCCGCCATCGGTCTCGCTCAAGATCCCCGAGGCGCTCGCAAGCACATGAAGCAAGCAGGCGTCAGCGCTCTCGCTCCCCTCTGAAGCATGGTGACAGGTCAGAAGACCGCCATCCTCGACCTTCTCGAGATGGTCGTGCCGTTCGTGATGGCAGTGAGCCACGGCGCCAGCGATCTTCTGGAGAGTCTCACGATGACAGGCGAGATTCTTCTCGACGAGAGCCAGAACGCAACCAGGGACGCTACGACAGAAATTCCCGCTCCGACTGGACACGTCACAACAACAAGCACAAATCTCATGGAGGCGCGAGGAGTGGTGACGACAAGGCTGCTGACGAAGAGCGGGCTCGCAAGCTGGCAGCCATGCAAGAAGCAGCGTCGGAGCTTGACCAAGACCGACAGAGGAGGCTGGCTAAGATCGAGGCGCGTGAGAGGGATGAGCGCGAGGCGGACTCCCAGGCGCGGATGCAAGACAACCGGCAGGGAGGCGGAAGAGCCTTTGTCAACGGGCTGCACCGCAAAGCGGGCGAGATGTCGCTGTCTGATCGCATTGGGAGGAGCAAACGAGGGCTGCAGAAGGACGAGGAGTGAGGGACGGGACTGTTACGGGGTGGTTATCTGTGAATGGGGATTTTGGTTGACGTTTCGATACCCAAGCAAACCGAGCAGCTGGACGATAATGAATGACTGCATTTTGACATCTGATTGCCCTGTATTCGACATTTCTTTTGTCGCCCCGAGTCACGCTACAGAACCTTGGCGATACTAAATTTGGACTCAGTATTGATTGCATGCTCCTTCGCGTCACATGACAATTCACGTGTGTCAACCCTCGGTGCCAGGATCCCCTTGCCCGTCATTTCAATTGCTGCAGCCAAAGGTGGGCGATCTGGAGCGGAGATGATCTCCTGGGGAGCTGCAGCGGCGTGGCATCCTCCTCATCTTGGATCTCGCCATGGTTCGTGAGCTAGCAGCCAGGTACCTGACCTAGAGCCCTGACCTAGAGACATCCTAGGGGCAGGTAGTCGATTGAGGTGATTTCATCCCCTGTGCATGGAATCCGGAATCGTCTTGACTGCCCGACTTTGAATCCAATCACGACGTGACTCTAGCTGCATCTAGCATTCGTGGTTCCAGCATTCGTGGGCTGCCGCAGAGCACCTGGAGTGGTAACACCTGGAGCTGAGGTGCGGCGACGCGTCACAGCGCTGCATCCGCTACTGCATCAGGGCTGCATAGACGCCCACTGCCTTGTGCAGCGCCCGCCCGCTCGTCTCGCTTCTTTAATTTGGCACCGCACCGCAACCACAACCACGCCTCATCCACAATTGCCCGAACCGGCTCCTTTCTTTACCCGTTCTCCTGATTTAATCCATCAGCGACGACTCCTCGCCGTCTCAATCAATCCCCAGTCCGTCACCTGGCCTTCGTCCTGCCTCGTCCTGCCTGCTGCCTGCTGCCTGCCCTTGCGACCGACGCGAGTCGCCACCGCGAGCGACCGACACCCAGCGACCGAGCCGCCAGCTGAGCTCGACATCGTCAGCATCTCTCCCTGTCGATTCCCGTCTCCATCTCGACTTGCATCTCCCCGCCCATTGCACCATCCACGCCATCCCGCCCAGCACCCCTCCGACCCGACCGACACCATGCCTTTCTCTCTGTGTGGAGGAAGCAAACAGGTTCAGCGCAAGCTCGTATTGCTGTGAGTCCGTTCCTGGCGCATCCCCCAACCTGCTGTCAGCGCCCAAGACGGTTCTGCAGGAACGTGGCTGGGCCAAGGCCGATTGCTGACAATGTCCTTTGTGTGTTGCTTCCGTGAATAGAGGCGACGGTGCTTGCGGCAAGACGTCGCTACTAAACGTCTTCACTAGAGGGTACGCATTTCCCGGTCGGACTCTCCCCACCATTCGCCGTGGTGTCTCGTGCTGACGCGATTGACCCCGTTGCAGTTACTTTCCGACCGTGTACGAGCCAACGGTTTTCGAGAATTACGTCCACGGTACGCCAGACTTGCGAGAAGCCAGACAGACGCGCAGACATGCTTCCCTCGTGCCCCTTGCGAGTCTACAGCGCGCCTTCTAACATTTATCTCCAGACATCTTTGTCGACAATGTTCACATCGAGCTCTCGCTTTGGGATACGGCAGGCCAGGAGGAGTTTGACCGCCTACGGAGTCTTTCATATGGTATGCCCCGACCTAAGGAGACGCGCTAGCTCGGACGCCACGCGACGGGCCAGGGGCGAGTCTACAACTGACACGGACACTTGCAGACGACACGGATCTGATAATGCTATGCTACTCGGTCGACAGCAAAGACAGCTTGGAAAACGTCGAGTCCAAGTGGGTGGGCGAGATCGCCGACAACTGCCCGGGGGTCAAGCTGGTGCTGGTGGCGCTCAAGTGCGATCTAAGGCAGGAGGCGGCTGAGGAGGCAGCCGACAACGCGGCGGCCGGTGGCTCCAATGGGACGGCGGCCGACGGCCCGCAGACGTCGGGCACCAAGAACGCCGAGAAGAAGGAGATGATCACGTACGACACAGGTCTCGAGGTTGCGCGGCGCATCAACGCCATGCGGTACCTAGAGTGCTCCGCCATGCGCAATCGCGGCGTCAACGAGGCCTTCACCGAGGCTGCCCGTGTTGCCCTCAGCGTCAAGAAGGATCGCGAAGAGAGCAAGTGCACCGTCATGTAGGGCCTGGGTCGCCTGCTGCACGCGTGCTGCCCGTGCCTTGCTCCACCGTGCCCGAGCCCGTCGGACGGCGACGTCGAGCTGGTCGGACCGACGAGGGGTCGCTTGAGGGCCGCCGATTCCCGGCCCTTTGCCCAAGCGACGACCATGTAACACGAAAACACACGAAAGCTGGAGAGGGACGGAGGCTTGCGATGGCGTTGATTATGGGAGAGCATCCACTCCCAGTACGGTCGCGCCACAAACACGCAGCGTTTTTTTTTCTCGCAACGCCCGTCCCGCCACTACGCCTGGCCTGCCTGGCCCCTTGTTTTTCCTTTGCTATTTACTACCCCTTCTGGTTGTGTCTTTTTTTACATCGGCATCTTTATCCCCACCAAACGATTCCCCCCGCAACTCGGCGTTAGTTTTGCCCTCCGTTTTGCTGCCATCCTTCCCGGGTTCAGCCCGTGCTGCCTTCCTCGACTGGCGCTTATTCACTACGATCCTTCTAATAGCCGTTTCCCTTTTTTTGACCCGATTGCCAGCTTGATTGCTTCCCCATTTCCTCATTAGAATACTTGCTCTCACTGTCTTCGCCTTGGGGTGGGGGGCTTTCTCCATGGATGGGCTTTACGGCAAACGACCAAACACTAGCGAATACAAAAAGCTGGAAAGGAGCTCGTGGCGTTTTTTTTTCTTTTCTCTTTTATTCTCTCTCTAGTTCTTTGCTCTTTTGTCGACATTCCGTGTATATGATTCCTCTTGTTTTATTACTGTGCACATAGAGAGGTTTTTAATACCCGGACCCGGGGCTAGCGTCTGCTTCCCGATGCGTGTTGATTGTGAAACATTTCGAGGGCATTCCCTTGACTGCATGAATGCCCTCGTACCAGAACAAAGGGCAAACGGAGTGTGTGGTTGACAAGGGTTTAGAATTATGGGTATCAGATGCACGCATCCTCCCAAACAAGGCACCCACCTCGGCTTAGATGAGAATAGGTACAGAAAAGAAAGAAGGTATCAAACGTCGGATCGTAAATCACATGAGATGCAGCAGTAAACCACCTCTTGCTTCTCCAGCATCAAGCTTCCCACTCACTTTTCCACCCAAGCCGTCCAGGTTTTGCTTTCATCCCTCCACTGTCACGGACAGTTTGAGGGACAAGCAACCCTCCGACACGTTAACTCGACTCATGCGTAGTTGTCCTTGACGCGCCTGCTCCCCATCTCGTGGGGGCGGCGGCTCCTCACGCTTCTCTGCCGCTTGCCCCAGCGGCGGGAGCGGGACCTGTCGGCCTTTGAGCCGCCGCGGACGCCGGCGACGAGGAGGCCCGTGGCGATGAGCAGGGCGGCCCAGGCGCCCCAGGCGAAGCCGAAGGCGTAGGTGCCGATGTGGGCGTCGGTGCCGGCGGCCAGGAAGGCGTCGCGCATCTTGACAAAGGTGGCGCTGGTTGGGTTTGCGTGGGCCGTTTAGTCATTATGTAGAGTTTGTAGCGGAAGAGAGGGGGAGGAAAGAAAGATACAACGTACGTCATCAGCGCGACGGCAATGGTCAGGAAAAACAAGGCCCCCATGGACACGAGGCCCGCGACGGCCGAGCCCAGGCGGCCGAGGCAGGCGATGAAGGAGGCGAAGAAGGCCATGACCTCGAAGAAGAGGGCGATGAGGAACAGCACCCAGCCGAACCGCCACATGTACCAGTAGTATTCCGACGTCGTGTTGCCGTCCCAAGGTCTAGTCCGGGGTGGAGGACGTCAGCGGCTGGTTTTTGCCTTTGGTCGCAGCACGTGCTTTGGGCGGGCAAAAAGGGAAGAAGAAAAAGAAGAGGAAAAGAAGAAGAAAAAGAAGAAGAAAAAGAAGAAGAAAAAGAAGAAGAAAAAGAAGAAGAAAAAGAAGAAGAAAAAGAAAACTTACCCGAGAAGCTCGGTGGGGGCACCGGCGCCGCCGTTCGGCCAGGCCGAGCCGACGCCGGGTGCGGGCCTGGCGGGGGAGCAGTCGAGGTTCGCGGGCCCGCAAACGTGGAGGTAGGTCCAGCGCGATGTGCTCCTGGCGCCGCGGACGCCGTCGGTACTGGCCTCGAGGAAGTAGGTGTTGTTGAGGGGCGGGGAGTCGGCCACGCCGGCCAGGATGATAAAGAACATCATGGCCAGCGACCCGGCGAGGAAGGCCACGGCGGCCGGCCCCAGCGAGGCGTCTGCGGGAGGAGCCGCGTCAGAGGGTTGGGGGGTACGGTCAACATTTTGAGGCGAAACTTACGACTGACGGCCATGGCGGCAACCAGAGACCTTATCTTGGGATGCCTTTCTTCGGACGAGCAGCCGCGGGTGGGCGCTGGGACGCAGCCAGGAGGGCTGTCGGGATCCGTGGATTGTCGCAAATAAATGACTGGTCGGGCGCCTGCCCTGGTGGAACGGCGTCGTCGCAATCGCAATCTGAGAGGGCGGTGCGATGCGATCACCTTGATCAGACTGGGAAAAGAAGGAAGAAAAGAAAAGAAAAGACAGAGATGGCTCACGAGAACAAGGTTGCACGAGATGGGATTTAACGAGCAGGACAAAGAAGCACATGGAAATCAAGCAGAAGGTGGCATGTTCCGGCGTCAGCCAACGGCCACATTGGGCGATATTACTATCTGTGTAGTAGATGGACCAAGATGTGGCCCCCATTAAGATCTCCCTCGCAGGGCCGCGGCGTTGGGCAGGTGACTGAGAGCCATGACGACACCACCAGAAGGGTAGGTGGTCCGCTGTGGAGCCGTGGTCCTACTGGGGCGCGCACCAGGGCCCAAGCTCCCAGCTAGCCGAGGGGCCATGGAGAGCTGGTTCTGGGCCGTCGTGCTTTGTTCCTTTGAGAGGGGGGGACGCAGCCGACGTCATCCCTTGCTGCCACTTGCGGCCTTTTCCCGTCCGCCTCAGCGGCATCTGAACCTTTGCCCGGCTGTGAACCTTCCTGTGGGTGTGTGGTCAGCTGCCGCGTGTCGCAGCGTTCGCGTGCAAGTCACGACCACACGTCAGAAGGGCAGATCCGAGTCGGTGTGAGGGAAAAAAATCAAAAAAATCAGGGTCCAGCTGCGGCCAAGGACGACCCTTCTGACTCCCACGCGGGCAGCAGATGCTACGCAAAACCAAGGCAGCACGGCCAATCAGCCCTGCTGGTCAGCCTATCGCGAGCGAAACGTGAAACGGAAGCGACGAGGCCTTGAGTGAAACGTGGGGAAGACCAAGGCCGGGGTCGAAGCAGGCGTCTGGAGCAGGAATCCGACAGCAACAGCGCCATTTCAGGCCGCGGTTTGATCACCGCTACTGAGGCAGACATGCTGGGTCTGGATCTGGATCTGGATTTGGATCTGGATTTGGACCTGGATCTGGACCTGGATCTGGTTGGTCTTGGGTGGCGCATCCAGACTGAAGAGCCACCCCACACATGGGAGTTTTGTGGCTTGGCGGGGCAAGCAGTGCGGCGAGTCATCGCTTCTCGGCTGTCACGCCATGCCGCCGCGGCTGGAGCAAGGGACATGAAGAAGAAGGAATGGGAGTTGAGTGCATGCGGGCAGGCGTGTGAAGTACCTACCAGGTAGGCAAGTGTCAGATTATCAAGAGGCAGATAAAGCAAAGATGGAGCGTTTCGTCTGTCCATTGCAGCCGATAGATAGCAATGTGTTAATGCAAACAAGACCGCGGAAGTGCTTGGATTTTTTCTGTCCCTTCCACCTCCGCGGAACCTCGACGCTAATCCCGCCACGGCCATTGGCTGGCGCAGGCGATAAGACAGCCCCGAATGGCGTCAGCCAGACTCAGCATCCAAAAATTTACTCATGCCGAATCCCACGACGCCGATATCCGGCTTGCGGATTCCCGGAAGTGCCGCCGTCGCCTCTGCAAAATGTCCGTCCTGTCCAGCAACTCCTCGGGAGTGTGCAACTCGCGGGATCTCCCTTGCGAAAGGAGGGCAGTGATATATCTTGGGTAGCCTGGCCTGTTTGTCCTTTCTCCTGGACTTGGCAACACACAAAGAACCCTCAACACACGCATCAAAACGCCCAGCCATGGCGTCCACCCTCCCGCCCTACCATACGTCCATGCTGACGGCCGTCGACTGCCGAGGCCATGTGCACCTCGTCCTGGGCACCAACCCGCTGGCCGCCTCGCGCTGCGCCCAGAGCCTGGCCGCGGGCGCCACGCCCATCCTGATCGCCCCCGACACCACTAACGGCGACGCCGGCGACCCGCTGCACTACGCGCTGCGGCGGCGCGTCGACTCGGGCGAGGTGCAGTGGCTGCGGCGGCCCTTTGCGCCCGCCGACGTGTCGACGCTGGGTCGGCCCGAGGCGTCGTCGCACGTCGACGCCGTCTTCGTGACGGCGGGGCCACGCGACCCGCAGAGCGAGGCCGTGTCGGCCCTGTGCCGCCGCCTGCGCGTGCCCGTCAACGTCGTCGACGCGCCCCGCCTCTGCACCTTCAGCCTGCTGTCCACCCACACCGACGGGCCGCTCCAGGTCGGCGTCACCACCAATGGCCGCGGCTGCAGGCTGGCCGGCCGCCTGCGCCGCGAGCTGGCCGCGTCCCTGCCCGCCGGCATGGGCGCCGCCTGCGCCCGCCTGGGGGAGCTGCGCAGGCGGATCCAGGAGGAGGACGGGGATGTGGTTGAAAGGAGTCCGAAGCGGCAGAAGCGAATGGAGGAGGAAAAGGAGGAAAAGGAGGAGAAGAAGACGAAGACGAAGACGAACGACGACCAAGCGCCTCCTGCAGCCGAGGACGAAGACGAGTCGTACGACCAGCGCGCCACGTTTAATAAACTGGTGACCGACGCAGACCTCGAGGCGGCCAAGACGCGGCGCATGCGGTGGCTGGCCCAGGTCTGCGAGTACTGGCCCCTGAAGCGCCTGGCCGCCGTCGACGATGCCGACGTCGACGCCGTGCTAGAGGCCTATACCGAAACCGAGCAGCAGCAACACGACCCCGCCAAAAGCGAGACGTTGCCACCCTCCCCCGCCGCCCGTGGCCGCGTCATCCTCGCCGGTTCCGGGCCGGGCCACCCGGACCTCCTGACGCGCGCCACCCACAAGGCGCTGCAGGCGGCCGACGTGGTGCTGGCCGACAAGCTCGTGCCGGCGGGCGTGCTGGACCTGATCCCGCGCCGCACCCCCGTCACCATCGCGCGCAAGTTCCCCGGCAACGCCGACGCGGCCCAGGACGAGCTCATGGCCCAGGCCGTGGCGGCCGCGCGGGAGGGCAAGGTCGTGCTGCGCCTCAAGCAAGGTGACCCTTATGTCTACGGGCGCGGCGGCGAGGAGGTGGCGACGCTGCGGGCCGCCGGGGTAGCGGTCGCGGTGCTGCCGGGCGTCACGAGCGCGCTGTCGGCCCCGCTCTTCGCCGGCGTCCCGCCCACGCAACGCGACGTGGCCGACCAGGTGCTCGTGTGCACTGGCACGGGCAAGAAGGGCAGGCCGCCCGCGCCGCCCGAGTACGTGGCCTCGCGCACTGTCGTGTTCCTCATGGCGCTGCACCGCATCACGGGGCTGGTGCGGGAGCTGACGTGCCGCACTGAGGAGGAGGAGGAGGAGGAGAAGAAGAAGAAGCAGGCTGGGGACGCGGGACCACCACCATCCAGGGCACTGTGGCCCAAAAACACGCCCTGCGCCGTCGTCGAGCGCGCCAGCTGCCCGGACCAGCGCGTCATCCGCACGACACTCGAGTTTGTAGCCGAGGCGATCGAGCAGGAGGGCAGCCGGCCGCCGGGGCTGCTCGTTGTAGGCAGGGCGTGCGAGGTGCTGCACTCGCCCGAGAGGGGCAGGTCCTGGGCCGTCGAGGACGGGTTCAAGGGGCTGGACCTGGATGAGCTGGTGCCGCAGGTAGGGCTGTCGGCTTAGTCGCAATGTGTATAGATTTATGCCTTTTATATGTTGCGTATGAACAGACCCAAGCATCACTTCGAAACGACGCAAGAAAAAGAAATCATGTACCCAAGATACGCCTGCTAACCCCTTGCGCCCAGCCGCGTCTTGCAAAGTGCACCAAACATGCCACTCGTCAGCTCGCCTCCTCGGCCTCTTCAAACAGTACCAGAATCGTCCCCGCCTTGCAAATGTCGCCCTCCTTGTGCGCTAGTTTCTTGATGACGCCGTCCTGGGGCGAGCGGATAACTGTCTCCATCTTCATGGACTCGATGCTGTAAAGGTGTTAGCTGGTTGCTTCCCGTTATGGCGTTTTAAAAGGAAAAAAAAAACCAAAAAAAAACTCACACGACCAGCGGCGTCCCCTTCTCCACCACGTCGCCCTCGCCCACCTCGTTCCGCAGAATCTTGCACGGCATGGGCGCCACGACCGACGCGGCCGCCTCCTTGAGCCCCAGCGCCTCCTCGTACCACGACGGCTGCGCCAGCGCCAGCTCCGTCTTGGTGCCGAGCTGGAACACGGTGATGCGGTCGCCGTTGGTCGGGTCCCGCACCACCGTCGACTCGATGCGCGCTAGCGGGAAGAGCGACCTGACGGTCGTTTTTGTCGAGTTCCTAGTGCTGCTGCTGCTGCCGGTTGTGATGTTGTCAAACTCGCGAGGCGTCTCCTCGCCGCCGCGTGAGACGCGCGCGTTGAACAGGCCGCCGCCGCGCTGCGTTACCACCACCTCGACCACGTCTTCCTTGGCGCCCTCGGCCGGCTGCTCCGCGTAGCCGTCCGTCACCTTGAAGGCAAACCTGCGGTCCCCCGTGGACGCGCCCGCGTCGCCGAAGCCCAGCGTCTCGCCGTGCGGGCCCGGGGCTGCTTGGGGAGGCGACGAAGCAGCGGCGAGCGCCAGGGCCGCCTGGACAAACACCTCGTCCTCGACGCGGCGCGGCGCAAACAGGTCGTCCCGCCAGCGCTCGATGAAGCCCGTATCGAGGTCGCCCTCGACAAAGGCCGGGCTACGGCACAGGCGCTTGAGGAACTCGATGTTTGTGCTAAGCCCGACCACCTCGTACTCGCGCAGCGCGAGCTCCAGCCGCCGGATCGCCGTCTCGCGGTCGCGGCCGCGCACGATGAGCTTGGCTATCATGCCGTCGTAGGCCTGCGACACCGTGTCACCCTCGACGAAGCCGGCGTCGATGCGCACGTCGGCGTCCTCGGCCGCTTTGGAGTCGGTGTCGGTGCGCGGCGTGGCCAGGTGCACGAGCCGGCCCGAGTCCGGCAGGAAACCCTTCTCCGGGTTCTCGGCGTAGATGCGGGCCTCGATGGCGGCGCCGCGGCCCCGGATGCGCGCCTCGATCTCATCCTGCGTCAGCGGCAGCGGCTCGCCCGCAGCCACGCGCAGCTGCCACTCGACCAGGTCCGTGCCCGTCACCATCTCGCTGACGGGGTGCTCAACCTGCAGCCGCGTGTTCATCTCCATAAAGTAGAAGCGGTCCGTGTCGCGGTCCAGGATGAACTCGACGGTGCCGGCGCCCACGTAGCCCACGGCGGCGGCGGCGGTGCGCGCCTTGGCCCACAGGTCCTGGCGCAGTTCCTCGGCTAGCCCTGGCGCGGGCGACTCCTCGAGCACCTTTTGGTGGCGGCGCTGGACGCTGCAGTCGCGCTCGCCCAGGGCCACGCAGGCGCCGTGGCGGTCGGCAAAGACCTGCACCTCGACGTGGCGCGGGCGCTCAATGTACTTCTCCACCAGCATCACCTCGCCGTCCGGGCCGAAGCTGGCGCGGGCCTCGGCGCGGGCGCTGCGCAGCTGGGCGGGGAACTCGTCGACCGAGCGCACGATGCGCATGCCCTTGCCGCCGCCGCCCTTGACGCTCTTGAGCAGGACCGGGTACGTGATCTCGGCGGCGCGGTCCTGCAGGAAGGCGGGGTCCTGGTCCGGGCCGTGGTAGCCTGGCACACAGGGCACGCCGGCGGCCGTCATGAGCTCCTTGGACCGGGCCTTGTCGCCCATGTCGGCCATGGCCTGGGGCGGCGGACCGACGAAGTTGATGCCGCGGTCGGCACAGAGCCGCGCAAACGCCGCGTTCTCCGACAGGAAGCCGTAGCCTGGGTGCAGGGCCGAGATGCGGTGGCGGGCGGCTAGGGAGGCGATGCTGTCGCCGTCGAGGTATGCGCGCGGGTCGGAGCCCAGGGCGATGGAGGAGGGCGAGGCGGCGGCATGCTGCGAGTCCTTGTCGACGTCGGTGTAGATGGTTGTCGTCGGAATGCCGAGGCGGGTGGCGGTGCGGTGGATGCGGAGGGCAATCTCGCCGCGGTTGGCGATGAGGAGGGAGGTGATGGGGGTGGTGGTGGTGGTGGTGGTGGATGTGGTGCTGGCAGTGGTGCTGCTACTCGATGCTGGGGTCGTCGTGGAGAGCAGGCGGGAGACGTTGCGCAGTGGCAGCCGCGCGTGGGCTTTCCTGAGGGACCGCATCTTGTTTTGTTGTTGTCGATGCCTCGGAGTGGTTTGGATGAAAGATGGACAAGCAGAGAAGGTAGGTTGGAGGTCAAGACCTCAACAGCTCGGCCATTCCAGCCGCTAGCACAGCACCTCCAGAGCCGAGGCTAGCCGTCGTGGGCGCCCAATTGGCGCCAACCCCGCCGAATTGGGCCGACGTCATCAGCACCCCTGGCACCATCCGGAGCACCTGACCCACTCCATCCTAGCTGCCGTCGAGCTGAACAGCGCTGGCGCCAATTGTCAGCATTATCCCCTCCGCCCAGCCATCCATCGACCAGCCGCCAGACTGCTAAGGCTTACAGACAGCCACCATGGACCAGATCCCACTCAACCATGAGGCCTCGGCCGGCGACACGCACAAGCAGACGACAGCCACGCTGCCCGGCGAGGTGGTGCAGTGCCTCGAGAATGCGCGCTTCCTGCACCTGGCGACGTGCACCGACAACGTCCCCCACGTCTCGCTCATGAGCTACACCTACCTGCCCGAGTCACCCTTTTCCCAGGACCCCGTCATCGTCATGACCACCAACGCCGCCAGCAAGAAGACCAACAACCTGCTGGCCAACCCGGCCGTCTCGCTGCTCGTACACGACTGTAAGTTGACTAACTTGATGGACAAACAACCCCTGGGCCTACCCCCCTGCCTAACTAACACCGGTCTTGCATAGGGGTTTCGCACCGCCCTCCCAACGCCCGCCGCATGTCGGGCGGCTCGCCCGGCCCCGAGCACCGCTCCAGCCTCGCCAACCTGCTCCTGAACCTCAACACGTCTTCAATCTCGTCCATCTCGGCCACCATCAACGGCTCTGCCCGCCTGGCCGACGCCGGCTCCGACGAGGAGAGGTACTACCGCCAGCAGCACCTCGAGAACAACACGTTCGACGCAGACGCCGGTGGTGTTGCCTCGTCACTTTTTGCCGCCGCCAACGGCGCCGCGCCTGATGCCGACTCTGCCGCCAGACCTTCCTTTGTCGACGGCGAGGACGTCCGGGTTGTCGTCGTCGCCATCAAGGACGTGCGCATCAGCGACTGGAAGGGTGCCGTGAGGGACTGGGTGCTGCTACCTGCCGAGGAGCCGAGGTTAAACGGGGTGAGGTAGGCGAGGAAAGTTCATGTCGGACGGCTCCGGATGGGATACACACAAGAGCGATGGACAGAGCATTACCTATTGATATCATGCGGGCCCTGGGCAGTTGGAATCTATCTATCACGTCTCATGTTGTGTCCGGCAGCGAGCTCACAGCCTTCACAGCCTTCCCTTTCTCCTCAAGCCCTGCCACAGCGCGATTGCGGCAAGGCACTTGGCGTCGCAGGCGCCCTCGTACCAGAGGTCGTCCATGGGCACCAACTTGAGGGTGATCTTTTCTCCCTCGTCCCGCAGCCCCGTCAGCTTGCCCGTCCACTCTGCCAGCTGCTTGCGCGGAACCCTCCGCTCGTGCATGAAGATGGGTATGTACTCGTCGCAGCCCCCCGCCGACGGGTACACGGCCCGCGCCAGCTTCTCCCCGGCGTCCCGCTGCCCCCCGGCCGCCGCCGCCGTCGCCGCCTCCTCGGCGGCCAGGTCGCTCAGGCACGTCAGCTCCGACGCGGGAATGTCCAGCCCCAGCTCCTCCTTGATCTCGCGCGCCGCCGTGCCCGCGAACTGACCCTCGTCATCCACCATGCCGGCCGGCAGCTCGGCAAAGGCCAGGCTGCCGGCGGCGACGCGCGGCTGCACCGTCAGGAGCACGTGGCGCTCGTCGGCGCCGTCGTCGGGCATGAGCACCACCATCATGGCGACCGACGGTCCGCGCAGGAAGACGGCGCCCGGCAGCGACTCGCCCGCGCCGTTGGACACGTCCGCCGCTAGCTTGAGGAAGCCGACCCGCGACGCGCCGAACAGGTCGAACGCCTGCACCGTGACGGACCGCAGCCGGTACGGGTCCTGGCCGAAGGGGTGGTTGGCGGCCGTGGACTGCAGCGCCAGCGACGAGGTCAGGGTCGCGACCCAGTTCTGGGAGGAGCATGCATGTCAGCCTGGGGTGACACGGGCGGGGATGGGGTTGCGTCTTGTACCTTGAAGGGGTGGAATCCCAGGAGCTGCTCTTTTGATAGGCCCTGGGGTAGGGTGACTGGGATGTCATGGTCTGGGAGCTGAAAGGTCGATGCCATTCTGCAAAAGCCAAGAGCGGGGCGTGTGTTTGAGTGAGCTTGTCTGGAGAGGGCTCGGAATACTCGTGGGAGCTGGAGATGGGGTATGGTTTCTAGGCGCATATCACTGACACATTGAAGAGTTTTAGAGTACTATTTGATGAGTGTTTGCGGCTGTCTTTATTCAATCTAACCAACGCTTGAGCTTCCATGACGTCGGGCTGTGTTTGCTGTGTGGAGTTGAAGGTGGGGGCAGAACGCCTTCAGTGGGCGTTTTGCAGAAGATGGAAAAAATCCAACACCAGGCGGACAAAGACAATGGGCTGACGTGGGCGACACAGCAGTGTGCCCACATCCATCACAGCAGCGTGTTCGACCATGATAAGGCCGACTGCTAATCTTGCCTGCATCTGCTTGCTGCCTCTCCAACCCATGAGCTGCCCGCGATGCCCTCGACGACGGTTCCACCACCAGGCAAAAGCCCCGGACACAGTAAGCCCGCGCTCAACTGTGCAAGAGGCAGCCAAGCTGCGATGCCCCCCACGCCTTACAAACAGCCTGGCCGCAGTCGGGAGGATCCTTTTCGCTCGGACTTTCTTCTTCTTCCCTGTCTGGTATTCACGAAGCGAGGGTTTTGTTTGGTTGGTTCCAAACCGAACCCAGGAATTAGTATTGATGTTTTCTCGCACTCTAGCACCGCCTGTTGATGGAACATATCTGGCTTTTGGGGGTAAACCCGGAGCTGCGTGCGTGGCAGCCTAGGGATCGTCGCAAGACCCCCTGGTCTACTCCCTGCATCTGCCTGCTCCTCAGACGCTAGACCTCGCCATGGCCAATACCCCTCACCCTGCCATTGGCTGCCTTTCCGGAGCTCGATCAGCGCCAATGCAGGATGCCCTGCTCCGGCCTGGCTGCTGTCGCAGCTCCGGCAGCTGGTTGAGTCACTGCCCGAGCTTTTTTGGTGAGGCTGTAAGCTGCAAGCTGCAAGCTGCAGTGACGGCTGCTGGCAGCTGCACTGCTAAGGCAACAGTCTTGAATTTCCAGTAGAAGCATGAATGCGCTGTCTCCAATAGCCTGGTCCAGCCCGTCTCCGGTGGTAGCATTAATACACCCTTTTGTCCTCCCCTCTCGCCTCGTCTTGGTCTTGATGCAACACCAACCTTGACTCCCATCCTTCCGCTACATCCCCAAACACAGCCGGCAGACACACAATGGCGCCCTCTGCCGTGGTAGACGAACTCCTGGCCGAGCCGCAGGCCAACGGCACCAAGGCCAAGGCGGCCGCGGACCAGGCCAACGGCGAAGCGTCGTCCTCCGACGGCAAGGCGGACGACAAGACCGAGGACGGCGGGTCGGACAGCGAGACCACAGAGGACGACAAGAAGGCCGACAAGAAGGACGACAAGGAGGACGACAAGCCCAAGGAGCCGCTGGCGCCCAAGGGCTCCCTCAGCACGCCCAAGAACATCTACCGGTCCGCTAAGGACAGCGACGGCAACTGGTCGTGGGTCGACCACCCGCCCAAGGACCTGCTCGAGGCGGCCGAGAACGACGCGACGGCCCAGTACGCCGTGCTCGTGCGCAACATCAAGTCGCAGGACTCGCGCAAGAAGCTCGAGGCCCACTCGCTCGTGATCCAGAGCGAGTGGCTCCGCAAGGCCCTGGGCGAGATCCTCGAGGGCTACCCGGGCGTGGCCTGCGAGCTCGAGCGGCTCGAGTTCGAGGCGCCCTTCCACCCCTTTGTGCACCGCTGGCCCGAGTACACGGCCTACATGGCCAAGCCGGACCTCGACGAGACCACGAGGGAGCACCTCAAGGTGCTGCACGACATTTTGACCTACGAGATTGGCGACCAGATCCGCGCCCTCGAGGACTACGTCAAGGTCAAGAACATCAAGTTCTCGGACCTGTGGATGATCCTGCAGCCCGGCGCCGTCATCTTCTCGGCCTTCAAGGGCGCCCACTCGGCCATGCAGCTGCACGAGACCGAGTACATGCAGAACCAGTGCGGCCGCTTCCTGCGCCTGCGCCTCGAGTGCATCGACTACTCGGGCAAGGAGTTCGGCCGGTCGCGCGAGGTGGTCGACGTGCCCGAGTTCATCGGCCTGCGCAAGATCACGTCGCTCAACGCCTTCCCGCTCTCGTTCCACGAGGCCAAGGAGGAGGTGACGGAGCTCCTCGTCGGGCGCGGCAAGCTCTTCGAGGACCTGGCGGGACACTGCTTCAAGAGCTACGACGGCACCGCCATCACGTGGGACCGCGAGGGCAACGAGGTGCCCGTGCAGGTGTGCGGCCGCATCGTCATCGACATCAAGTCCTTCAACCGCTTCAGCCCCTACCCGCGCCGCTACGTCGAGGACTTTAACGCCCAGGACCTCGAGCTGCTGGCGGCGCACCGGCTCGCAAACGGGCTCGAGGGCGCGGGGCCGCTGCGCCTGACGCCCTTCCACCACATGCTCTGCCGCGGCCGCACGCGCGGCTACTCGCTCAAGCTCAAGAAGTGGCTCGACTTTTACGTCGAGCACGTGGCCGAGATCGAGTGGAACCGCCGCGCCTTTGACCGCCTCGTCCTGCCCGAGGACCAAAAGGAGCTGATCCTGGCCTTTTCCGAGTCGCAGCTCGACCAGACCGAGGGCGGCGGCGGCAAGTCGTTCGACGACTTCATCGCCGGCAAGGGCAAGGGCGTCATCTGCCTGCTGGCCGGCCCGCCAGGCGTCGGCAAGACCCTGACGGCCGAGGCGGTGGCTGAGCACCTGCGCGTGCCGCTGCACACCCTCAGCTCGGGCGACCTGGGCTCGCAGCCGTGGGAAGTGGAGCACGGCCTGTCGCGCATCCTGGAGCTGGTGGCGCGCTGGAACGCCATTCTGCTGCTGGACGAGTGTGGTAAGTCTTTTTGTTTGCTTTTGCGTCTCTACCTTCTCGAATGGTCGGTCGGTCGGTCCTCTAACCCCAAGACCCGACAAAAACAGACGTCTTCCTAGAGGCCCGCAGCACCCACGACCTGGAGCGCAACAAGGTCGTCAGCATCTTCCTGCGCACGCTCGAGTACTACGAGGGCATCCTCTTCATGACCACCAACCGCGTCGACAACATCGACCAGGCCTTCCAGTCGCGCATCCACGTTAGCCTCGAGTACAGCTCGCTCGACCCAACCTCGCGCGCCGCCATCTGGCGCAACTTCCTGGGCGGCCGCATGGGCATCACGCCCACCGATATCGAGGAGCTGGCCGAGTACCCGCTCAACGGCCGCCAGATCAAGAACGTGCTCAAGACGGCCCAGCTGCTCGCCTCGCGCAAGCAGAGCGAGCTCAAGCGGAGCTTCATCGACACCGTCCTGGCCATCGAGAAGCGGCGGCCGGGCGCTGTTCAGGCGGACGCGGCGTAGGGTGTTTTTTTTTTTTGTTTTTGTTTTTTTTGGGTGTTTTGAGTGCTTTGCAGGGTATTCGGCTTACTTGGGTCTTTTGTGTAGCGTCAACATGTTTCAACATTACGAAATGGTCGCTGCGAATGCATATGGTAGTAAACATTCATGCCTGCTGGATTATTATTATCCTACGTCTTGATAATGTTGGCGGCGGCCTGGATGCCCTTGGCCGTTTTGGACACCCACTCCTGCGCGATGGAGAGGTTACCGTACTGGACACCCTCGGTCACGCCCGGATACGTCGTGGGGGCGTACCCCGTGTCCAAACCCGGCGCAAACGCGACGTGCCTGAAAAAGTTCCTCCCCGGCAGCCCCCCTTGGCTGACGAAACCCCTCTGGAAGTCACGGTACTTGTGGTTGACGACCTTGATCAGGTCCTTGTCGTCCGTGGAAACGGCGAGCATCTCCAGGGTCTTGACCTCTGACGCGCGGCGCTCAAAGACCCCGATGGCGTCGGCCAGCTCGGCGAGGTCCAGCTTTGCGTCCTTCTCGGCCGCGTAGTCGACGAGGTCGTCGTAGTAGGCCCGGAGCTCCTTGCCGTAGTTGGGCAGGTCAAAAGGGATGACCTCATCGTCGGCTATGTGCAGGGCGAGGAGGGTCAAGTATTGGCCCTGGGTTGAGAGTCAGGTCAGCCAGGAAGCCCTTTTTCCACTGCATCTCGCTAGTCATCTTACCATGGCAGCATGGATGTGGAAGCCCGGATCGCCAAAAGTCGACATCCAGTAGTACGAGTCGTAGTTGCTGTGGTAGTGCCACACGGGATCTTGCGAGCTGCCACCTGATCCCATGTCGACCTGGGCGGAAGAGTGCCTAGTCAGTATCAAGGAATGTCCGAGTAAGTGGAGGAGAAAATGGATGTAACATACTGAGCTTATACCAGAGTGGACAAAGGCAGTGTAGTCGCTCCCACTACCGAGTGCTCCCACAATGCCGCCCGAGGCCTCGCGCCAGGCGTCGTACAGGCTGCGGTTGAAGCCGCCAAAGTTGGGGTGCACAACCTTTTTCATCACCTCGGTGGCGATGGTGTGAAGCTCCGGTGTGGTGGAGAGACTTGGGCGAGGGCCAGAAACGGCGACATCGATGTTCAGATAGGCGACGGCAGTCTCCGTGAGCGCGTTGACGTGCTCCTCAACCCATTCGGTCGACCCCAGTAGCCCATACTCCTCGGCGTCCCAAGAGGCAATTACACTGTGGGAGCGCTGATTAGCATGCAGCAAGCGGATCGATATCGATTGTATGCCGAACGAGACTCACATTGTCCGCCTGGGCTTCCAGCCAGTCTCGAGCAGCTTCTTAATGGCCTTGGTGAGCTCGAGCAAAACGGCACTTCCAGAGTTGGGATCGCCATTCCCGCCCTGGTTTGGTCTTTTAGCTTCCGTCCAAAATTTGAGGCCCGCTCTGGTTGAGGGAAGGCTTACAATCATCCACGTGTCGCGGTGATTTCCAATGACGACAACCTCGTCCGGGTTGGTGCCGTTGATGCGGCCGATGACGTTCCAGATAGGGGTGATCTTGCCCTCCATCTGGTTTACCAGCGACAGTTTGACGCCAGGGGCGGGACCGGTGCTATATGTGGCGTTCAGGGCGCCGCCCCAGGAGCGTGTGCGGTTGACCTCCTGAGCCGTGAACCCGTGGCCATCTAGGGCCTGAAGAAGGGGCTCTGCGGCAGCGTATGAAATGGGGATCGAGGGGATTCGCGGCGTCACCTTTTCGGTGCCGGTTCGCGGGGCGCCTTCATGGGATGGGTAGCCGGGCGTGGTGGGGTCACCTGGATACTGGCTCAAGAACATCACGGAGCCCTAAGGAAGAATCAGTAGATGATATAAAAGAACGAGTTCATGCACATCCGCGTACCTTTTGGACGGAGCTGGGGTTCCTGGCAGGGCCGTGAGGGTAGGCGGCAACGCCCTTGGCCACGGTATTGTTGCCGTCGTCGCCCGGGTCCGAGAAAATCACAGCGCCAATCATGCCGTGGTCCTGGGCATTTTTGACCTTGAGGCCGCGGAAAATGGTGCCATAGCGCACAAGAGCAATCTTGCCTTCAAGGTCGACACCGAGTGCGACGAGCCGCTTGAAATCATCAAAGGTGTCACACGGGGATTGAACCAGTAACCCAGAAAGGCCGAACGGACGGCCAACAGGACGAGTTACAGGACAACGATAGGAAGCTGGGCGTTGGTTGGGCCGGCTAGAAGGGTTACAAGGACCCCGCATGCATTACGCGCCCGGTCGAAAGGGAGTTTGTTCCCCTTAACCCAAGTACGTATTTTTCCTATGCGCCCAAATAGCCTATATAAAAAAGGCTTATTTTTCGAGGTTATCGCCGGAAATTTTGCTTTTTTAAGCATTTTTTAAAAGCTTTAAAAAATTATTAATATATTGAGCACTTTCCAAGCCGATCCCAGATTTTTTTGTAACAAATAATTTCTTATTATTCCGGGATTGCTTTAACGTATTTATACTTTTGTTAAAAAGGGGTATCGTTAATTTAAATTATTTTTAACCATTACTTATTTCCATAGGTTTAATTCCCCTTTTTATTGCGCAAATTTTTAACAACGTTGCCGCGATTTTACGCATTTGGGCAGATAACCAAACCGGCTCGCCGAAATCTGCCCCTAAGGACGAAAAAAACCTTGCTAAAATAAGCGGCCCTATATTTTTTTGTTGGTATTGCACCCGCCTTACCGTTTAAAGCTCGCGAGCTTGCATTTATTACTTTACGAAGGCCGAACGCGACCAACAATTACGCTAAAAACCGACTTTGGCGTCGGTCGCCGTTACAACGGACCCCGATAAGCCCCCGCAACCGGTTACTTCGCAACCGCTTGCTATAACCACCAAGCTTACCGCTAAATCTTTTAACCCGCTTGTTACTTTAAATAACAAGCTTGCTTTTGCGTTTAAAAGGCTACGCGTTTTTTCCGAACCAATTAATCCGCGGCAGGTAACCTTACTTATTGCGACAAAATTTAAGCTTATCGGCGAAAATCGCCTTACCCGGGTCGAAAAACAATAAAGCGATTTTAAACAAAACCTTACAGCACGCGTTAACGTTTTAATAAAAAATTTAAATTACGCTCGTAATTTTACCCGTACCGTCCTTATATAAACAAATTAATAATACGAAGCCATTGCTTAGCTTTTAAAAAAGGGAAAAAAAAACGAATTGCATACGAAAGCGCCGTTGCGAAACGCATTGATACTATTAAAAAGCGCTTGCGATTCGAAGCAAATTAAGCATTTAATAACTTCGCTTTGCAAATTAACATTATACGGGAAAACCTTACCGCTTTTACCCAATAAATTAAAGCCCGAAGCAAAACTACCAAATCGTAAATTTCCGCTTTCCGAAAAAAGCATAAAAAAACCATTAAAAAGACCAAGCAGGGATTCGCTTTACAAAAGCGGGAATACGAGCTGCTAAAAAAGGAAATTACTTAGCTTTTTTTCCTAACGCATGCAATGGAAGCCACTTTTAAGAATACGATGCTTTTTAACGAAATTAAAAAGCGTTGCAATAATTTTAGCAAAAAAGTTAATAGCAATTCCGAACAGTTACAGCAATAAAATAACGCTATTACCGCTTTAAAATATAGCTTTGGCGTAATTACAAAATTTTACTAAAACCATTTTTAACAAATTTCCCGCATTACATTACCAAAACCTTTGCTTTCGTACAACGAAAGCCGGTAACTTTTAATTAAATTATTATTTTTTAATATTATTATGGCCGATAAAGAGCCCGCGGCCGAGCTTTGCGGGCAAATACCGTTTTAACCGCCCGTTGCAAGCTTTAAAGCTAAAAACAACGACCCGGAATTTAAACGGAACGGTTCGGTAAAACCATCCGTTGCTTTTAAACGGTTTTACTTACAAACCCCCAATAAAGTTCGTTAAAAATAAAATACCCTTATGCTTAACCTAAACATGGGAGCCATCGTGCTTTACATTATTTTTATTTTTAACAAGCTTTAATAAAGCAACGGCGGAAAACAATTCCTGCCCGTTATTTAAAAACCAAACTATTAATTACGTATCCCGGGGAACCTTACGTACGCTTAATGGATAAAGGAAATTTATAACGGCCTTTAAACATTTTACCAAACAATTTTGGCCTTTCGGCATGGAATTAAAAACTTTTTGCAAATTACCGAGCTCGTTTAATTCCAAATGGCAAAATTGCGCCAGCAATACAATTTTACCCGCCAAAATTACATAACGGTTTTTTAAATCGTCCAAAACGGCGTAACCATTTCCAAAGCACAAACCCGGAATTTTAAAAAAAAAATAATCGAAAATAGCAATTTATTCGCCGCTAAAATGTAAAATGTTATCGCCAAATCCGCTAGCGACAATATTACCCGCAAATACGCTTACAATAAAATAACCAAAGCTTACGAAATTTACCGATTAGCAATTAAAAATATATACCGTTGCTTTGCTTATATTATCGAAACCGTTGAGCAATGGGCGGGCTATACGGAATACAAAGTTACTTATACCGAACAAAGGCTAAACAACTTCGAAAAACGATAAAAAGCTATAACGGCTTACCTTTTAATTACTTTAAAACAATAGCAAGCGTTTGCTAAAAACATTATCGCTAAAATTAACCGGCGATTAACCAAAAGCAAGCAAATAAATATAACGGCCGTATTGTTACGAATTGCTTTTCGTTAAGCTTTTCGTTAAGCTACCCCCGTTGCTATTGGCACCTTTCCAATCCTGGTTTTTTTCGCCCGAACCCCGGTTACCCGGTTATTTGCGTTCCGGACCAACCTTACGCGAACCAAAAACAATTCGGTACTTAGCATAGCTTTATCCGTTTTAAAGCAATCCAATTTAATGCACCGCTAAATAATGCAAAAAAACCTTGCCGGATTTATGGCCGCCATGCATTAATAAGCCTAAAAAAGCTTTTACTTTTAAATGCTCGGCATAATTAATGGAATTTCTTTAAAAGGAATATCGTTATAGCAACCTTTTATGCTATTAAAGGATAACCTTTCGTTTTTCGATTTAAATGGGGATGGATACGGTTAACCCCCGGGGCTTCCGCCCCGCTTACGAACGGGCTTATCCTCGGTAAGCAAGGACCCTTTTCGCCGGTACGGAACAATTTTTATAGTTAATTCCGTTTTACTTAAGTTACCCCCCGTTTTTAACGGAAAAAAAACGGAATTTAAGGATTGGTAATATTTGGTACGGGCCTTTATAAGCGCCGTTCTTTAAACCTTTATAAGCGACGACCATAAAATTTTTTGGGTGGGTTTTTACTTTAAAAAAGCCGCTTTACGCGTCCACGTAAGGAAAGTACGGATGCTGGAAGCCTACGGACTTCCCGATACTTAAAACGCTTATTTTGGGTTTTTAGCCAATACGTTTTATAACTTTAACGAAAAACGCACGGATTCCATTAAATTGGATAATTTTAAATACAAAAACGATATTGTCGGGTTTTTTATGGAGCTAACCCAATTTAATGCAATAATTAAACTAACCGGTACCCGTTTTAAAAACTTTGTTAAAAAAAAACTTCCTAACGAAATAAGCCGGTTTGTTTACGCCAATAAAAGGCGCATCCTTAACGTAAACAAAAAATTCTTGGAGTTTTTCCAAAAAGCCGGCATTACATACGAGCTTATGGCGGCAAATAAAAATACATTCCAAAAGCATTATAAAAACCAAAGGCCCAAAAAAAAAGGAAAAAGCAAGCCCGTTTCGATTTCGAAGCGTTCGAACGCGGGCCGTCCCTGCGATAAAAGCTTTAAAAAAACCCCCGGCCCATTTTTAAATTCCCGTACCGCGGCAAACAAAGGAACGAGCCCCGGCTAAACTTGCAAAAACAATGTTTAAACCATTACTTAAAGCGCTTTCGATAGCGTTAACCAAAAAAACATTAATGCCCGAAAAAAGGACGGTATTAATTGCTAGCGATGCGGGCGAAATAATTACCACATTCGGAAGTGCTTTGCTAAAAAAGATACCGCGGGTACCGAGCTTTCCCCATTACCCGCGAAAACGGCCGCCGGTGCCAAAAGGCCCGTTATCGAACCCCCGCCGGTAAAAGAAAAAACCAAAAAGCGTTTTAATAAAAAGGTTAAAATAATTAAAATGGCTAAGCACGTTTTTAAACCAAACCATAACCAATATTTCGAAGAAATCGATACGGATTCCAATTGCTAAAATTTAAGGGTTTCGATAACGCCACCCAAAGGGTTTTAAAAAGGCAATAGCGCTATTTAAACCGTTATTTGCGCTTTTTTGCAAGCCCGAATAACGGGCTTGACCCGGGTAATTACGAAACCCATATTAAATATGGCCTTGCGAATTAAAGGATAAAAAAAAATTACGGTTAAAATTTTTTTAAATTGCGGCAGCAATAACGGGTTTTTTATTTTTACCCAAATGGCCGCCAAATTATAACTATATGTTACCAAGCAAACGGTTTTAAAACCCATATTTAATTATACAAAACAAAAAAAGAACCCGTTAATTTATTACATACCCCGGGTTATTTTGCGGCATTATAATTACCGCTTTCGCGTAAACCTTAACGTGTTAAACCTAAATCCGGATTGCAACGTTTTATTGCCCGTTTAATGGATAACCCGCCATTACCTTACTGGGATTTTTAAACGGGACCATAAAAACATTCGTTTTAATACGAACGAATGCAAATCGTACCGCAAACTTTGGTCCCGTAAAATTTCCGACCTTTGCGATTTAACAAACATTTGCAATACAAACCCAATTACCGTCGCCTTAATTAAAAAATTAACGTTAATAAAACTTTTGTTTAATAATACCAACGAATTCGATAATATTTTAAAAAAGTTCCGCAAATTTTTCCCAATTATATTCCTAAAAGCAGTTATGCGCTTATTAAACCATTAGCTTTAAAATTACAAAATACATTTAAAAAAAAAGGCTACTTTTAATTAGGAATTTATATATAACTTTAGCGAAAAAAAACTTAGCGTTTTAAAACCTTAGCTTACCAAAAACCTCGAAGTAAAACGGATGTACGAAAGGAAAAAAGCGGTTGGAGCACCCTTAATGTTTGCCGAAAAAAAAGACCCAAAGGATCCGTTACGCCCAATTATCGATTACCGCGATATTAACGGCAAAACAATCCCGGAACGATGCCCGATCCCGTTAATAACGGAACTTTAAAACCGTTTTCGCAACGCCCGGTAAATAACCAAAATTAACCTTAAAACCGGCTTTTATTTAATCCAAATAAAACTAGGGCACGAATGGAAAACGGCGTTTCGTTGCAAGTATAGCCTTTTTAAATTTACCGTTATGCTTATAAGCTTTATTAACGTACCAACCACTTTCCAATAAATAATAAACCACATATTCCTGGACCTTATTAACGCCGGCTTCCTGGTTTATTTCGATAACTTCCTTATTTACGCAAAAACAGAAAAAAAGCATAACAACCTTATTAAAAAAGTATTAAAGCGCTTAACCAAATATAACTTCGCCGTTAACCCCCGCAAATGCGTTTGGGGAGCCCAGGAAATCGAGTTCCTGGGATACGTTATCGGCCCGGAAGGAATCCGGATGTTCCAAAACAAAATAAACGCGATTTTTAATTAAAAAGCATTTAAATAATTAAAAAAATGTTAATCGTTGGTTGGGTTCGCCAATTTTTACCGACGCTTTATTGCAGGATTTTCCAAAATCGTTAAACTTTTAACAATAGCCAATGCTTTTTTAAAAAAGGATTAAACATGGATAGCAAAAATGCAAACCGCTTTCGAAGCTTTAAAACAAGCATTTACTTTGCTACCCATCCTGCGGCACTTCGACCTTACGCTATAAGCAATTATGGAAACCGATGCTTTTAACTTTGCTTTGGCCGCAATACTATCCCAACGCAACCTTATTAACGGCAAGCTTTACTTTATAGCCTTTTATTCCCGTAAAATAATACCAGCAAAAATTAATTACAAAATTTACGATAAGGAATTATTTGCTATCGTAAATAGCTTTAGCAAATGGAAGCATTATTTCGAAAGGGCATAGCACAGGATTAAAATCTTTACGAATTACCAAAATTTGGCTTACTTTATTACGGCCAAAGTTTTTAACCAAAAACAAGCAAAATGGGCTTAATAGCTTTCAAGCTATTGGTTTTTAATTACATACCGCTTAAGCAAGCAAAACGAAAAGGCCGACGTACTTTCCAAATTCGAACAATACAAGTTTAAAAAAAGGGGGAGTAAAAACCAGCCAATTACAACGGTTTTTTAAAAAAAACACTTTAACCCTTTTTTACAAGCACCTTTATTTTTTTTAGCTTTAGCAAAGCTATGCAGCATCCTAACCATACGTTAAAATTAAACATTTACAAATAGGATTAAGCAAACCGCTATATCCAACACCAAATACCAAAAGCACTTAAAGATTTTCCACAAAAAGGAAGAAATTAGCGACGGGCTTTTGTACCACCGCAATAGGTTATGGGTTCCAGCACAATTAAAATTTAAGCGCGAAATTTTAAAATCCGAATACGATATTAAAATCGCCAAATATATAGGCATAAACAAAATTTTTAAATTAATTACCCGCTATTTTTGGTAGCTTAGCATCGAAAAGGACGTCCGAAATTACGTAAAAAGCTGTTTGGAATGCTAACGCAACAAAACGCCCAAATACGCTCCTTTTGGATTGTTTTAGCCCATAAAATTGCATTACCGCTTTTGGAACATTGTCGCTATGGATTTTATTACCGACTTACCCAATAGTTAAAGCTACGATTCCATTTGGGTTATGGTAAACCCGTTTACCAAAATGGGCCATTTCGTCCTTTTAAAAAAGGGATAAAAAAAAACGAATAATTTTATCCGCATTTTCGCCCGAAAATATTGGAAATTTTACGAAATTCCGTTGGATATTATTTTAAACCGAAACTTACGGTTTACCGCGCATTTGTAGCAAAATTTTTTTAATTTCGTAAGGATTAAACCCCGGATAAGCACCGCTTTTTACCCGCAAATAAACGGGCAAACGGAATAATTTAACCAAAGCTTTAAAGCTTATTTACGGTTTTTTATTAATTATAAAATGTCCAATTGGATGGATTTGCTGCTAATAGCAAAATTTATTTATAACAATATTTTGTTAGCAAATACTTTAATTTCTTTATTTTTTGTTAATTATAGGTTCGAACCAACCGTATACAACCCCCCAAAGCCAAAACGTATAAAACTTTATCCCGTTAACAAGCTTTACTTTTACTAAATGCACGGCATTTACAACGAAACCAAGCAATATTTCGACGCCGCCCAAAAACGAATAAAAAAATAAACGAATAAAAAACGACAAGCTTTGCCCGTTTTTACGAAAAAACAATACGTTATATTAAACGCTAAAAATATTAAAACCCGGCGCCCCATTAAAAAGCTTAATTTTAAACTTTTCGGCCCTTTCCAAATTATTAAAATTATTTTTTTTTTAACCGTTCGATTCGCGCTTCCACCATTATGGAAAATTTATTTTACCTTTTACGCTTCCTTAATCGAACCGTATTGGGCCGGCATCCAAGCACGGCCCGACCTAAAGCAAATTTTAAAAAACGTATTACCCTTACTGGACGTATTTAAAGTAAAAAAAATTAAACATTCCCGTTAAAAGGATAATTTAATATAATACCTTGTTAAATGGCTAAATTTTAACAAAAAGGATAAAATAATATAAAAGCTATGGGAAAATTTCGAAAGCGAAACGGCAAAAAAAAAAGTTAAGGATTTCCACCGCCGGCATTCCCGGAAGGCCCGAAACACCCGTATTTAAAGCCCGAAACGTGCCTTTAAAAAGGGGGGGATTGTATTACACGAGGATTAAACCAATAACCCAAAAAGGCCGAACGGACGGCCAACAGAACGAGTTACAAGACAACGATAGGAAGCTGGGCGTTGGTTGGGCCGGCTGGAGGGGTTATAAGGACCCCGCATGCATTACGCGCCCGGTCGAGAGGGAGTTTGTTCCCCTCGACCCAAGTACGTATCTTTCCTGTGCGCCCAAACAGCCTATATAAGGAGGGCTCATCTTTCGAGGTCGTCGCCGGAGATTCTGCTTCTTTAAGCATCTCCTAGAGGCCTTGAGAAATTATCAATATATTGAGCACTCTCCAAGCCGATCCCAGATCCCCTTGTAACAAAAGGTGCCCCGACCGACGTAGACGTACTCTGCCGAAACGTTTCCGCTGGCCGAGTAGCCATGGAAAGTCGGCGTGTTGTCTTGACGTCCCGTAACGTCGTCCTCTGGGAGGACATCCTCGACCAGGTTGACCTCGGTTGTGGACCCGTTGGCTTGGGTGAAGGACAGCGACGCGTGCAGCGGGTAGCTCAGATAGACGTGGTACTCGTTCAGCTGAGCGTCAAAGCCGTGTTCGGTCCAGCGGTCACGCGTCCACTCGGCGGCACTCTTTCCCATTCCAGCCAGCTTGACCTCGTGGCCGTAGTAGTTGGCCCACTGGTCGATGGTGACATTGTCAAAGGCGTTCACCAGAAGAGTTTCGTGCTCCGACAAGAGGGGTGGCCACTTCTGGCCCTCTTGTCGACGAGCCAGGGGCTTGCGATGAGAGTGCCGCTTGTATAGATCCTCCTCGTGCTGGCACGTCCAGGCCGAGGTGACCAAGGCGGCCGTAGCCAGCAGGTTGAGTTGTCCACGCATTGTATCTGAGCGGTGGTGACGGATCTCTGAGCGAGAGATCAAGAACCAGCGGCGGGCAGATGCGAGGGCTAAGTACGACGGTAACTGTGGGTGCAGCCCCTCACCGGCGTGGCGCGACATGCAGACGGCATGCGCTGTCGTCGGCCGGCATAACCAGGCCACGTCCTAGCGGGGTCATGGTAGGCTTCTTGCTGATAGGTAATCTACCTGCCGAGTTGAGTTGGCCGCAGGTGGTCTTGGTAAGCACGCAAGATGCGAAGCCGAGCTCGGTGATGGGAACTCGGGGATAGAATGACGATATCCGATGCGGGGCTGGTGCTTGCTGAGAGCCCGGTGAGCTCCAGTATGGCATGTGTGTCGTCATGGCTCGGCATACAAAGGCCGAAACAGGGCTGGAACAAGAAAGGCAGATGCAAAGCCAAGTGCTAAGCGGGCATATCTTGAGCTGCATGCAAGTTTCGACCTGCCATCTTGGGAGATACCCCGCAGGGCTGCTGCAGATGGCCGATCCGTGCTGGGAAGACGGGTGCCGGTACCGAGAACCACGGCTGGTCAGGCTGGTTTTGGTCGTTGGGGGTTTCCAGATGCACCCGCATCATTATGAGTCGTAAAGACATCAAAGTCGCCGACATGGTAGAAAGAATCAGCGACGAAACGAAGGTGGGGAAGAGATAAGGGCGCAGCACTTGGTTGCAACATGGACAGACTGGTGCATGTATCGAGGGCCATGTTAGCCAAGACACAGACCGAGTGAATAGTGATGGTAGGAAAGATAAAAGGTAGGAAAGATAAAAGGTAGGAAAGATAAAAGGTAGGAAAGATAAAAGGTAGGAAAGATAAAAGCGCCAAGTATGGTTCCGATTGCAACGGCATACGGCACCAGACGGAGCCGAACTAGCGGCGCGAGGCGGCAATTCACGGACAAGGGCAAGGGCGTTGGACCGGTGACGAGAAGCGGAGACCGGTGGGCGGAGGAGCCGTCAATGGATCAGAGATCAGAAGATCGGAGCGGAGGGCACCCCCTGGGCGCCAACGGGAATAGGGAACATGCCATTGCGGCAGACGGCAGACGGCAGATGGCAGACGGAAAACGGCAGCGGACAGCAGGCATCGGGCATCGGAATGACGGGCAGACCGGGCAGAAAAAATCGGCAGGGAGCTGTCGGGCGACGACAGAGCCAGCAGCCACACGAGACAGCTGGGGCGGCGGATGGCCGGACCGATCCGAGCAAGCGAGAGGTGGTGGTGGCAGGAGTGGCAGGGAAGAAGTCGAGGAAGACAATGCGCCGAGCATGTGGTTCCAATTGCGTGACCAAGTGGTGGGAGAGGTCGGCAAAAGCCCGGATATTAAACAATATTGAATTGCTTGGCGGGGTGGTGGGGCACTGCTGGCGCCACTGGCACCAGAACAAGCTGGGGAAGTCCAACCGTTCCAGCCGACTAAAAGGGCAGGCATGCTGACACTGGACTTGGTGGGCGACTGGAGTGAAGGAGGACTGGCAAGACAGGAAACAGTAGTACATACCAACGCGTTTCCAAGACTTCCCATTGCGACAATGCCCTCCTTGCCAGTGTGCCAATGAGCAACGCAAGCCATATCGGCGGGCCTCTCGGCGGGCCCGACCATGGACCCGTCCACGTGACTGCTGCCTTGTTCTCCCACCGGGCCGACGGCTGGGAGGCTTGCACTGGCCGTCGCATCAGGACGACCCGGTCTCTTGAGCCTGCTACATCTCCAGCTGTGTCTCGGTCAGCGGCGCTGGCGGCACGGAAAGGACAGAGAAGAAACGATGGACAGGCTACACATGGCGATGCCGCCTTCGCCACCGGTAACTCGCTCCCCCGATCCACGGCCCCCCCAGACTGTTGCCGAAAGATGTGGCAGCGGGATGGCGACAGAGTCCAGGCCCTCGGAGCGATGGCACGGCAATATCACGAGATGCAGGAAGCGGCGGGATGCGAAATCGGATTGGCATGGCTGGCACACCTCGACCCCCGCCCGTCGCTCCGGATATGGGTCACGACGCCTGTCAATGCAAATGCAGGTCGACGGATGGTGGTGCCGCCGGCCTGGCAGCCCAGCAGAGCCGTCGAGGCGAGCGTGGCCTAGTGTGGAGGGAGGACAGGGGTGTCGGCCCTGCTCTCCCGCATTCCCGGAGTCAGGCTGGGTTCTGGGGTCATTACTGGGGGTTTTTTTTTTTACCCACCCAGGATGCCAGGTCTTGTTCCCCTGGCCATTCCCGGGGCCGTGGGGCTACTGGCTGGATCCTTCATGATTGCCTGCCCCCGTGCTAGGACTAGAAATTCCCTGGTCCATCTGCCCCTGATATTGTGGCGCAAACAACAGCCTGGCGACAATGGGCCAGCAGATTGAATTAGATTGCCTGTCAGAGAAGTGGGAAGTGAATGGAATGGTAGTGATTTGATTGCCTCGATGATCCAAAAGGTGGTGGCGTGCCGTCTTGCAGCCGAAGAGGGTGGTCGACGCGACTGGGCGGAACAAGAAGCAGCTGGGCCTGCGCAGCTGCAGCGGGACCCCCTCCAGGGGCAGGCCATCTAAGCGCATGGGCAAATAGGCCCAGGCGGGCCACGGCTCCGAGTCTGGAACGGACGATTGGGTGCCGGTGCTGTTTTTGTGTGGTGCTTTGTTGCCAGCCAGCACTGCTGGTACTGTGTATACTGGACGAGGCAAGTACCTACTGACTGGCACCAGACGAGAGCACCCTCTACGGCCGACGCAGAAAGATACAAGGAAGGTCGGGATGGGCTGTCTGTGCCCGCCTGTGGGGTCCACGGGAATCAAACAGCGCCAATACGTCTTGTCTTGTCTTGCGCCGCAGCGGTAGTTGAAAAGGGTTTCCTCTAAAAAAGAAGCGGCGCCCGTGCTACCACATTTGGCGCCACCGTTCAGACGCCCGACCTTGATGCAGGATTGGAAAGAGCAAGGGACTACTGGAGATTGAGATTTTTATTATTATTTTCGTCTTGGGTTCATCGTCGTTGTCGTCGTCGTCGTCGTCGTCGTCGTCGTCGTCGTTCCCACCGTCAGTCATCCGACCAGCCAGCCAGCAGTCAGCACATCTAGCCAAGGACCAAGGACAAAAAAAGACCAAAAACCAAAAACGACAAACCAACCAACCAGCAACAAGACGACGCAATACTACCACCGGCATCAACCACAGCCGAACCACGAGAGGACAGCAGGTCCCACGACGACAGGTCCGACCGCCCGCGGCGGCAGGGAACGGCTACCAGCAAAGAGAGAGCCGAGGACAGCGCTGGGCCTGTGCGGCAGTACATGTATAATTACGTGCTGGGGCTGCTGGGTTGACCGTCAACTACCACCAAACCCCCCAAGGCACTGCACCAGACGCAATCGCAACCGATGAAGCGGCGACACAATGTGGCCCATCTCTGCAAGACGGGAAGGCGAGGGAGCGGCAGGTGACGTGAAGGTTTCGTTGCCCCCGCAGCTCGACCTGCGCGACAGACGCTTCCAGCTGGGGTCGGCCACTGGCAGCAGCAGCTTGGGCGCAGGGCCGAGCGCCACCGAGGCACAGGCGCAGGTGCAGGCGCAGGCGCAGGCACAGGTGCTCGCACAGGCGCAGGCACACCTCGACTCCTGCCAGGACGCCAACGTGCCGGGCGCAGCAGCAGCCGTTGCGCTAGCGGCCGCCCTCCATGCGGGGGCCACCACCACGGCCGAGGCCCTGGCCCTCGGGAGCAGCGCTCCCCTAGCCCATGGAGCTGCTGCTTCCGCTAGACACCACCAGTACAACCACCCCGCCGCCTCCCCCGCGTCGCTGCTATTAAAAACAGCTCGCGCGAGCACCAGCGCCGCTAGCTCCGACGCACCCCCGCCGTCGTCGCGATCGAGCGCAAAAGCCGGCAAGCAGCGCGAGACGAGGCCCGACGAGCCGCAGTCGCCCAGAGGAGCAGCAGCAGCAGCCACCGCCCAGAGCCCCTCGAAACGACCGCGCAAGACCAGCAGCCCGCGCCCGTCGTCGCCGTCCAGGGAAGCAAAGGAGCGCCGCCTGGCCAAGCTGCGCCGGCGGGCGGCCAAAAAGGCCATGGAGCCGCCCGTGCTGTCCTTCTACGGCGCCAAGCCCGTGCCGCTACCCTCGCGCTTCGCCACCGTCAAGCGCAACCTGATCGACGGTCATGAGGACGCTGTGGCCGCCAGCTGGGGCCGCCTGCTTGACGCCCTGGGTCGCGAGATGGCCGCCATCCGTGCAAAGTCGTCGTCGCTTGAGCTCATGATGGGTGCCATCGACTTTGCCGACATCGACCAGCCCGCCCGCGTCGCCGAGTTCAGCGCCCTGCTCAAGCGCTTCGGCGTCGGCGTCGTGCGCGGTGTCGTGCCGCAGTCGGACACGAAGCGCTGGGTCGACGAGACGCGCCGCTACCTCGAGACCAAGCACGACATCAAGCCGCCCCCGCCCCAGGACCCGACCTGCTTCGACTTCTTCTGGACCCCGGCCCAGATCCGTGCCCGCGCCCACCCCCACGTCCTGCGCGCCATGAAGTTCGCCATGAGCCTGTGGGACTGCGAATCCGACGACCGCATGGCCACGCGCTTCCCCATCAACTACGCTGACCGCCTGCGCATCCACGTCAATATCCACGCCGCCACCTCGTCGCCCTCGGATCCCACCCCGGCCGCTCCCATGTCGCTGTCCAGCCCCGCTGGCCCTGCTGCTGGCACTGCCAAGGAGCCGCCTTCTGATCGCGAGGGCTCGTCGGCGGCCACGCCCGACCCAGCCGCCACGGGCAAAAAGTCCAACGGCGCCGGAGCAGGAGCCGGCTCGAGCAGCTCGCCGGTCCAGCCCGAGGCCCACGTCGTCGAGGTGGCCGCAGCCGCAGCCGCCGCATCTGCCGCCGTCGCCGCCGCAGCAACCGCCAGTGGCACGCAGCCCATCATCGCGCAGGTCGACGGCGGCAGCTTGGAGCGCTGGGAGCCCGACGGCTACGGCCGCAGCGGCACCTACGACTCCATCTTCCGCGGCGACTGGGAGTCGTACGACCCCTGGGACCCGACCGGTCGTATCAGCGCCACCTCGGACCTGTACAACGGCGCCGGCGCCTGCAGCATCTTCCGCATGTTCCAAGGCCTCGTGGCCCTCACCCAGGTTCAGCCCGGCATGATCCGCCTGCTGCCGTCGCCCAAGCTCGTTACGGCCTACTTCCTGCTGCGGCCCTTCTTCTCGCCCAAGACGCCGCCGCCGCCGCCGGGCAACCAGGAGGGCCCCGAGTGGGACGCCTTCCTGGCCGCCGACAACTGGGTGCTCGACAAGGAGCAGAGCACCATCATACACGGCGCCGTGCCCGGCCACGCCCAGCGTGTTACGGAGCTGTGGCACCCGCATCTCGACCTCAAGCGCACACTCGTCACGCCGCCGAACCTGCAGGCCGGCGACTACATCATCTGGCATTGCGAGACCGCCTACACCATCACGTCGTCGATAGACAGCCGCCCGAGCACCCCGGGCGGTGCCGGCGGTGAGGCTGCCGACAAGGCTGCCGCGAGCCTCGCCGCTACCGCTGCCGCTGCCGCTGCCGCCGTCGCCGCCGCCGTCGACGCGCCCCGCCACGAGCGCTTCATGGTGTACGCCCCCGCGTGCCCGCTGACGCAGACCAACGCCCTCTACCTGGCGCGCCAGCGCAAGGCCTTCCAGCGCGGGCACCCCGGGCCGGACTTTGACACGACGGGCACGGGCCTGGGCACCGAGGCGCCGCACATAGACCGCCTGGGCGAGAAGGAGATCCGCGATGTCGGCGGCGTCGAGGCCCTCCGCGCCATGGGGCTCGCGCCGTGGGACTCTGGCACCGGCTCGTCGCGGAAGCGCAAGGCGACGGAGCCGGCGCCTGGCGACAGCATGGATGTCGACTCGGCGAAGAAGGCCGAGGACGAGCCGGCCGTCAAGATGGAGGTGGACGAGCCGGCCGAGGAGAAGCCCGTGTCGTCGTCGGCGTCGTCGTCGTCGTCGGCCGGCACTCCACTGGCGCTGTCGCCGGCCGAGGCCGAGCTGGTGCGGCTCGCCAACATCATTCTCTTTCCGGACAAATACGAGTTTTACATGGCGACGCGGCACAGCACGCCCGATGGCGGCAGGGGTTGACTTTTTTCTTTGTTTTCGCTCTCCGCGAACACGACCGGGAGAGGGAGACACTGTTTGGGGGCTTTTCTGCATGGCTTGCTTGAATCCCGCGCAAAGAGGTAGACCTGGAATCATTTTGGATTTTCAACCTCCGCTACGGGGCTTGGACAGCATTGGCAACTTTCTCCATCATACTCGCATCCATACACCATCTTCTTTTTCTTCTTTACCTGTCGTTTTCGCCCCTGTTTCCTTGGCACATTTACCAAGCTACCTTTTTCCATGTACATAGGAGCATTTGCTACACACGGGGAGCGCGCCTGGTTGGGTGGCGCGCGTCCTTTTGGCCCATACCCCTGGGGAGACGTCGGCCGTACACGTCGACTGCCGAATACTAACTCACAAGTTACACGTCTTTGTTTGCGTCGGGAGCCAGTTTGGTCTGCAAAGTGTTCCGCCAAAAATAGGCTCGGGCTGGGTGACCACCAGAACAAAGACAAAGCACAAGTTGTTTCTTTGAGCCTCTCCTTCCAACCCGCTTTGTTTGCTTACTGACTACGGGGGTTTCCTTTATGCCCGAGCCCTAGCGTCGTTATTCATAAAAGCGTCTCGGCGGCCGCTTGCTCGATACATCACGATCCTCCCCTCTTTTCCTTCCTGATGCACGATTTTTTTCCATGACAGCTACAGCGCCATAAACAGCCGCTTCAATACCAACAACCAAACCCACACTACCCACATCTCACATAAACATAACCATGGCTCCCTTGTCGGCCATAGTGCCCTTCTCCCCCTTCTCCCCCTCGGGCGAGTGGCAGTGCTGCGCCTGCGGCGGCCGCCACTACATGCACCGGACGCGTTGCGTGCGCCGCTGCAACCACTGGGCCTGCGGTGCCTGCATAATCTTTGACCGCCGCGGCGAGCGCGTCCCGCCGCTCTCGTCGGGCCGCCGCATCCCCGTCAACTGGGCCTGCGCCAACGCCATGCACCGCGGCGGGACCGAGGCCCTGCACTCGGTGGCCGAGCTGCTGACGCTGGCGGACGGCGACGACGACGAGGGTGGCGCGCGCTGCTGGTGCGGCGACCCGGCCTTCGACCCGGCCGCCGTCTACGACCACTGGGGCAACCTCATGGGCGACGACGTCGTGGCCGCCGAGGCGGGCGTGCTGGACTTTGACGTTGTTCTGGACGGCCAGCCAAGGACTGTTTTTGCGCTCGCCGACGATGATGGTGGTAGGGAGGCGGCTGCCGCGTTTTTGCGCCATCATCCGGACGTAGGGGCGTGGGGACCCGTCTTGCAGGAGCTGGCTGCGAACCGGGCCGCAAAGGCTGCTGCTGCTGCTGCGGCTGTGGCGGCGGAGGCGGCGGAGGCGGCGGCGGCGGTGGAGGCAGCGGAGGCAGCGGCAGCGGTGGATGCGGAGGCTCGCGCTGGTAGCAAAAGTCCCGGTCCCGCCGACGCCCGGCTGCCGACTCCGCCGCCCGACGAGGGCCGCCTCGCTGCCCGGGTGACACGGAGGAGGACCAACCCGCGGTCGTCTCCGGCGCCGGGCGAGGAGGGATCCAGTGCTGCCAAGGCCGCCAAGGGCAAGACTACTGCAGCCACGCGGAAGAGGCGCCGGGACGGGGACGACGACGTCCCGGCTCTGGCGGGCCGCATAACGCGGGCCAAGGTCGAGAAGCCGAAGAAGAGGGCGAGGAGCAAGGGGCAAAAGGCAAAGGCATGAATGAATTAGAATACTTATACGCGTACTTTGGTTTCATTGACAAGCGTTTCTTTTTGTGCGACGGGAAAAACAGTAAATGCCAAGCAAACCAGTGGCTTTAAGACCAAGCGGACAGTAGCGGCAGCCACAACGGCGCCCTGGTGGCGATGTCCGGTATTGCTGATCGCGCGGGCCGAGCCAACGCCCTCGTTCTCCCCAACAGTGGCAGACTGGGGCAAACAAGGGCTGCCAGCCTTCTCGCCCTAACTCGGCACGCCCAGCACAGTCTTACAGGAGGTTTCAAAGGGGAGGTATAATTGTTAGTGCCGTTAGCTTCTCTATTCTCATTTCTTTTTTTTTTCCTCTTTTTTTTTGTTTTTGTTTTTGTACCTCTTCGTGGTCCCGTTCCTCGAAGGAACCGCCATCCTTTGTGCCTTGCCAGCACACGATGGGACGGCCCGTCGGCGATCGACCCGGCGACCAGCAACCAGGTTACCGTTCCGGGTCATGGGCAAGCCACAGGCGCCATGACACATGTCGATCAGGCTTTGGAGCGTGTAAAAAGGGCGTCCGACGTGCTCTGTGTGGGGAATCACCTCTTTTCTTGTCAGGGCTAGCGAAATGGGCCTGGGGCTCGAGTGTCCTGACCCCGACATGTCAAAAATTGGGTTTTTGTATGTGGACTTTGACCGACGCCAAGGCGAAATGCCGTCTAGTGCCGATAAGGAGATGACTCCCAAGAACCGTGGCCGCGGTGGATTTTTTTTCTCTCGTCTGTTAAAAGTACGTGCGCTGGCGGTGCCACCGTCGCCGTCGCCGTCGCCGTCGATCGTTCGTCCCTATGTAAATAAAGCTGCTCTGCGGCGCGTGCCTGCAACGGTGGTGTGATGGTGGTGGTGCTAGTGAACCTACGCCTGACCGAACGAAAACCACGGCTGGGAAACCCAAGCAATCCAATAACGGAAATCCAAAAATCCCCCTCTGTCCGAGCCCGAACCCGAAACCATGGACTCGGACCTGGAAACCACGCAGCCGGCCGACAAGCCCCGCGGCTGGGTGGCCGAGCTGAGCCGCGACATTAGCATGGCGTGGGCCGACATACCGCTGCTCGCGAGCTGCTTCGTCAGCGGCATCTGCGAGTCCATCACGCTGACGGCGGCCAGCGTCTTTGTCAGCATGCAAACCGGTCCGTCTATTCACCTCTCTCTGCCTCCTCCTCCCCCTCCTAACGTCTCCCCACCCACAGGAAACACCCTCTACCTCGCCCTCGGCGCCGCCCGCATCCCCGTCGACCAGCCCCTCCTCTGGCTGCGCTGCCTGGCCTCCATGGGCGCCTTCTGGGCCGGCTGCCTGGCCTTCTCGCACGCGGCCCGCCTGCTCGGCCCGCGCCGCAAGCTGTCCCTCGCGCTCTCCTTCCTGCTGCAGTCGGCCCTCGTGTGCGCCGCCGCGGCCGTGGCCCAGTCCGGCGCCGTGCCGACCTTTGCGCAGCGGTCGCTGGGCGACCAGACGGCGCTCGAGCGCCTCGAGGTCGCCGCGCGGCGCGAGGCGGACCCCCTGGTCGTCGTGCCCCATCGTGCTGCTCGCCTTCCAGTTCGGCGGCCAGATCGTGGCCAGCCGCAGCCTTGGGCTTCAACGAGGTGCCCACAAACGTGCTGACGTCGGGTCTACTGCGACCTGCTGTCGGACCCGAAGATCCTGGCCCCGCCCCGCGAGAACCCCAAGCGCAACAGGCGCGTCGCCGCCGTCGTGCTGCTGGCCGCCGGAGGGCTGTGCGGCGGCTTCCTGCAGAGGTCCGGGGCCGGCATGGGCGCCGCGCTCTGGGTCGCCGCCGCCGTCAAGATGGTCATCGCCGTCGCGTTGCTGGCGTGGAAGGGGCAGGAGGTCCCGCGGGTCGAGAAGCGTTGAAGCTGCTGCTGGGAAGGGGTTGCATGCATGCGACAGACAGCTTTTATGGGGCAATACGACATTGACCGAACCCTGTAATTACGACTCTGGCGGGCCTCTGGGATGCTGACTGGACCCTCCTGTACATAATCTTAACCACTTGTAATCTCTGGCGTGAGCAGCATCCTGGCATGTCTGCAAGGTCGCCCTGGTCATTCTTCATCATTCGGCAGCGGGCAAGATGGCTGAAATGGAGGCTTTGGTTTTGCGCCTCCGAGTTACATCTTTTGACCATGAATGGATATTACAGTTACATCAAACAAGATTACCCAGTCTTTTTCCGCTTACGTGCGCCAGAACACCTTCACCAAGCCCAATGACTCCGTTTCACGACTTGCCGGCGGCCTGGATCGCGGCGCCCATGGCATCCGTGTACAGCATGCCGGCGACGCTGGCCGACGTGAGGGTTGACAACACGCCCGAGAAGAGAGCAGAGGCGGCGAGTCCCGCCACGTCGCCGGTGCGGCTAGGGGCGATCTGCGAGAGCACACCGATCTGGGTGCCGAGAGAACCAATGTTGCCGAAACCCTGTATCACAATGTCAGCATATTGAATGACTAAAAGACGGCGCAGGCCGGAAGAATGTACTAACGCAAATGGCATATGTAGCAATGAGCTGGGAGCGCTGGCTCATGGCCTTGAACTCGGGGCGACCAGTGCCTCCCGTCAGGGTCAGGAAGGCGACAAACTCGTTCTTGATGACCTTCTGGGCGATAAGCTCGGCGACACGCAGGCAGTCCTCCTTGGGCACGCCCAGCAGCCAGGCGACAGGGAAGAAGACGTAGCGGAAGATCAGCTCCAGCGACAGCTTGCGGCCCGCCACCTCGATGCCCCAGTAGGTGCCCCACCAGCCGAGGATGCCGTCGATCATGGCGACGAAGGCGATGATGCAGAGCAGGGTCGAGATGATCATGCCGGCGATCTTGATACCCAGCCAGGCACCGTTGGCGAAAGCCTCGAGGCCGTTGGCCGCCTTGCTCTCCTGGTCCTTGGGTATGACGGCCTTGCCAGCCGTCAGCGGCACCTCCGTCTCGGGGTAGCGCAGCTTGGACACGGCCAGCGAGGCAGGGATGGACATGACGCACGACGAGACGAGGGCTTGGGGGTTGAGGCCCAGGCCCAGGTAGGCGACCAGCACGGAGCCGGCGATGGTGGCGAAACCGCACGTCATGACCTGGTGGATCTCGGCCTTGGTCATGTAGGGCACAAACGGCTTGACCAGCACCGCGGACTCGCCCTGGCCGATGAAGGGCGTGGCGGCGGCCACGACGGCCTCGGCTCCAGAGACGCGCAGACTCCAGAAGAAGAAGGTGGCGAACTTGCCGATGAACCACTGGATGAGGCCAACATGGAAGAGAAACTGGACAAGGGCGATGAAGAAGATGATGGCGGGGATGACGCCCGTGAAGAACCATTTGAGCTGGGGGACCGAATCGGCAGTCAGGAAGATGACACCGTCGTTGGCGAAGCCGAGCAGCGAGCGGGCCAGGAACGAGATGAACTCGAAGATGTCGAATCCGACCTGGGTCCGCAGAACGAAGACGGCGATGACGAACTGGGTCAGCATGCCGCCGATGACGGTGTGCCAGGGGATGGCGCGCCAGTTGCGCGACGTCAGCGTCAGGAGGCCGATCATGACGAGCAGGCCGAAGATGGAGACGGCGCGATTGGCACGTGTGTTGTCGCCCGACTCATCCGAGGCCATGGCACCGACGAGGAAGACGGCGACGGTGCCGGCGCCAGCCAAGGGCTGATGCAGCCTGCTGGGGATGATGTCGTAGACGCGCACGACCGAGTTGTCCCACGCGAACTTCAGGGGGACCATGACGACCGAGGTCGGGACCCAGTTGAAGAAGATGCGCAGACAGGTGGCGATGTAGAAGAGCGTGGGCTTGAGCCAGCCGTACGTGTTGGAGCGGTTGACGCCGCCGTTGCCGACAAGGCCGTAGATGAGCCAGCTTGGAGGGGTTAGTGAGGTTCCCGGTCAGGGCTGCCAGCATTCGAGGACACCTGGGAAAACATACACAGTCGACACGACCCAGACCAAGGCCTGGAAGGCAATCTTGCAGGCGGTGCGGTGGCGGCGGTAGAAGCGCTTGATGCGGCCTGGTCTCTCCCCCTCCTCCTCTCCTTCAGGCCTGCCGGCCTCGACCGAGCCCAGCTTCTCGCTCGAGTTGGCAGCGTCGCCATAGCGCGTGGCGGCCTCCTTGGGGTTGTTGTCGGCCGACGACGCGGCCGAGCCGACGCGCAGGTTGGCATCTTGCTTCTCGTCGAGGTAGACGCCGTCCGTGGTGTCGCGGTAGGTGGGGGCGTCGGCCGGGACGATGGTCTCACGCTCGGTCGAGACGCGGCGAGGGGCGTGGGCCGGAGCCGGGGCCGGGGCCGGGGAGGCGGCGGCGGTGGTAGCCACGTTGTCCCTGTCGGGGGCGCTCATGATGGGCGGCCAAGCGTTGAGCTCAGGGCTGCGCCGGATGTTGAAGTCGGCGGTTCTGGGAGAGAGCGGAGGCAAGCAGCAACGAGCACGCGAACAACCGGGCAGAGGCAACACACGCCACTCGGCTGCGGGGCGGCGCCATGGTAGGTTTTATATCGAGCTTGACTTTTTTTCCCCAGTCTGTGTGCGCACGCGACGACGCCGTGTTTGCGCGAGTGTGGGGTCCTGGGCTTGGTCTGAGCATGGAGCCCGGCGATCATAGAAGTCGCCCCTCTTTCCTCCGCTCTCGATAAGCCGCTCGTCCAATGGCTGCGTCTCGGTGAGCCAACCAGGCCAGCGTCGCACCTGCCGACTCGACGGCAGCGGCGGCCAAGGTGCTGGATGCGGAAAGTGGAATCCTGCCGGCCCCGCCCAAGCAACCAACCTTCCTTTATCTCTCGCCTCCGGTGCTGCGCGAGTGCTCGGCCAGTCCGGGGCGCTGCTAGGTATTGGCCTGCTATTGGCTTGCCATTGGCTTGACTCGCCCTTGGCCTGCGTTGCCCCGGCTCCTTTGTGCTCATTTACCGTGTTTCTCGGGGTAGCCACTGTGGCCTCGGTAGCAGGCATCTGGCGTACATAGAGTTCAGGGGGGCAATCTAAGGGACCTACGGCCTACCGAGTCTAGACACCCAGACGAGGCCACGAGAACAAGACCAGAACAGCCAACGCTCCAGCTACCCCGCAAGCTGTGGGCCTCTCGGTTGGCCGCCAGGGTAGCCGTCGCCCAGATTGAGCCCGCGATCCACCTGCGTGCGACCCAACCTGCGTCTGCGTGGTCTGGCCTCGGCTGACTTGACGGACGCACACGGGCGGCCAACTTGCGAAGCTGTCTCGGGAAGAGTCGTTTATCTGCGAAGGGAGATTGCGGTGGGCAAAATCATTCACACAGGATGGATGGGGCGTGGGATGGGGAGATGTGGGGTGTATTCGTGGACGATAAAGGTGACAGAGTTCCCGCCCGTCGCCATCAGTGATAATGTTCCAGTCCTGTTCCAATCCTTTCATACCCGCAACGTAGCAGCGAACGCATCTTGCCTTTTGCATATCTGCAGACATCACGCGTGGTCTTCCGTCTGTCCATTGGCCAATCGATCCGGTCCTTCTCGGGCGAGCAGCACGTTGAAACGGGGCCGATTGGACTGTGGTGTGAAGCTTGGTGGCGAGTCAGGCTGATTGCCCTGCTGGTCCTCCAATAAAACAAGCCAATGCTCTGACCTGCCCCCATCTTCCCCGTAAACCACCTGCCTCGCTGGGTTAGCGCCAACGGGCCAGATCCCGACCGATTGATTGAGCTGGGCGTTGGCCTGGGCGCCGTCAACCAGCATCGGCGAGACCGTCAGCTGCACGCTGCTAGTAATCGGGCCCTTTTCCAGGGCCCCGGCTTCCGTCACAGTCCGGCAGCATCCGGCCAAAAAGGGCAGCATCCCGTTATCAGTTCTCAGTCAATACCTGGTATCTGGCACGTAGCTGGGTGGAACCGCTGTCAGCTTGCCAAACCGGGTACGTTCTGCCAAATCAGTACATGTAGCGGAAGTTGAGGTTCTCCTTATCCGTTAGGTCGTCAAACGCCCGCGTCATGTTCTCGTCCCTGGCCTCGCTCACGCCCTCCGCCGCCAGCCTGTCTCGGTGCTTGTTCTGTCTGCACGTCAGCGTGGGAAGTGTCACGGGTTACCATGACGGGGGCAGGTACGCACCTGGTAGGTCAGATAAAAGCGAAGGCTGACTATAACAATGACCAAGAGGGAATAACAGCCGAGGTGCGTCGCAAACGCGATAAAATACTTTGGCTTGTTCCATGATAGAAAGACCTGGGGGCCTATGGGGCCGTCAGCAGCTATTGAGTACCTGACAGAGGGCTTCGAGGCCTTTCACAAAACCAACATACCAATGCTGTTGCCGGCCGACCATGCAAGAAAGTTGATGGTGATGGCGACCGACTTCTTGGTCTGCCCGGCGACGTTTCGGGAGATCATGGACAGAGAAAGCGTCTGGGCCGACCAGAACGACAGCGTGATGTAGTAGCAGATGAGCAAGCCGACCCGTCGGCCGAGGTCCTCAGTTAGGTCAAGCGTCATGATGAGGATCGTGCCGATGAAGGATGGGATCACGAATCCCAGCATGACCAGGAGGCTCTGGTCTGTCTTCTTGACGATCCACACGGAGCTCAAAAGCACAATCAGGATATAAAAGCCTAGGACCATGGCCAGCAGCTGCGCCTCGAGCCGGTTGAAGCCGAACCCGACAATGACCAGGCCCTGGTACGCTCCGAGGCCAGAAGTCGGCAGGGTGCTTGATGCTGACAGTCAGCGCGAGATAGGGACAAGCAAGTGTGAGCCGAGACGAGGGAAAAAAAGAAAAAAAAAAGACATACGTGCATAGCGCAATCAACGCGTACGCGTAAACCTGCGGGTCGCGGAGGCACTCAAAGACCTGCTCCTTCTTAAACTTTCTGTTCTGCATGCCCGTCTGGTTGTCGCGCACGCGCTCGACCATGAGCTTCTTGTCGGCCTCGCTGAAGCACTTTGCGCGCATGGGCGAGTCGGGCAGCCACCAGCCGACAAAGCCGCCAAAGGCGACCGAGATGATGCCGTAGGCCAAAAACAGCCACTGCCAGCTCTTGAGCGGGCCCGACGTGATGAGGGTGAAGCAGTAGGCCAGCAGGCCGCCGACGACCTGCTGGGCGCCGTTCATCATGTACCAGTACGTGACGCGCGCCGCCTGCTCCTCGCGCCGGTACCACATGCTCGACATGACGAGGAAGGCGGGCTGGCACACGGCCTCGAAGATGCCCAGGAGCGTGCGCACCACGACGAGGCCGGCAAAGGTGGTGCAGGCCGCGTGGCACGCCAGCACGGCGCCCCAGGCCAGGATGCTGAAGGAGAGGTACTTTGCGATGGGCACGCGCGTGATGATCCAGTTCTGCGGGTACTCGACGAAGAGGATGGCGATGTAGACGCACGTCGTGAGCCAGCTGTACTCTGCTGGCTGTCAGCAATGGGCGCCGGGGTTCAGGAAGCAACGCAAGCAACGCAAGCAACGCAAGCAACGCAAGCAACGTAAGTAACGCAAGCAATAAAACCGTACCTGGTCCCTGCAGCCCGGCGTCCTGGATGATGCCCATGATAGACGCAAACGAGATGGTCCCCTTGTCTATGGCCTGTAAAAAGTACGTCGAGACCATAATCGACAGAACGCGGCGGTCAATCATGCGGAGCAGACGCCTGTTCTCCTCGGGGGAGATGTCGATGCGGACATCGGACATGTATTGAGCCACCTCCTTGTCGACGGCCGCGTAGTTAACCTGCCCTTCCTTCTCCGGGCCAGGACTGTGCGGCCTGTTGTCGCCCTGTTGGACCTCTGGTACGGCATCGTCGGCCCTTTTCGCGTCTGTCATTGTGGCTGCGCTGGCGGACGTGGACAGAACAAGCTAGGCTGTAGGTAACCACGGGATGGCAATGGAGATGTACATGTTCGCGAGGGAATCCCGCCGCTTTTAAGCCACGGCCGGCTACCCGGATCCCAAAAAATCATCCAGCGTTGGATGCTACGGCAAGAGATGCAGCCAGCAAGCGATATGCGACCCTATCCGGACGCGTTCGCTGCGGCCTGCATCTTTGGGGTAGTGACCACTACGAGCAGCGGCATCATGGTGGCCCGCAACTGCAACGCTACCGCGCATCTCACCCCGTACCCCACACCTGCTCCTCCGCGGGAAAAGCAGACTTAAGCAGACGTCAGGGCTGGCCATCTTTGGGCCGAGACGCACGAGCGAAGCAGTCCCAAAGTCCGGACGGATCTGCAGGGACGGAGGCTCGAGGGGCGGGGATTAAAGCATCCCCCACCCCAGCCAAGCAGCGGTCCGTGGTTGAGAGCAAGGGCTATTTCAAACGGTATTTCCGGCTGGGCGTGGGTGGCGGTGCTCGGGGCGAGTCGAGCCGAATTGCTTCAGTGTTGAAAGCTGGTTGCGCTGGGCCGAGCAAGCTTTGGTGGGGCTCGGGCTGTATTTCTCCACCAAAGAGAAGGGGCTAGACTTGACTGAAGGATCATGTCTTCAATGTCTCTCCAACTTCCCCACGCCGTTTTTGACCCACACCCCGCATCGTGACGGCGATGCGGGGATGACTCGATGTCCAAGAATCCACCGTCCCCCGCCTTGGGGCTGGGTGATGTTTGGAGTTGTTGGTTGATGTTGCCAGTTGCTGTTGTTGAAGTCCTGTTGAACAAGCCACTCTTAGTGCCAGCTGCTTTGAACCCTCGACATTCGTCAAAATGCCGTCCGAAATGCACGGCCTCAAGGCCGCCGACATCCACGCCAAGATCCGCCTCCTCATCGACGGCATGGTCAACATCAAGGACACGACGGGCGAGTTCCTGCTCCGGCTCGAAGACGGCCGCGTCATCGACACCAAGGGCTGGAACGACTGGGAGTGGACGCACGGCATCGGCCTGTACGGCATCTGGAACTACTACCAGCTGACGGGCGACGACGCCTGCCTGCGCATCATCGAGGACTGGTTCCGCGACCGCTTCGCCGCCGGCGGCACCACCAAGAACATCAACACCATGGCCGTGTTCCTGACCCTGGCCCTCGTCTACGAGAAGACGCGTAACCCGACCTACCTGCCCTGGCTCGACGCCTGGGCCGAGTGGGCGTACCACGACCTGGGCCGCACCCGCTTCGGCGGCATGCAGCACACCACCTACAACATGCGCAACGACGAGCAGCTGTGGGACGACACCCTCATGATGACCGTCGTGCCGCTCGCCAAGATCGGGCTGGTGCTGGACCGCCCGCACTACGTGGCCGAGGCCAAGCGCCAGTTCCTCATCCACCTGCGCTACCTATTCGACACCCGCACCGGCCTCTTCTTCCATGGCTGGACCTTTGAGGACGGCGGCCACAACTTTGCCCGCGCCCTGTGGGCCCGCGGCAACAGCTGGCTGACCATCGTGCTGCCCGAGTTCATCGAGCTGCTCGACCTCGAGCGCTCCGACCCCCCGCTGTACCACCACCTGCGCGACGCCCTGCTGGCCCAGTGCGAAGCTCTCGCACCGCTGCAGCACCCGGACACGGGGCTCTGGCGCACCCTGCTTGATGTGCCCGAGGACCAGGGGTCGTATCCCGAGACGAGCGCGACGGCCGGCTTCGCCTTCGGCATGCTCAAGGCCCAGCGCAAAAAGTACATTGCCGGCGACGCCTTTGAGGCCACGGCCGTGCGCGCCCTCAAGGGCGTGCTTGCAAACATTGACGACAAGGGCGAGCTGCGCAACACCAGCTTCGGGACGGCCATGGGCCACGACCTTCAGCACTACAAGGACATCCCCATCACTAGCATGCCGTACGGCCAGGCCATGGCCATCATGGCGCTGGTAGAGTTTCTGCGCGTCTTCATATAGAGTTTTTTGGCAGGTGATTTGCGGGCGTTTGACGGTTAATCTTTGCATATGGCGGGTTGGACGGGGCAGGCCATGCCAAGGGCGGATAGACCGGTTTTCAGGGGACTAGTCGACCATTCTAGAGACAGAGGAAGGCTTTTCCATGGCGTGACGGGATCGGACAAAGACAGATTGAGGGCCCGGGCGCTGGGGCTCCTGCTTGGGAGTTGATGAGATGAACAAGGTTTCTGGGGGCCAGCCCCTGGTGACGCCGGTGCGCAGCGCGTCGAGATGACGCCAGCTCGACTGACGGTGCGCTAGGAGGTCGCCGTTGTCGCAGGAAAAATCCAAGCCTTACCCGCCGGCGAGTTTTGACTGCGCGCCGTCCCTGCATTTTCCCTGCCTTTGTGTCTTGCCGCCCCGACGCGACTCCTACTGCTGCCCGCCCGGTCCCAGCTGCCGCGGCCAAGGAAGGGTCCGTCGAGGGATTTCCGGCGCCTGTGTCGCGGAAGTGTCCAAGCGGGAAAGTCTTTTTTTGATCTCCGTTCCTTGCCGTCGCCTCTCCATCTCATGCCCCTCCAAACTCCCCTCCAGACTTCAGAGGCTGCGCATGGACGGCTAGGCGGCAAGTCACAATCGTCACGCCCGACGGAAGACGGACGCGTCCGACTAGATACCCGCCATGGCGGCAGGGTTGGCGCCATGTCGGTAGCAGAGGGCATCGCGGCCGTCTTGATGCGTCTGAAAAGGCTCGGGCATCCGCATCACCCCGTCCGTTCCTTACATCCGTCTCCATCCGTCACTTCCTACATATGCATGCATGTTGCAGCTGTATGCTGCATACAGCACCTGCTTACTACCTTTGTAATCACCGTTAGTAGTTCCTCAATATAATACCACCACAATGAAACAGCAGCAGTGTTCTGGCTTGTGGCGACGGCACACTGCCTCGCGACTCCCACCCCCGAGCTGACGACGGCTGACCGTCGGAACCCGCGTCGGCTGTATGAGTACAACGGCATCAAGCAGACCCTCTTCAAGCACGATGTCACGGGCACGACATTGCAGTTTGTCGAGAACTCGGGCATCTGCGAGACCACAAAAGGTGTCAACCAAACCTCTGGCTACATGTCGGTCGGTAAGTGTTGTAATTTCACCTCCTACCCCACGTAGCGCTGACAAGTGACAACCCCCAGGCAACGACATGAACATGTTCTACTGGTTCTTCGAGGCCCGCTCCAACCCGACCTCGGCCCCCCTCACCATGTGGCGCAACGGCGGGCCGGGCTGCTCGTCCATGATCGGGCTGTTCCAAGAGAACGGGCCGTGCCACTTCCCCGACGGCGCGCGCCAGCCCGTCGTCAACCCGAACTCGTGGAACACCTTTGCCAACATGCTATGCTGTACGTCGACCAGCCCATCGGCACGGGCTTCAGCTACGGCAGCGACGGCGCCACGTCGACCGTGGTCGCCGCCGGCTACGTCTGGAACATGCTGCAGGCCTTCTACGCCGCCTTCCCGGCCTACACGTCGCGCGACTTTGGCCTCTGGACCGAGTCGTACGGCGGCCACTACGGGCCCGAGTTCGCGGCCCACATCCACGAGCAGAATGCGCGCATCGACGCCGGCTGCCTCGAGGGCGAGAAGACCAACCTCGTCGCGCTCGGCATCAACAACGGCTGGATCCATCCAGAAACGCAGCACCGGTCCTACGCCGACTTTGCGCTGCGCAACAACCACCGCCAGCTGATCGGGGCCGACGAACACCAGAAGTACGTGGCCGCCGTCGACAGGGACTGCGTGCCGGCCATGCAAAAGTGCCAGGGCACGACCGGGTCAAACAGCGACTGCCTCAAGGCCGCCGACATCTGCGCCAAGGCTGCCGAGGCGCCCATCGAGGACGCCGGCGACTTCAACTCGTACGACGTCCGCGTCTCGCCCAAGTCGCGCGATGGGCCGCGCGACACGCACGTCGGCTATCTGAGCAACCCCGAGGTCCAGAGGGCCATTGGCGCCCGGCAGCGGTACGACGAGTGTCCGGACAAGCCGTACATGGCCATGTACAACTCTGGCGATGGTATGTGCCTTTGGTCGATGCGTAGACGTCATCTTCTCGTCTTTCCTCCTACAAATCATCCCCCCCGCTGACCCTCATAGACTCCCGCTCGTTCCTCGGCCGCCTCTCGACCGTGGTGCAGCGTGGCACCAACGCCCTGATCTGGGCCGGCGACGCCGGTGAGTTGCTTTCCCGGAACCGCCCTTTCCCCCTGCCCACAACTAACCCTTGCCAGACTGGATCTGCAACTGGATGGGCAACCTCGAGGTCGCGGACATGGTCTCGCACGCAAAGACCGACGAATTCAAAAACACCACAGTGAGCTCCTATACCGTCGGTGGCAAGCAGTACGGCGAGTTCAAGACCGCCGGGTCCCTCAGCTGGCTGAGGGTTTTTGATGCCGGCCACGAGGTCCCGTTTTACCGTAGGTCGTGATCCTGCAACTCTGTCTGAGGGTATAGTGTATACCGCTGACACGCACGACATGCAGAACCAGAGGTTTCGCTGCAGGCCTTTAAGCAGATCATGCAAAGGTAACCATTAAAGTCAACCTAGGATGCAAGGCGGCCACACAAGTAATTAGAATGATAACATACAAAAGCGCATTAATCGAAATATTGGCCAAAACCGACATCTCCAAGGTTATGTCCGAGGCCTAATGTGTTGTCTCGCCGCCGGGCGCATCCTCAAAGAACTGAGGCGCCTCGCGTCTGTCGTATTTTCCATAATCTCTCAGTACCCGAACCTTTTGCACCTTTCCCTGCGACAGCTGACCGTTCCCGACCTCGCCGTGGAATCGAGAGCTGTCAGCTTCGTCCCGCCACGACGACAGCAAGACAAGCTCTCCCAAACCGTCGACCGCCTGGAAGACGTCCCAAGCCACAAGCCCCTGCTCCTCCAACGTCGCACCGTCACGCCCATCCAGCGACAGGCCCATGGACGCAGCCAGCTCCGACGCATCCGACGGACCATCGTCGAGGCCGTCGGCCCGCCCGTACACCAGCATCACGCACGCGGCGGCCCCGACCTCGGTCGTGTCGAGCCCTTCCGCGCCGCCGTCCCCGGCGACGACCTGCCCGACCCGGAGGTGGTAGTCCTCCATTACACCGCCGCGGGCCCTGGCCTGCGCGCCGTGGTGCGTCCCGGCGGCGCGCCAGCGAACGAGCGCGCGCTCCGTCTCCCACGTCGACAGCGACAGCAGCCAGCCCGGCCGGGTCAGCGACCGGTACCGGACGTTGGAGAGGAAGCCGTCGACCAGAGCGAGCGAGGGTTTGAGGGAGGCCGCGATGGACATGTAGGTCGACTGGTGGGCCGGCGACGGCTTCGTCTCGAATAGGACCACGTACATGATGGGCTGGTGGTGAAGCGGGGATCTGGATCCCTCAAGTGTTATAGATTGTTCGGTTCGATGTCTTGCGTAGGGTTGGACTAGGAGTTGTAGGGAAGTGGCAAAAGAAAGAGGAAACATTTCCCTCTGCTTCTTATAACTTGGGCATGGTCCGAGATCCGAGATAAACGCCGAGAGCGGGGCGCCGCATCGACATCAAAAGCCAGGTAGGCGAGACAAGAATCGTACGCTCCCGCCTGCTCTGCCGGTCTTCGAATGCGCAGAAAAGGTCTCGCATTTATTGGTGCCCCTGTTCTCCAACAACTTTACCACGTCTCCTCCCCGCGGGGTTTGGCGGCCAGTCAGCCTCGCTCAGCGTGGCGCTGCAGCTAGCCGGTTTCCACGTGTAATTTCACATGATAAAATTGGACATCAACGGGGTCTCATCGATGCCTAATTCGAGTTCTATCCTTGACGTCATACCTAGCTACCTACCTATGGCAGACAATCACCGCTTCTGTATTCGCATCTCTCAATTGATGAGTATTTGTTTACAACTCCAACAGGCTCCGCATCTTACACTATATAGCTGCGAGAAAATAAAAGCTCGCGGGCATCCGTGATGGCGCCCTTGAGACCTCGGCTTGGCCCGTTTGGTGAATGCCTCAACTGCGCGGGGCTCGACTTCCACGACATATTCGGGTTCGGGTCTTCCGACCTGATAGACCCCCTCTCTCTGCGGAACGCTTCGGCCAATGCTGAAGTCTGTGCATTCTGCCGTCTGCTCGTTCGGGCGGCACAGCAGTATGTCGCTCCTCGCAGCATCGTGGACCACCGAGACGGGATTCTTGTTAGGTTCGCCTTCTCTCTGGGCCACTTCTAGGTCTCGCCTTCAGACATAGGGAGTCGCTATTTGTGCGCCACCATCTCTCCGCCCCCGTCGCCGTTGGATATGTCGAGGATGCTTGCATTCAGCTTGATCCCAATCTCCGATACAATGCCGGATTCCCTGTACAACCAGGTCGAGCAAAACCAGATTGATCTCAGTGCCTGCCGCAAATGGATCGCTAGCTGCGGAAGGGAGCACGCGAACGACTGCGGTGTCGTTTCCGGACCGGTACGACTTGGTCTAGAAACGACGCTTCGTCTCATCGACGCCGTCGATGAGTGTGTCGTAGTCGCGCCGCCTGACGCGCGATACGTCACTCTAAGCTACGTATGGGGTCAGGTCCAGTCGCTGAAGCTGGGCAGTAGCAACGCACCAGTTCTGGCGCAAAAGGGAAGCCTCTTCTCTCAGGAAACCCGCGTTGCCCAAACCATCGTCGACGCCGCCACGGTGGTAAGGGCTCTTGGTGAGAGATATCTCTGGGCCGACCAGCTCTGCATCATCCAGGACGCTCCCGACAAGGCTCTCCAGATCAAGGCCATGGACAAGATTTATGGCGGTGCCTTGCTCACCATCGTTGCTGCGGACGGGGACAACGCCGACACCGGTCTCCCTGGGGTCCGGCCCGGGACCAGAGGCCGAAATATCACTCAGATCCGCGAGGAAATTTGGCCCGGTCTCGGTGCCGCCGTCGCCATTGATCCTCCTCTCGATCCAGCCGGTTCCATCTGGGGCTCTCGAGGATGGGCTTTTCAGGAGCAGCTGCTATCCAAACGCTTGCTTCTGTTCTACCAAGGCGGAGTCTTTTGGCAATGCCGAACGGCCGTCTTCTACGAGGACGCGCCAGCCGCGGCGAAAGTCGGGACCGGTCAAATGCCCCGGCTCGAGCAACTATCCCCTCGCTGGGCGGCTGGCCAGGCCCCCGCACCCATAGTTGAAATCCAGGAGGACCACCTCCCCGAGCCCCTATTGCGGCCGGCGGTGTTCACCGAGTACGCAAACGCGGTAAAAGAGTACACCAAAAGAAACCTCACCTACTCCGACGACATCATCAACGCTTTCGAGGGCATATCAAGCCAGCTGAGCCACCATATCGGGAACAGTTTCTTAGCTGCTCTGCCCGAAAGCTATTTGGATGTGGCGTTGCTGTGGACGCCGGTCGTTCGCCAAATTCGACGCGATTGTCGCCGTACACGATTCCCCAGTTGGTCCTGGACTGGTTGGATAGGCCGGGCAGAATATGACACTACCAGCCCAGACGGGAGGGAATGGATTGAACCGAACATCAAGTGGTACCTAAAAGATGGAACAACAGCCCCTCGCCTAGCAAACCAAGTTGGCATCGGCATCGATGAGGTCCCTCTCGGCTGCAAACTCAGCTCCAACTCGCTCTCCTGGATGCCGACCTTTGATTCAGTGGCCAGCCAAGCCGGAGAAGTCCCTACACTCGAGTTCCCCGACATGCGAGGCCCATACCTCCAACTCTGGACCAGTTGCTCATTCTTCACCATCGACCGCAGGAGCTGGCGGACCCCGGAAGAATTCCAGGTGAATTCCTCGGCAAGGAGCCCGATCCAGGCGAATATTCTCTGCGCTACGGGAAACAGCCGGCAGCTCGCGGGGCATATGATCCTCAACGGCGACGGGCCGGAAGAAGTTACTAGGGAGCGGCACGGGTTCATAGTCCTTTCCGGCGCTTATGTGAAGGGATTCGACCCCATCAGCGGCAAGCTGACGTACTCGGATGAGTCGCAGATGTACAACGTAATGCTCGTTGAGTGGGACCCTGCGCGCCAGATTGCAAGTCGGCTGGGCATTGGGAGGATATTCAAGGAGGCTTGGGATACGTCTCTGCCGGTCATTCGTTATGTCACAATTGGGTGAGAGTTGATGGATTTAATACCGAGGTTAACCGATCGATACGCGTCCTGCATGCGATGACAAATCCGGACCAACATATTACCCAACTTTTGGTGGCGCGCGAGCTTAAAGCCAGGCTCGAGCTGCTGTCCCACACCATCGCCGGAAATCCATTCCTTGGTCTGCCATCTTTCACCATGGCATCTACGCTCAATACTATTCTCCGCAAGCACGCCGCCGACAAAGAAGACACCAAGGACAAAGTTCTTGGTGCCTCCTTTGTCGTGGTAAACAAGAATGGTATGTAAGGAAGCCGCGACAGAATGCCCGCGCCTATTACGGCTGACTTGGTGGCAACAGGCGTCCTCTACAGCGGTTCGGCGGGACGCATCGACTTTCCCACGGACGCGAAGCCCTGGGACGTCGACTCCTTCACATGGGTTGCGTCCATGACAAAGCTCATCACCTCGACGGCCGTCATGAAGCTTGCCGAGAGCGGGGCTGTCGGCCTGGATGACGATGTCCGCCTTGTGGTCCCCCAGCTGGCTGAGCTGCAGATTCTGCGGGGGTTCGACAGTATTGGGCAGCCCATTCTGGAGGAGAACGAGCGGCCGATCACTCTAAGGCAAGGTCTTGCTCGCAAGCGCATATCTACACGTCGCTGACAAGCGGGGGGCAGGATGCTTTTAACCCATACCGCCGGCATGGGTTATGATATTATCGAGGAGGACTTGTCGAAATGGGCCGCCACGGTCGAGCGACGCACGAATCTGAGCGCGACCCTGGATGGCTTCACCACGCCTCTGAAATATGTTCCGGGAGAAGGGTGGTCCTACGGGACCAGCATTGATTGGGCTGGACAGGCCGTGGAGAAAATGGTTGGCAAAACCCTTGGCGAGCACCTGTCTGAGACCATCTTCGGCCCGCTCGGCATGCAATCCACCACCTTTTGGCCAGAAAAGCTGGGACCGCAAGTGGCGGAACGGACGGTGGCGTGGCAAGTCCGCGAGGACGACGGTTCCCTCTCGCCGGGCGCAGACCCGCGAGACATGGGCGCCGACGCCATCGACAGCGGCGGGGCGGGGCTGTGGACGACGGCGTCAGACTACGCCAAGTTCCTCCGGGCGCTCATGGCCGGCGAGCTCGTTAGCCAAGACACGCTGGACGACATGTTCGCCCCACAGCTCGACCAGAGACAGCGTGCGGGGCTGCAGGAATACGCGGACCGCTGGAAGTCCCTGGCGGCGGAGTTCCCGCCCGATATGCCGCTCGATCACTCGCTGGCCGGGTGTGTCAACATGCGGGACGCCCAAGGCAAACGAAAGAGCGGCTCGCTGCAGTGGTCGGGCATGTGCAACTCGCACTGGTGGATGGACCGGCAGACGGGGGTGGCGGCGGTGCTGGTGGTGCAGACGCAACCGCTCGGCGACGGGGTCGTGACGAAGCTGTACGACGAGCTGGAGAGGGCCGTGTACGGGGAGCTGCTGAGCTAAGGGGCGCATTGATTGGCGGCTGGCGGTTGCATCAGTGGTCTGCAGGTGCTACCTTGGGTGTTTGGAATAGGCAGGTAGGGGAGAGATGGTGGGGGTGCTCGTATAGGTTCCAGGGATCACAAACACTAATGCGGTGGAGCAAGATACATTTTCTTCCTTAGAAAACCAAGCCAAACCGATGTATATTTAATGTCTTGCACGCCAATGGATTCGCCCCCTCTTTCCCGCACCCCGACCTTGTAATGGTGGGCCTTGCCGCAGAGATGTGGGCCCGATCTCGGCTGTTTGCAGGCGTGCATGTCCCGCAGGCCAGACAGCAGCAAACCACTGCCAGATAGAGCCATCTCAACCCTCTGCAGGCATTGATCTCAGTGTGCTGGCACGCTGGCCTCGATTCCTTCTCGAATACAAGGTTCCTGGACCTCATCAAGTGGAGTCCCTAGATAGTCTTCAGCCTTGATCTGATCTCAAGGTCGACCAAGCCACAGGGGCTCTCTCCTTGGACCCAATCCTAACCGCTGATGGAGGCGAACGCCCAGCCTGGGGATGTCTCGGTGGAGGAGTTGCTGCAGTGCAACCCTGCCATCCGTCACGGACGCTTGCTTGCTCCAGGTCGCCGCCGTCTGTGCTTTCGGGGCCGATGTCTTAGCCCCCAGCCGAAATCCCAGATAAACGCCGCCTCTCGTCCTCCCTCGGTCGCCCAACCACCCCGTCTTCCCACCGGCCCTTTCCGCCATATCAGGTCCAGCGACCGAGCCAACACTGAGCCCTGACAACAATGGCCGACAACGGGCTCGCGGAGAAGAATGGCGTCGGCGAGGGGTCCAAGAGTGGCCCAGCCAGCGACTTCGGCAGCGTCCAACAGCCGCAGCTTTCCATAATCCGGGCGGTGCGCAGGTGGCCCAAGGTATCGCTGTGGGTGTTTCTCCAATGTGCCAGCATCATCCTGGTTGGCTTCGACATCTCTATCGTGAGCAACGTCGCTTCCTTGCCCCAATTCCAGTAAGTCTCCCTTGACTCTCCCTTGACATTGCGCACCTCGCTGCTCGGTAGGATCCCATTAACTCTAGCAGACATGACTTTGGACAGCCCTTTGGCGATACACGCATCATCCCAGCTCTCTGGATCGGCCTGTGGAACGGGATAATGCCAGTCGGCTCCATTGCCGGTGCCTTCTCCGCCGGAGTTGCCCAGGACTTCATGGGCCGCCGCCTCACTCTCGCGTTCGCCTCAGCGCTGTCCGCCGTCTGCGTGGCCGTCGCCTTCGTCTCGGACCTGCCCGCAGACATGGACACCCGCAGGGGCGTGTTCCTCCTCGCCAAGACGGCCCACGGCTTCGCCAACGGGGCCCTGATATGCGCAGTCGAGACGTGGACGAGCGAGGTCCTGCCCTCGGCCCTGCGTGGGCCAGGCGTGGCTCTCTACCCAATTTTCACCCTCGTCGGCCAACTGGTCGGCTCCCTCGTCGTCCAGGGCCTCCTAAACCTGCCCGGCGCCACCTCGTACCGCGCCGCCTTTGCCACCCAGTGGCCCTTCACAGCACTCTCGCTTACCGTCGCCCTGTTGGCCCCCGAGAGCCCCGCCTGGCTCGTCCGCGTCGGCCGGCTCGACGCGGCTCGCGCCAGCCACGCGCGGCTCGACTCGTCGCCGACCGAGGCGGAGCGCGACGCCGCCTTCGAGGAGATCCGTGGCATCGTGCGTACCGAGCGGGAGCAGGCGGGCCAGCGCGACGTGGCATACTCCGAGTGCTTCCGGGGCGTCGACACGCGTCGCACGCTGGTGACGGTTTTTGCGCGGTGCCTGCCCAACCTCTTTGGCCTGCCGCTCTTCGCCACGGCCAGCTACTTCCTGCAGATGATTGGCGTCGAGGCGAGGGTTAGTCTGCTCTTCATGCTTGCCGGCGTCCTGGTCGGGCTTTTCTCCAACCTCATTTCCCTCCCCCTCCTCGCACGCTTCAACCGGCGCACTCTCCTCATCCCGTCCCTCGCCGCCTGCAGCGCCCTGTGGACGTCCATCGGCATCGCCGGCTGCTTCATGGAGACGGGCAACGCCACCGTCGTGAGGTGGTTCGTCTCGGTGGCCATGATGGGCACCATGGCGTCCGTCAGCGTCGGCGCTTGGCCGGCCGCGCACGTGGTCAACTGCGAGACCTCGTCCCTCCGCCTCCGCGCCCGCGCCCAGGGGCTCGCCGGCATGGCCACGCAGCTGCTCGCCGGCGTCTTCAGCATCGCCCTGCCCTACATCTACAGCCCCGACCAGGGAAGCTCGGGCCCCAAGGTCGGGTTCCTGTTCGCGGGCTTCTCCGCCCTGGCCGTCGTCGGCACGTGGCTGTACGTGCCCGAGATGAAGGACCGCGACCAGCTCGAGATCGACATCATGTTTGAGCAGCGCCTGCCGGCGAGGGCGTTCAGGGGCTGGAAGGGAGACCCTGGCTCTGTGGTTGCAAGTGCTGTCCCCTCGGGAGAAGGTAGAACTGTTTGAGCTGTTTGGCTTTTATAGAATACATTTGTCCTGCGCTTTCCTTTGATGCCAGAGTGCGCTTGCCTATTGGTATTTATCATGTGCGTAGCGCTATGCTGCCTGCTCCGTCTTTCCGCAGGCGCGAGATGACCGTGATGTTCTGGCTCCACCACTCATCGCGACTTTTGCCCTGCCCACTCCCAAGGCCGACACGACTCCGGGCCGCAGCGCCACCCTCCCGACTCGAGCGAAATGGATGCAATCGCCCAACCTTGTGTCATCATGTCGACTCCGGATTCCGGCCGTCGCAGCGCTACTTAGCAGCACTAATGCCTCGTCGGCACATTTGTTTACAGCTTCACCTAGCTTGATTTATGGTTTCCCGACCATCTCCGTTGTCGTCGCGCACCGCGGTTTATTTGTGTCTTTTCAACGGCATGCTGAGCGCTTCTATGGCGACATGCTCGACGCCATGTAGGAGCAACCCCCATATGGCGTTGGAGACCAAAGTATGTTGATGATTGGTACAATGGATAATTACCTTTTGAGGGTTCCATAGTCCCCAATCCACGTAAAGGCACCTCTACGCCGCACCAAGAAGTCACAATGGACACCACCATGGCTGAAGTTTATAACCCTCCTCTAGAACCTTTGGGTCAGGTCACTATCGGAAAAAGGAAACGTTCTTTCTTATATATCATTGCCACACTCCCTTTCTTCGCCCAGTTGAACATCATAGTCTTGATGATAGAACCTTTCACCATCTACCATCATGCTGTCCACATACCTCCCTATCAAGCTTCAGCCATCAGCACCCCGGAACCCCCGCGAGGTTTCGGCAGAGCAGCAAAGATGGATGCATGTCAACATGGCAGGGCTCAGGGCCAGCTGGAAGAAGACGCCAACATGCAGCGACATTTACGACCTCCTTCGCTTTTACCTTGGCAGGAACCTTCTCCCGGCAGGCTTCCCCGACATTTTCGCCGTGCAGCCCTTCAGCTCCGGTGACTTCAACGTCCTGTTCAAAGTCACCCTGCACCATCGGGCCGGAGACCTGCGTCAACAGCCTTTCTTCGCCAAATACCCCTCCCAGTTTCTGGTCCGCGTGGGTCTCCCTATTGCGCCGTACTACAAGATCGAAAGCGAGGTTGCGACCATCCTGTTTGCCCACGCCCATTGCGTGCCCACCCCCAGGGTTCTCTTCTTTGACTCTAGTGCCAAGAACCCCCTGGGCCTCGACTGCATGTTTCTGGAGATTGCCAAGGGAGAGTCGGTCATGGAAACCTGCAAACAGGCGCGGATCCGAGCCGACGGTGGCCCATGGGACCCGCGGAAAACATCCGGCCTGACGTTGAGAGCGGCTGGGCAAGCCACCGCGGCGATGAGGCCAATGTGGGGGCAACAGTTCGAATCCTACGGCAGCCTCTACTGGAACTGGGAAACCTCCGAGTTCTATGTCGGCCCCATGGTCGACTTCGTCTTCGCGGCCGTCGGGTCAGGGCTGGAAAAAAGCCCACTGCTGCCAGGGCCGTTCGCCACGCCCTGGGAATTCTTCGACGCCGTTGCCAAGGGCTGGGGGCTGGCAATGCTGGCCCAGTACCGGTTTCACGTGGATGCCGAGCCCGTTCCGATGCCAGAGGGGTGCAGCGACCACGCCAAAGTCCAAGCGGAGGCGTTGGCTTCCCAACAAGGGCGCATTTGGGAGAGGGCGGGGCTGCTTGACGTCCAGTTCGCCATGCTTCGAGAGCAGGTCGTGCCGGCGATCCGGGCCTTTGCCTCCGCCCACAGGAGGCTGGAGCTCGCGATCAGGGCTCCCGACACCAAGCCCCGGGGTCCTTCGATGGAGGAAGCGCTGCGACCGCGCCTCTGGCATCACGACTGCCACAGGGGCAACATCATCTGGGACCGCCAGAGGGACGCCATAACCGCGATCCTGGACTGGGAGATGGTCAAGATCCTTCCGGCGTCGTTGGCCCGCGTCCGGATAGGGTGCCGCGGGGCCCGTCTCCCCAAAGGCGAGCGCGTCTGGATCCCCAAGATTATGGGCCTACCGATGTCATCCATACTGTCCCCAGCAGTCTTGGGCCCGGATTACGGCCGGAACGCGGACGAGCGAGCCCACCACAGGGCCAGAATGGGGGCGTGGGCGCCGAAGGCGCTCTTGCCGGACGAGAGAGCGAAGGCGGACTCGGGATTTCCAGTGCTATTGATGGCGCTGGAGCGCTTGGCCAAAAGCGTGGGGTTTTGGACCAAGGAGGAGCGGATGGCCGTGTCTCGGGCGGTGCTGGACTTTGAAACGGAGACGAGGGCAATGGAGGAAAGGGCTGCGGCTCTCGAGGACGACGGACTTTTCGCGAGGCTGTCGAGATGGCTTTGTTCTTGGTGGTAGACGTAGCCGATACCATTTTGCTGAATCAGCCGGAGCCTCTCGACCTGTTCCATCCGATCTTCCTTCCAGCCGAGCACCTACTGGGCACTAACTATTGTCCCTTCTCGTTTCTTTGATCCATGGCATATAGCCCCGGGTCCTGTTAGCTGTCTCGTCTCCCTTCTTTATCCTCGGGAGCCGATAGCCTCCTGCCATTTCTCACTTCTCTATTCCACAGCCTAGTCGCTTCGGCGGCGTTCTCACGCAAGTCATGGCACACTCGTCTTCTTCCGGCTCACCTCTAGTCACCAGCGCCTCCTAGCCTTCAGCTGGCAGTTCCTCCAAGGAATATTAAAAAATGCAGGGCATGGCCTTTACGAAGCCGGTCCAGCCAGGAGAATGTCGCGCTGCCATCGACGCCACAAGGTCTGGAAACAACGCCGAGATGAAAGCCAGCGACGAGGACACCACAGCTGGCAGGTTATAGAAGCACATATCTCTCCCCGCAAGTAGCCTGAAAGCCTGTGTGGCTGAAATTTGGGCTGTCTATTGGGCCGGATACATGGTATATGGTAGGGGGCCGCCAGAGCTGATAGCCTAGCAAGACACAGCACAGCAGCAGACACACACCCAGCATGTGCTCCAACCCTTGAGCCTCATCAGACTGCAAAGGTGATGTCATCTCTGGTACCTGTGCTTTTCTCGCTCTCGTCTAGGAGCTCCAGTGGGCCCACTCCCTCCGGTGCCGCCCAGGATACCAGGAGAGCAGGAACGACCGGTGCCTTACCAAGCACTAGCCGCACCTTCCTCGTCAGATATTCTTCACCTCAACATGCCTCGCTTGGATGGAGGCCAACCCCACGCTCGCTGGTGCCCCGCACTCCGCGAGCGGGAGGACTCGGGTCTGGGGTCCAGAGGCTTGCGGTAGGTAGGTGGTGGGTTGGCGCCTCTCCGACCTCGCCCTTCCCTTGCTCGTTCCTCCAACCCCAACACCACAGACCAACTCCCACAGCCTTTCCTCTCCTCCCACCCTCTACGCTGCACCGCATTTTCATTCCTTCATCTGGCACCTTTCCGACCATCTGTCACTCCTTTGAGCAAACAACCATCTAGGCAAACAAGTGCCAGTCATTCCTTTGCACAGCTCAGCCAAACTCTCCTTCCCCGCGAGAAACCCTCGCTTCCAGCCCTCGCGTGCATCTTCCGACCACAGTCTCCCCTTGGCCCGCGGGCATCGCCATTCAAGTCGCCGCCGACATCAATCATCAAGAACTCGGCGGCTCCCTTCAAAAGCCAAGCGCTTTTCGCCCAGTCTCGGTAGCACCAGCAACAAAGCCAGCACTCTTTCCAAGCATCGCAGCTCTTCTCTTGAGGCGCCTCAGCCAGTAGAACCTCAGATCTTCCTCATTGGACCCTCACTCTGCCAACAATACACAAGTCTCCACCTGTTTCCACCCCTCGACAGAACCATGCTCTTCAACCTCCTCTCCCTCGCCGGGTCCTGCCTTCTAAGCCTTTCCGCGATTCTCGGCCAAGCTCCAGTCGTGGATGGCTCTGTGGCGCCCGCCGTGTTGAAGGGCCCTACCCCCGTCGCAGTCAGAGACAATCACTCCTTTGACATCCGCGTCCACCTCGACGACCTCCTTCTCCGGGCCCCTCGCCTGGTCCATCGTATTCGCTCCACCCGGTATGCCGCCTTGAGTACCATATCTGAGCATCCAGCTCCTCACACCCCCCAGACAGCCTCCTTCTAACAGTAGCAGGACCCGAGGCGATTCCCACGACTCCTCGACCAACTCGACCACAATGATTTCGATCCCGACCACCAACCCATTTGCCCAGCGCCACCAGTGCGATGCCCGCAACCCCGCGCCCGAGAGTAGCATGCCCTGGTGCCCCATCGGCTGGTGCTACAGCACGCTCATCGAGGACAACCCGTGAGTATACCTGCCCCGGCGGTACCCGTCAAGCTGACGTGTCGCTTCCCCTCCGTGTTCTCGCCATCAACACACACGAGGCTGTTCGGCGGGCCTCAAGCGCGGCTGTTGTTGTGACAAGGATAGAAGAGTAGTAAAGGCTAGCTATGGCTGCAAGTTGGCAACTAAAAAAGCCCCCTCCCCGCCTTGTGCTCCCCATCTCGCGCTTGTTCACTGATGCTTCGCTCTTTCCGACACAAAGCTGCTCTTTCGGCTGCACCGACTCTTGCTTCGCCGTCACCTGGGCCTACCGAAAGATCGGTATCTTCTCCTAGATGGCGAGCCCCATTTCCGGTCCCGAGGCCCCGGCATGGCCTGTCGCCGAGATAGCCGACGACGTACTACAGCGAGAGCAGCCTCGGCGACATGAGCTTCATCCCGGTGTCCATGCGGCGGACGGGCGCAGCAGACCACTCGAAGTGGCTCACGTATACGCCCGAGGATGGGAGACGGTGAAGGGAAATAGGGGGGAGGAGCGGATGGGGCCAGCAAATAGGGCCGGGCCTAACTTCGGAAGTCCGTTGTTTGTCTGGCAGATCTATTTCGGTGGCCTTCTCGGGTCTGATTCCAGACTCACTCATTTGTATCATATTCCGATTCCTATTTCAACCTTATACCCTCGGCAGGTCCCAGGCGCCCTGGTCTTTTATGCTATGAAACGATTTTACGCGCTGTGTTGCGGTTGTGGAAATTGTTCTCACCGTGTGAGAGTATGGGCCGGACAGTATGGCAATCATGTTGCAAGAGGAAGACGCTCGAAGCACTGTATTTTTTCACGCTCCAAAGCTACGTACAAAACCAGCTGACCAGCAAAATACCGAAACGCCAGAAAAGAAACACAAAAATATACTGCAGCCACAGCCATGCCAGCCGTATTACATCGCTCCATATATCCAAGCCACACGATCCAAGGGGCCGTCCCCACGTGGAACTTTATACAACAGAGGCCGCTACCACTTTGCCTGTAGCGGGAGGTCGCGGGAGCTCTGGCCGACGGAAAAAGTGTAGGAGCCATCGGTGATCATCTTCCAGTTCTGGGTCTCGACGTCCCAGAAGCTGAGGTCGCGGCGCGTCACGTCAAACTCGACCTCGACCGACTGGCCCTTGGCGACGGCAACCTTTTCGAAGCCGCGCAGGACCCGGACGGGAAGCTCTACCATGATATCAACTTGCGGCGGGGAGCCGGCGGGCGCGACGCGGGAGCCGGGCAGGGCCGTGGCCGGGTACGACAGGTAGAGTTGGGCGACGACCTGGCCGTCGCGCGCGCCCGAGTTCCTGATGGTGGCCGAGACGGTGACGTGGGTGTCCCACAGGTCCGGGTTGCCGCCCTCGTCTCCTCCGGCGGGCGACGGCGGCTGCGGCTTGTCGTAGCCGTCCGGGTACGGGTAGCGGTCCGTGATGAGCTCCTCAACATCGTCGAGGTACGGGTAGACGTACTTGTCGAGGCGGCGCAGGTCGGCGGGCCACAGAGCCTCGCTGCCGTCGGGAACGTTGGTGCTGTACTTGGGCGGAGTGGCGCCGGGGGCCGGGCGCGGCGCGGGGAAGGGCGACTTGGGCTTCTGCTCCTTGACGGAAATGTTGGCGAACTCGAACGAGGTGTACGACAGGCCGTGGCCGAACTCGAAGCGCGGCTTGATGCCAGCGCGGTCAAAGTGGCGGTAGTCGATGAAGACGCCCTCCTTAAAGTCCTGCTGCGGCACGACGCCGTTGGGAATGTACATAACCTTGGCGCCGGGGCCGTAGTCTTCGAGGGACTTGCCGATGGTGTAGGGGAGCTTGCCAGACGGGTTGACATCGCCAAAGATGACGTCAGCCAGCGCGTTGCCGCTCTCCTGACCTGGAAGGTTGGCCAGCAGCACGGCCTTGACGGTCGGCAGGTCGATCCAGCGCTCCATGACGACGGGGCCGACATTGTGAACGACGACGACAACCTCTCCCTGGCCACCGCCGCAGTGTTTAGCCACCTGGTACACCAGCTCGTCACCTCCCTTCTGCAGCAGCAGGTCGTTGCGATCGCCGCTGACGCCTTCGGCCTTGAGGAAGCCTTCGCCTGCATCGGCATTGGCAAAGACGATGCACACGTCCGTGTCAGCGGACGCCTTGTCCTTGCTGAAAGGCGGCGTGTTGGTCAGGTACTCGGAAAGGGTCACCTTGGACGCGTCAAACCCCTTGCGAAGGACCTCGACGGGGCTGACGAGGTAGGGGAACTCGACGGCACCACTGCCCCAGCCGGAGCCAAGCGTGCCCTTGTTGCAACCGCGGTCCTTGCAGCCGTTGGGCCCGTCGGGCGAGGGGGCGGCGTCCTCACCAAAGATGCCGATCTTGAGCTTGCCCTCGTGCCTACGGCGCAGATCACGCTTGGCGTCGGTGAAGCCCAGCCGGCTGATGGGCAGAACATTATCATTCTTGAGCATAACAATGCCCTCGGCAGCGACCTGGCGGGCAATGGTGCTGTGGTTGGCCTGGACGTTGACAAACTTGTTGACCTCGACCTTGTCCTGCGGCGTGGGGCTGCCAGGCGAGGTGACGCCATACTTGTCATCGGTCCAGGATGAGAAGTTGGGGCCTTTGCCGTCAAATCGAGCTGGGTCATCCTGACCCAGCTGATACCACGACGCGACGATGCGGGTGACCATGTCGTTGAGGCGCTCGAGCGGGACGGAGCCGTTAAAGACAGACTTGGTGAGCTCAGGACCCCAAAGCGACTTGCCTTCAGCCCACTTGAGGCCGTCTCCGGGCATGGTCATGTCGAGGCCTGACAGGGCGCTGGCGACACCGGCACGCTGGGCGAGCCAATCGCTCACGACGAAGCCCTGGAAGCCAAGCTCGTCCTTGAGGATGCCGTTGAGCAGCTTGGAGTTGGAGCAGGCGTAGCTGTTGTTGACCATATTGTAGCTGCACATGACGGAGGCGACGCCGGCCTTGACGGCGTCGGCGAAGGGCCAGGCGTAAAGCTCGTGGAGGGCGCGGTCGTCAATGTTGGACGAGATGGCGTGCGGCAGCCCCCACTCCCAGGGCTGGCGGAAGTGCTCCTGCTCGTTTCCGATAAAGTGCTTGATAGTGGCCATGACGCCCTCGCTCTGGATACCGCGCACGGTCTCGGCGCCCGCGACTCCCTGTAGGTAAGGGTCCGAGCCAAAGCCCTCCCAGTTGCGGCCTCCGGCAGGCATGCGGCCGAGCGGGCCGACGCAAGGACCCAGGAGAACGTTGATTCCCTTGCCCCGAGCCTCGGCGCCATGGGCTTTTCCGCGCTCGTACATCAGTTTGCGGTTCCAGGTTGCGGCGACAGTGACACCAGCCGGAAATGCCGAGGCATTGTCTGCAAAGCGGATGCCAAGGGGGCCGTCCTGCAAGTGCAGTTGTGGGAAGCCGACGATGCTCGCGGGGCCGTTGGAGCCGACAGCCGGGCCCATGGACCATCCGACACCCGTGGTGACGTTGACCTTCTCGGCAAGGGTCATGCGCGATACGAGCCTCTCTGCTTTGGCGTAGCTCGATGCCCACGACTTGGTAGAGCCACCTTGAGGCGTCGGATACCAGGGGGGCGACTGGCCATATGGCGGCTCTTCCTGGAACTTTTTGTAGACGACGGCACCGCCAGCCCCGATCAGGAGCCAGAGGGCGACGATGAAGACGACGATGAAGATGCAGCATCGGCGGCAGTTGGAAAATGGGCGGCGCCACGACCAGGCGCGGCTGCCGCCGCCAGGCTGGAGGAAGGCGGGTTTCTTAAAGAAGCGGCCGTCTCTTGACGGTGATGTTTCTCTACCACTTGCGACAGCGGTCCGTCCCAAGGGGTCGGCGTCGAGGAACTCGGTGGCGTCCAGATCGGAGCCTTCCGATTCGTACGATTGCCGACGGTGCTTCTTTTCGCTGGGGCTCAGCAGCCCCTCGCTTGAAGGATCCATCATTTCAATGGCAGTGGTGTGTGTGTGTGTGTAAGTGAGGGTTCGAAAGCCTTGTCGGCGCGGTGCCGCTCGCCTCGCAGGTGGTGCGATCAATCGAGATGCCAAGCTGCGGCTGTGGAGAGCCGACAGAGTTATCGTGTCTGCCCAGCCGCGTGGATCATGGAACCCTCGAGGGTGCGCCGGGTGGTCGCGGTCCAGCGCTTCCAGTGGGATCTGGCCGGCGAGGCGGAAGGGAAGCTGCTCGTGGCCGGCGAGAAGGTCAGCAAGAGGCGGTTCGATGCAAAAACTCCAAACGGACAGTCCTGATGCCTACCAAGAAGAAAGAAGACAAGAAGAAGCGCTGCTGAGGCAGCGGGAATGGGCCAGTCTTGGCTTGGCTCCGGCGGGAGAAGACAACGAAGGCTGGCTCGAGCTCTGGACCAAGCGAAGTGTTCGGTCCTCGTTGAGACGAACGTCAAACGAAACCCACTCCCAAAGGCCGGTCTTGGCAGCGGACGCACGGCCAGCCAATTCCGCTGTCAGCCAATCAGAGCGCGGCCTCCCTCACTAGCGTCTCCTGAGGCAAGCGTCCACACTGGGGCAGGAGGCAGGAGGCAAGAGTTCCATCGAGGCGACATGGCCGGCCAAAGTTGCCAAAACACGTCGCAAATGGTCGATGGAGAGATTGCCATGCAGGAGATGGGATTTGAGATGGCGGATCGCAACTGGGGCTTCGCCCATGACGTCGCGAGCTTGGCGTACTAGAAGTCAATCCACAGGTGGCTGCCGCTTCTGACCCACGGCGCTCAACGGCTCCATGCTTCTTTCAACGGCGATTGACTGCCTGTGATGGATTTGTGATTCTGTAGCGTCTGTTTGACGATTTATTACTTTCTGCGGCAGCTCGCTGTGGGTGCCTCCTCCCACTCTGCCTGTCCCATCGAATCACAGTCGATTGACTCGACATTCTCAGTACAACCGAGGAAGGCACCATCACGCATCCCATATTTCTGACACGCCAAGGCTAGCCGCACAAGCCGTTGGCTTCAACTCGATGCTATCCTCCATCCGCGACCCTCATCTGCCGTCCTGGCTAAAAGTCTCCCAGACCACCGGATCGCTTGTGCCGTTTCCATAGACACTGCCTCCAAAATCGAGATATCCCGCGATGTAGGGCTGTTGCGGGAAGCGGGTCAAGATCTGGGATGTGTTGCCAAACACCCACACGGTCTGCCCACAAAAGATCAGCACGACTCCCAACCACGACAGCTGAACAGGGACGACAGACAAGACTCACCTGCATGCCCATCACCATGTGCATCAGCACATGGTAGTGCAGTACCCACGCCCCGACCGACTCCTCCGTCACTCTAACGCGCCACGCCCTCCAGCCCGCCGTCATGTGCACTCCGCCCTTGGCCGCGTACCGATAGAGCATGGTCGTGTCGCGCCGCGCGGGCGTGTAGCCGCCGCCGAACCTTGCCGCCTCGTTGGCGGCCGCATCGTAGGTGCCGTTCCCTAACCCCAGGTCCCAGTAGCGCTCCCCGTGCATGTGCATCGGGTGCGCGTCCCACCCGCCCGTCGGCCCGCTGTTGGACAGCCACACGATGTCGAGCGTCTCCCCGACCAGGGCCGGGAACGCCTTGGTTTCCGGATCCCAGTCCTGGTTGGCTCGCGCGGCGCCATAGTCGGGAGTCTCTCCGGTAACGTACAGTCGCACGAGCAGGGGCACGTAGCCCGTGTCGTCGGCGAGCGCCGACTCCTGCCACGCGAGCGAATTCTAGCTAGGGCAAGAGCGAGGAGCGGCCGTGACGAGGAGTCAGTGTGAGCTCTAGCGTCGCCGTAGGCGCGGGGGATGGGCAAGAGGCTTGGGTGCCAAGGGGGGGTGTGACCATACGCCCATTGCAGCGTGCCGTTGATGGTGCCGTCGACGATTTCACCGCTGACGAGCTGCTGTGCCATGGTGATGTACACGGTCCGGGTCACCTCGGGCAGCCGCGGGAACCTGGCCGCCTCCTCCGAATCCAGCGGCTGCAGCGTGTACTCGAGCCAGCTGCTGGTCTCGGTGGGGAGCACGACAGGCGACGTAGCCGGCAGCTCCTGAGGCAGGGGTGTCTGGTACGAGACAGCCTGGCTATCTGACATGTCGTACTGCAGCAATGCGTACCCGACAATAGTCTTGGGGCGGTCACGGCTTTCGAACCGGATCCAGAATTGCGTCTTGCCGCTCCTAGCCGCAATGTCGTCTTCGGTGCGTGTTTGGAGGAGCACACTGAAGCGCTGCCCCGACCCGAGCTGGACGTGGTCCGTCATGGCCGGCTGCGTGTAGTGGCCCTCCGCCTCGATCACCGTCAGGTTCTGGTGGCCTTCGATGCCGAGCGTCACTAGCGACAAGGCCGTCCGGCCCAGGAAGCGCACCCGGTACGTCCTGCCCGGCCTGACCGTCACCACGCTGGGCCGGCAAGAGTCGTCGGCCGTCTTGTTGCCGAATGCCGCTGTCCCGCTCCAGTCGTTGGAACAGCAGCGCGTCCGGCTCGCCAGACCACTGGAACGGGTCGGCCAGCAGACCCTGCACGACGGTCGAGTCGTTCTTCTGGAAGAAATCCCCCAAGCCCACGATCAACTCCTCGTCGTACTCGTAAGGCGGCGAGCCCTGCTCCCGCACAATCAGGGCGCCGTGGGCCGTGACGGCCTAGAACCCGACGTGCGAGTGGTAAAAGTACGATCCGGCGTCGCCGACGTCGGGCCTCAGCTCGTAGTCGAAGAAGGCGCCCGGCGCGATGGGCCACTGGCTGACGAGCGGGGTGCCGTCGGAGAAGGGCGCGACGCGCTGGGTCAGGCCGTGCCAGTGCACCGTGAAGTTCTGGTCCGGCATCCGGTTGTGCACCCGCACCCACGTCGTCTTGTTCTCGGTCAGGTACAGCGTCGGGCCGGGCGAGCTGCTGTTGACGACGACCGAGTGGCGCTGCCGGCAGTCGAGCGTGATGGTCTGCGCCGTCGCCTCGAGCACGTAGTCGGGCGTCCATGTCGAGTCGTGCACGACGCCGCCGGCCTGCTCCGTGCGTGCGAGGTGCAGCAAGGCCAGCAAGGGGAGCCGTAATATCCGGAAAGATTTCATTGTTCTGGCGGTTTTGGGTGTTGTTTTTTCCGCGTGAGGCGGTTCGAGTAGCCGAAGGTGGCTGATGTAAGGAGAATATCGAACAAGACTCTGGCCCCCAAGCCAAAGTATCGTTCCCTCGAGAAGTCTTTATAACTTGGCTGCAACTTACGGCCCCTCGCAGGATCCGGACCAAGGATCGCACACACTATATTTGAGTTTTGGTTTCGCGTCGCCCGGACTCGACAACCACCCTGATCCTGGCCGCCGTGGCCCAACTATGTTTCTGATCGTCCGATCATGGGCGCTTACACAGCCGGGTGCATTAGCTGCGCAGGGCTCCGCATTAGCATTCAATGGCCCGTCGGCAGCCATCTGCGAGCGCCTTGTCTTGTCAGTTGGTCGTGGTGAGCTGTCACGGGCGGGTGATCGACACCGTCTGAGTCTGCGTGCGTAGCCCCTAGGACCTCTGGCTATATAATGGCCCCCAGCTTCTCCCGCCTAGTTCCTTTTCGATTTGTCGCCCTCATGGTACACGCCATACCCAGTCACGTATTACGAAGACCCACGATACATAGCAACCTTTCGCAGCCGTATCGATCGATCTTGTGAACGTTCGCCAACACAGCCGGAACTAACAACCGGCCAGCTATGGTCATCATCGACCCGGAAGAGCTGCAGGTCGGCTGGTTCGTGCTCGTCAGGGGCGATGTCACCGAGTACGTCGTGGCCAGGGTGACGGCCGGTGAGACAGATACCATGTACGGCCTGAGACGGAGGCACGGCAGCACTCGCGTGCGCAAGACGGTGGACTGGAAACAGATCGTGGCAGTGTCCAAGATGCCCTTCATCACGACCGACGACCTGCAATGGGTCCGGGTCTGAGCCCTTGTCGGAGCCATCCCACCCTTCCGGTTTGCGGTCTTTGACATTCCTTTCCTTCGACTCTCCCTCGCCCCCCATCGCGCGCTCGCCGTTGTTGTTTCACGCTTGATGCGACCGCGTGGCTTTCTCCGTGCGTCATTTCTTCACCGTAGCCAGCCCTTTGGCTGCTCGCATCCCCCGGAGCGCCGCCCACTTCCCGCTACCCGGCGCCGCCAGCTCGGCACACCCCGCACGTAGCACCTGCTCTAGTCGTAACATGGCGGCCTGCTCCCCCGGGCGCGCCGCCCACCCGCCCGGCCAGGGCCGCCAATCCCACAGCACGTCGTCCAGTAGCCCTGGGCTTCTCGTACGCCAGCAGCCTGCTTTCCCCTGGGCGGCTCATCGACCCCTGCGTCACATCCGTTTACCCAACGTCGTTTCAGTTGCATTAGTCGCTCGGGACGGGAAAGGACACATGGAAGACCCTGAACAAAACCCCGAATAAAGAGCCAAGGCAAAAAGCCAAGAAAAGGCAAGAAAAAGAAGAGAAAAAGAGACGACGGGAGAAATGGAAAAATGGAACAGAAAATAAAACCACAAATTGGAATCCGCAGCGGCAAGAGATAGATGCCTTCCAATATGGACTCGAGAACAAGGCGCTGGAACTGGTCAAGCAGCTGGTGTGAGGTACCTCTACGGTCTTCTCGATGTCTCCGAGTCTCGGAGCTTCATGTTCTCCCACATGCCGCACCCATCGCTCGTTCGCTGTTCAAGGAAGCCTCCGGGGCCGCCTAGGTCAATAATGGCTGGCGACAGGATTGTCACTAGCAGTCTTCCTTTATTTTGAAAATGGCGTGGTTTCTTCTTCCTTGTGCATCCCGATTTGGATTGTGGTGGATTGTGTGACTGTGGGCTTTTGTCCCCAAATAGCGACGACAAGCAACATCACTTGAACAAGACATGGGTTCGCTTCGGGGAAAGTCCACAAACTCAAAGGTTGGTCTAAAAGGTATCTTGCGCACATAACAGTCAGGCCATTGAAGTATTTACAAAGAATGCCCGAAATTTACTGGGCCTTGCTGGCCGCCTTCTCGTGCCGGACATGTCCAACATGGGCGACCGATGACATGATCTCCCCAACACGGCGCCGTCTAGCTGAACCAGTTGTTGGGCGTCCACTCGACGAAGTCGGGCGTGATCTTCTTGATGTCGGGCACGCCCAGGTTGGCGGCGTCGTTCATGACCTCGCTGCGGAACAGGCCGAGGGCGCGCTCGACGCCCTCCTGGCCAAAGACGTTGGCGAACATGACGGGGCGGCCGATGCCGACGGCCTTGACGCCCAGGGCCAGCAGGCGCAGGGCGTCGGTGCCGTAGCGCACGCCGCCGTCGGCCAGGATCTCGATCTGGCCAAAGATCTCGGGCGCCTCGCGGTGGATCTCGATGGCCGTCTCGAGGCTCGACGGGCTGCCGTCGAGGTTGCGGCCGCCGTGGTTGGACAGGATGATGGCGGGGACGCCGTGCTGGACGGCCAGGCGCGCGTCCTGGACGGTCGAGATGCCCTTGAGGATGATGGGCAGCTTGGTCATGTTGCGGAACTTGTCGAGCACCTCCCACGTGTTGGTGATGTACTTGCTGTTGGCGGACCCGACGCTGAAGCGGGCGGCGCGCTGGCGCGACGGCGAGCCGGGCGAGTCGATGGCCCACACGACGGCCTTGGAGCCCGACTTCTCGGCGCGCTCGAACAGGATCTTGTTGCTGGTGTCGTTGTCGTTGGTGTAGACCTGGTTGAAGAACTCGTACGTCTCGGGCTGCCTGGCCGCCGCGATCTGCTCGAGCGGCACAGTGGAGAAGGACGACGGGATGTACAGGATGTTGGCCTTGGAGGCGGCGCGCATGATGTTCAGCTCCGCGTCCGGGTGGCCGTAGTCGGCGCGGGCGCAGGGGGAGATGAAGAAGGGGGAGGAGAAGTTGCGGCCGAGGATGGTGGTTCTGTGGCCCGAGTTAGCTTCATTCCCATTTCATTCAGCTACCTAGGTAGGCCAAAAACTCACGGCAAGCTCGACTCGACCTTGGTTATGTCAACCATGGTCTTGGGCCGCAGCCTGTAGCGGTTGTAGACCTCGAGGTTGTTGCGGTACGAGTACTCGCCGCCGGCGCCGTTACGGTAGTAGGTGTAGTTGAGGCGCGGCAGGTAGTTCCTGGCCGCCCACTGGAAGTCGTTGAGCGCCACCATGTCGGTCAGCTTGGGCAGCGAGCCGACGGGCAGGTTACCCAGGACGTCCAGAATGCCCGTGTCGGGCTCCTCGAGGAAGGGCCGGGCCGCGAGGGCACCGGTCGAGGCCGCAACGGCCGCGAGGACGGTGGACGAGCGCATTTTTTTTTTTTTAGACAGGACGGACGGTGCGACGGGCAGCTAGAGGGATCTCTCCAAGAAGGACAGGGCCGGGCGAGGGGAGATATAGACAGCAAAGAGTGACGATGGGTGGGTAAGGGTGCCTGCTGCCGCGTGCGCGTGAAGGGTGGTGAGTTGGAGGGTGTGGGATGCGACCATGACGCCTTTATATCCCGCCGCTCGCTTGCCCGAAGCAGCCGGCCGGCGCAACCCCGACGCCGATCAGGGATTGCGAGCCCTCGGTTGCAAGCCCAGCTCACATGGAGGGTTACCTGACCGGTAGGTACGTACCAAGCGGGAGGTACCAGGGGCATTACACAGCACCGACCAGACGACGTCCAGGGTCGTGACGCTACCTACTACTCGGCGCGATGCCTCTCCTTGGCGAAATGCGACGTCGGGCAGGCTGGTGGTAGTGGGCAATATGACGGTTGCGGGGGGGGCTATAGCACCAGATGCCGGCTTCGCCGCCAGAGATGCATTCCATTCCGTGGGGCCGGGCCCCTTTCCGGAGGCGATATTGCATGGCCGCGTAGGTGGCAGGCAGTTCCTGGAAGGCAGACGCAGTTCTGAGAAAGTCCAGGCAGTTCCTGGTCCGTCTAGACATGTTTTTTTCGCCCGCCCATCAATGGAACGCCCGTGGTTTTTCCACAAGTCGAGTCGCCCGAGACTGGCGTTTCCCCGTCGTCGGTCCCGCCCAAGACAAGGCCCCAAAAGGAGTATCCAGGTCCGTCCGCCAGGCAGTCCCGCTTCCATGACCGAGAGCCCCACGAATCTTATCGAGCCTGTCCTCCCAAGCCTGCGGTTCCATGCAAGCTCAAACGACGCGCGGCTGCGACCCGACTCGCGTCTGCCGGTGGGCCGTAACCAGCAAGGAAGGAGGTCTGGGTGGCCTGGGTGGCCTGAGTGACGTGAATGGCATCATCCGGAGCGCCATTGTTGATTTTCCGCCTGCTCTGTCAGGCAAGCTCGAGCTACCACCATCGATTGCGGGAAATGACGGGCTGACGACACCTGGCTGACTGAAGGCATGGGTCAGGATTTAGCGGACTTGTGGCCCAGGTTGCTTATGGGCTAGAATTCTTTGGTTTGTCCAGGGTAGATGCAATACTCCTGGCCTCCTCTTCTCCCCTCTGCCCAGCCTGCCGCTCACCGAATCTGACCAAAAAATGACGAGCACCCTTAGGCGAGGCGCTAGCCTGCCAAGGCTGGGGCAGAAGGAGGGAGGCCAAGACTGCCCAGCTCATCGCCCCAGTTCTTGCTGTGCCCGCTGTGAGCAACCCCAGTCTCCAAAGGAAAGACACAGAGAGGCCAATCCAGGGCAGCGCAGGAACGAGGCTCGATCAGACAACCAGCGCGGACCTCGTGACAGCTGTCATCAATGTCAGCAATTTGAATGACTGGGACACCAATAATACCACACTCCGGTACCACATGGCATGGCATGCACTCCACAATGGCACAGCCATCGATATCTGCGCGTTTTCCCTCCTTGCTCCTTGGCTCTCCGTGGCCAAGCCGGCCTCGCAACTTCCACAGGGCGCCCAAGACGATCACCCCTGTCGCCGAGACCAAGGACCTTCTCGATCCAGGAAAGCCTCGGATTTCTCGCATGGCCTTCCCAAAGACCGATGGGCCAAATTGCAGCCAAGACCCCCAGTTTGCACATAAACTTCTGCCAGCAGAGCATGTGACGGCGCTGCCCCTTCAGTGCCACGGCGCCAAGCTGGAGCAGGACGAGACGACTCACCGATAGTGTGCTTTTGTGTAAACGCAAGCAGCGCAAGCAACACACATGCCAACCCCGCCAGAGACCCGCACAGGCCTCCAGTCGAGCGTTGATCAACATCGGGGGCATTCCCAACACGCAACCGCCTGTGCGCGATTAAGCTTCTGTCTCTGGGCTGCCACTCCGCAGGTTGTCATCGGTCGGGACTGGATGGGCGGCATGACGCGAACAAGGTTTACAGCAACAGAAAGACAGAAAAAGTCAACCACGCCCCACAAAAGATGTTTCTTTTGCCCGCGGAGCTGCGCACCCACTTTCTTCTTTCAGCAACAGCTCCGGCGGGTTTTTTTTTCAGGCGGCCGCCGGCGCAATTTTGCTGAAACAGGGGACTCGAGTTTGCGTTCTAGGCCTAGATGGAATGGGCCTGCGTGGCAAACGAAACGGATGGCATGAACCGGACGCCCAGGGATGCTAGCACGCCAGGTAGGTACCAGATGTTAACGAGCATGGGTCCCGATATCATGATTGATCGTCACAGGCACAGGCACAGGCACAGGCACTTCTTTTTTAGTCCTTCTATTTGCGTGCTTTCGCCTTCCCATGGCTGCCGCTGCGCCGCGCCGGTGAGCCCAAGCCACCATGTCGTTGGGGCCGGCATTTTGGTGATGCAAAGGCTCGGCTCGGGAGCTGCCGTCGTCTGGTGTTGTAGGATCGCGCGTGGCGTTTGACATCATTGGCCGGTGCAACTCTCCACAGCCTGCATTTGATCTTGGTATTGCCGCCCGAAACTGGAGACGCCTTTGAGGTCCGAAGCGACTACCAACTCAGCAAACACCAAGACCCGTCGCCCACCCACCATGCCTACCGACCCGAACCCCTGCCTCTTCCAGGCCTTCGAGTGGTACTCGCGAGACGACGGCCAGCACTGGCGGCGCCTGTCCCGCGACGCGCCCCGCCTCGCCGCCCTGGGCGTCACCACCCTGTGGATCCCGCCCGCCGCCAAGGCCGCCTCGGGCGCCAGCAGCAACGGCTACGACGCCTACGACCTGTACGACCTCGGCGAGTTTGACCAGAGGGGCACCGCCCGCACCAAGTGGGGCACCAAGGCGGAGCTCGTCGAGCTAGCCGACGTCGCCGCCGCCCACGGCCTCGATTTGCTGTTCGACGCGGTGCTGAACCACAAGGCCGGCGCCGACGGGACCGACCGCGTCAAGGCGAGGAGAGTCGACCCGGAAGGTCCTGTACCCGTGCCTATACCCGTGCCTGGGTCGCCGTGAGCACTGTTGCGAGCTGTGACTGATGCTGTAGCCCGTCATGTCTACAGACCGTCGCAAGTTTGTCGGCCCAACCGAGGAGGTGGCGGTCTGGACAAGGTTCGAGTCTCACGGCAGCGGGCCTGACTCCTTCCGTTGGTTTCATTCCCACTTCACGGGGGTGGACTATGACGACCTCACGCAAAAGAAGGGCATCTGGCTACTCGATGGCAAGACCTGGGCTGATGATGTCAGCACCGAGTTTGGCAACTTTGACTACCTGTGACTACTGTTTCGCATAGACTCGCTCTGTTCCCTCCCGGGAGTATTTCTGACACTGCGTCGACCCAGCATGTTTGCAGACATTGACCACCACCACCCCGACGTGCGGCAGGAGCTTTTCCACTGGGCCGAGTGGCTGGACGGCGAGCTCCGGATCGGAGGCCTGCGCCTCGACGCCGCAAAGCACTACTCGTGGCAATTTGTGCGCGACATGCTGGCCCACGTCGACGAGGCCAGGCGGAGAAGGCTGGGCGATGGTGCAAAGCCATGGCTCGTCGTCGCCGAGCACACGGGTGACGAGCGAGGGCCCATGGAGAAATATCTCGACCTCTTGCAAGACCGCGTTTCCCTGTTTGACTTCCCGCTGCTGATGAACTTCTGCCGGGCTTCGTACGATCCCAACGTCGACTTGCGCAAGATATTTGCAGGCGCCTTGTGCGAGACAAGGCCGAAAAACGCCGTCACGTTTATTATGAACCATGATACTGTTCGTGACAGCCTTGCCCGACGAGGCGTGTCTCCTTGACAGGTCTACAGATACTGACGCGCTGCATCTCACACCACCCGCAGCAACCCGGCCAAGCAATCGAAGTGCGCACAGAACATCAAACCCGAACCGTGACTCCTCTGCTGACCGACCCCAGACGCCCATCAGCCCATGGTTCGTGCCGGCCGCCTACGCCCTCATCCTCCTGCGCGCCGACGCCGGCCTCCCGTGCGTGTTCCACGCCCACCTGCACGGCTCCCGCGGCCCGTCCCGCGAAAACCCCTTTGCGCCCCCGGGGTCCCTCTCCCCGCCCCTGTGCGGCGGCGCCGTCCTCCCGCGCCTGATGCTGGCCCGACGCCTGTACGCGTACGGGCCGCAGGTCGACTACTTTGACGACGCGGCCTGCGTCGGTTTCGTGCGCCTCGGCCACGCCGACCACGCCGCCGGCGCGGGGCTGGCGGTGCTCATCAACGCGGGCTGGAAGGCCGCCGGCAAGCGGATGCGCGTGGGGAGGCGGGCCGCGGATGCGGGTGTAGGTCGGGGGGATGAGCGCGAGGTGTGGACGGACCTGCTGGGTTGGAGCTGGGGGGAGCTGACGCCGGACGAGGATGGTTGGGCGACGTTCCATGTTGGCCCGCGGAGCGTCGCCGTGTGGGGTCCGAGGGACGCGCCGGGGAGGGAGCTGGTGGATGGCGTTGATGGTGGGAGCCCGCCTGCTGCGTCTGATACGAGTTGAGTGCCGATGATGGCTGAGCGAGTACGGAGACGGGCATGCCCACCACAAGAAAGATGTCAGTCTGACAGGTTTTAAAGAGAATAATTCGTGATGTTGTGCGTTTTTCTCTCCTTATTCTTTTTCCTGTTTTATTCCTAGTCTATTCTTGTTATTTTTCCTTTTCTTGCCTTTTTTTTTTAGTCTTTTAACATTATTCTTTCTATTGTTTTCCCTATTTTTTTTGTTGTTCTAGTCCTCGCAGTCTTTATTTGCTGCGGTGAAACTGCCATCCTTGTTGTGGCAGGCGTGAAGGGCACCGGAGTTGCTATCCCAGAGACCGCAGCCTCGTGACAGATTCATGTGATGTTGGTGTCGGCCCTCACTGCTTGGCGGCAGAATCGATGCTGCCCCCAAAATGTCAAGCCACAACCCAGCCTCCATTATCGGGCACCATGGCGTCAGCTGGAGGCCTGATGCCGATAATTAACCCCGCACCGTCCATCGCCTTCGAGTAGAAATCCCGTATCTTTCTAACCATCTGTTTTTTTGTCTTTCAACACCCTTCCGCCTAATCCAGTTTGGAATCCTCAATTCCAAATCCCTCCTGCCCTTTCCTTCCGCTATCGGGCCGACATGGACCTCTTCACGGGTCCCGGAAGCATCTACAGGCCGCTGCGGGGCTCGGAAATTCGACTTGTCAAGCTGAAGCGGACGCGCAGGCCGGATCAACCCATCGAACTCGAGCTGTTTTACGCGCCTCTAGACACCGCCAAGTTCCTCGCCCTATCGTATCAGTGGGGGAAACCAGGCGAGACGAAAACGATATCCGTCAACGGTACCGAGTTCCCTGTCTTCGAGTCGCTATTTCGTGCACTCGAGAGTCTATACCTCCATAAAATTTCCGACATCCTCGGCGCCGACGTGTTCGAAGACCCAGTCCCAGCGGAGGCGCAGGCGCAGGCACGACAAGATGCCACAGATACCGACACCGATGAGGGCCTCATGGGATGGTGGATCGATGCCATCTGCATCAACCAGGCATCTTTGACCGAGAGGAGCGAGCAGGTGCCCAGAATGGGCAAGATCTACTCGACAGCAGCCAGAGTCGTTATCTGGCCAGGGGATTCATATGCCTTCAAAAGCGACCATCTGAATGCTGCGATCGCCGACGCTACCAAGAAATACTCGCGAATCCGACTGGAACTGCGGCCACAGGTGCAAGCCTCGGCAAACGACGCGGCGGCAGTACGCGACCTCTTAATTCAGTCTATCTTGAAACATGGCCTTGACAGGCCATTATTGATGGAAACTATGTCCGCGATGTACCAAGACCTGACTATCGGTCATTTTTCCCGTGTTTGGACCTTTCAGGAACTCGTTTTGGCCAGATCCAGCCCTGTCGTCTTGCTGGGGATTCACTGCACCTCCCTTCTGTCCCTCGAGTTGATGAGGGCAGGGTGGACGGTGCTAATAGCGGTATCGCCTTATAAGGAGTCCATCTCGATGAAGGACCTGGGGACACTCCAAGGAGGTTTGTTGTCCCGCATTATCATAAAAGGTCGGCAGGTATACGAAGCCCAATCGTCTGGTGACGGGGCTAAAGGCTTCGCAGCTCGTCTCTGTGCCTTTCTTCACTTGTCCTCCGGTCATAGGGGCGCGACGGACCGTCGAGACCGCATATTTGGCATACTAGGCATGGCAAACCTGCCAACGCCGGCGCCCCCCGACATCCAGCCAGATTACACGAGAAGCTTCGAGGATGTCGCCTTTTCTTACGCAAAATTCCTGGTCCTCAACCACGGCCGCCTGGACGTGCTGGCGATGGGGGTCAACTCGCATCCGGGTTATCCCTCATGGGTGCCGGACTTCGACCCCCCAAGTGGGCCCAGGCTCAAGCCCGGGGAGGTTCAGAGCGTCTCATCACTCTCTGCCGACGGGCGGTGCCTCGTTGCGAGAGGCTCACTCATCGGAACCGTCTTGGCGGTCGTCCCGGCCGCGTTTGACACCCTCCTGCCGGATTATGAAGGAGTGAGGGATCCCCAAAGCCAGGATGCCATGGACGCCGCCTTCTCTACCTGGTCCGGCTTTTGAACCAGATCGTCCGGCCTTCAGCAAACCTGCGCTCGGTCGCTCCGGAGCTGGTGGTGAGAGAATGGCTGGATCAACCGCGCGCCGAGGGCAACATCGACGACGACGGCTGCACGGCCGTGGCCTGCTTGGGCCTGACGGAAGCTGCGGGTCACGCTTGCAGCGGTGCGTTGTACGATGCATTGCAATGCCTGCGGACCTATTTCATGGCGATCCGTTGCCTGCTGCTGGACGACGGCCACGTCCTGCAAGGCCCCCAGTATCAGTGTCAGGACCCGGAGCCGGGTGACGTGGTATCCGCCATCAGGGGCATGGACGAACTTGCGGTTCTCCGCCGGCTCGGGGTGGGCAGGGAGCCGGAGGGCTTCCAGATCATCGACGCGCGTTGCCGGGGCACTGCTTTCCCGGCTGGCCCGGTCACTGAGGATGTTTTCACGAACAGGGCAGAAAGGGATTTTCACATTTGGTAAGGGGCAGGCACTGCCACCTTTTTTCTTTCTGGTGCACTTTTCCAGCTTCGCACTATATCGGTGCGTTGCAGCGTTTGTGATGGGCCTGGCCCCGTCTTGCTTAGGTGTCTAGGTAGGTACCTAGGTAATTATTGCAAGCCATAGCAGATGAATCGGTTTTTTTTTTGGTTTTTTTGGTTTTTTTGGCAACTATACATCCCGCCACTGTCACCAGCTCAGACCATCGCGCCTCTGGGCTACAAGGCTGGGGATACAACAAAAAAAACGGAACGATTATTAAGACGACTCCGGTCTCGACTTCGGTTTGCCCTTGATCAGCCTCTTTAGTTCCTCTTGCAATCCAGGATACCTCCTCTATCTCTTGGATCCGCAACAATCTCTGCTCACTGCGCTGCGAGTCGTTACGCCTCATATCTCTGTCCTGGCTGTGGGTCGAGGACCGCATGTGCCTCTTGCTGTCTCTTTCCGGGTCAGCTTGCTGACGGCTTTTGGTCGAATGGACTTGACTTTTCAGCGATGCCACGGCACTGGGGATGCTCTTGATAGCCCGGCCCTGCGCTCGGGAGGTGGTTCCTACAGGCTAGTCCAGCTCGTACACCTCTCTACTGTTGGGCAGATTCCGGTTGTTGTCTTGCTTGCCAAGCTCGTGCGGCCTCTCCACCTCCATCAGCTCGGGCTTGAGCGATAGAGCCCCCGCCACGGCTCCAGGGGTGGAGCCGTACCCTGGACAGCCTTCTAGCTCGGGCTTTCCGGGAGTCTGGTGGATGCTACTGCGGCCTCGCCCGTTCGGCAGCAGCCGTCGCCGGCGGCGGCGGCAGTAGCAAAATAGGATGACCCCGGATAGCAGCACAAGGAGGATTGGGGCCACGATGACGCTGGCAAGCGCGGGGGTACCAAGTGCAGGAGTGCCATGCCCACCAGGTATGCTGGGTTGTATAGATGACCGGATGGTATCGCAGAACGCCTTGGAACATTCTAGCACGCAGCTGGAATTTTCCGGGTGAAATCTGACAAAGGAGATGGCACACTCCTTGCCAGTCTCGCACTCGAGGTTGCATCTGGGCGCCTGGGGTGAGCATGTCAGGCAATCCAGCACCTGTCTTGGTAGCAGGCCCGTATGGGGAACTTGGGGAGGAAGGAGGTGTTAATTAGATCCAGGATGCTTAATCAGGTCGCAGTGGCTTACTGTTGCCGGTGTTGGTATTCGCCTGATGCATGTTGGCCAGAGGGAAGTCTGGCAGGGAGGAACGACTGAGTGGCAGGCAGCTGAGGGTTTGACGATTTTGGTAGAAAGGACGAACTGTCCGGACGTGGAGAATATACGCGATGGGGCAGGTTTGGGGCAATTTCACGGAAGAATGCTGCGAGAGGGCCACAGGATTTACCTCTTGAGATACAAGTAAGATGGGTATGTCCACAGCCACAATCCATCATCTTGGCCCCTTTTTGGTATTGGTGGGTGTTGGGGGCAGGGTAGTATCCTTCCCTTTACGGACCCCATCGTGAGATTAGCCCTCGGCTGGGCCACGCGCTGGGCTCGCGACGCCGTGGAAATGCATCTGTCTAAAGAGGATGAAACGTGGAAACTCGGCTGGCTGGGTGTTTGCGTTGTGCTGCGTGAGAGCATGGGGGCGATAGATGTGCATGTGCCAAGGCCAACTAGATCGGACCCTAATACGCCGCATGTTCCTACCCTTATCCTCCCGTTCCCCATGCGAGCAGGCTAATCCTTCACATAACCTAGCACGCCAGCACCAAAAAAGAATGACAGTCCCAGCTAAGTAATAGAAGGGCTGCTAGGCCTGAGGAACAGAATCAGGAACAGGAGTAGTAATAGGAAAAACAACAAGAATAAATACAACAGTAAGAAAAGGAGTAGTAATAGAAGTAAGAATAGGAGCAAACCCTGGAACACGCAAAATATCAACATATAAAAGTTTAAATGGAGTCGCAGGAGGCGTGGAGATGGAATTTATACAGCAGCCCTTCATGCGGCCGCAGCCTGCTCTTTGAAACCCTTGAGCATCGCCGCCAACTTCCCTGCCCCATCCTCGCCCAGCATCATCTGGAACGTCTCCCACGACTCGCCCGCCTTTTCCTTTGTGCGCCCAAACATCTTCGTCTCGAAGTCCCGGAGCAGCGGCGCCAGCCCCTCCGCAAAGCCGGCCGACGGCTCCATGGCCGTGGCCGCGGCAATGGCCTCGGACAGCTCGAGGGCATCGGCCATGCCCATGTTGACGCCCTCGCCGACGGGCATCATCAGGTGCGCCGCGTCGCCGATGAGGGTCACGCCGGGCTGCGGGGCCCAGGCGTGGCCGATGGGCAGTATGGCGTGCGCCTTGAGCAGGATCGGGCGGCCGGGGGTGGTGGCCGCGGCCTCGTCGCAGGCCGTGGCGATGAGCTTCTTGAGCAGGGGGCCCCAGGACGAGAAGTTCTGGGCGCCGCTGCCGCTGTCGCTGTCGAGAAGTCGGGCCTTGAGCGCCAGTGGCTCAAAGGGGATGTCGACATCTGTCTGGGTCGCTGCGCTGGTGTTTTCTTCACTCCCAGTGACTGTCATGGCGGTTTCTGGGACAATGACGAAGAACCAGGCGGAATCCTGCGACGTGCGCTGGGTTGCGATGGCCAGGCCGGGCCCGCCGAGGGCCATCATGGTGCCGGGGCCGATGTACTCGGCCAAATCCGGATGGCGACCTGCCATGTCCCGAATGCTCAAGGTGGCATATCGGAAGCCAACTCCTTTTGGCCGCACGTCCGTCAGAAGCGGCCGGACCCGCGACCAAGCGCCGTCGGCGCCCACGACCAGATCGAACTCGCTACTGGCGATCTCGCCTGCCTCTCTGGCAAAGCGCAGGACAGTGCCGGTCCCCGATGTGTTGGTCCTGGCCGCTCCCAGAACTTTGGTGCCCCACTGCACGGCATCAGCCGGTAGGGCCGACAGCAAGAGGCCTGTGAGGGCGTTGCGGGATATCTCAGGGCGGCCCTTGCCGGGCTCCTCGGTGTGCAGGTAGTCGCCGTTGGAGTCGGCAACGAGCATGCACTCGGCGCACTCGCCGGTCAGGGGGAAGAAGCGGTCCGCCAGCCCGCAGGCGCGGATGGCGGCCAGCCCGGACTCCTCGTGGAGATCCAGCATGCCCGTCGGCTGAGAGAGCTCGGCGTCGGAGGGGCGCTGCCGGAGCTCGTAGACGGTCGGGTGCAGGCCCTGCTGGTGCAGAAGGACGGCAAGCGTCAGCCCAGAGGGGCCGGCGCCGACGATGGCGATGGTGGGTGTTGAGGAGCTACCCATGGTGTGACTCGCCGTAGCTGGTAGCTAGGGAGGATTGGATGGATAGTGGTGACAAGATGATGGGAGATGCTAACTAAAACATCAACAGCCCACCTGCCAAGGACGGACCGGGACTTTATACCTGGCAAAGAGATGTAGACGCTAGTAGAGCCTGGGTTACAGCTGATGCCTATTCCTAGCGTGGTGGGCCTCGCCGGTATAAGCGGGCTTTATCTCCGTGTCTACACCAAAGCATTCGGCCGAATTCCCAGACAGCTAACCCCACCAATCAGCGGCCCCCTATCCCCGAGTAGTGTACACTCCCTGCGCCGTCTCGTGATATCCGAGCTTGCCAACCAGCAACGTCAGCTCGCTCCTCCACTCCTCCCCCCTGGCCACCTTCTCGACAGCCCGCTCGATTGTGTACTCTGGCCGCCACCCGAGGTCTCGCATAGCCCTGGACGCATCGTAAACGCGGTCCACCGTCGGCAGGAACTCCCAGCCAGCCCGCGCAAACGCCGCCTCGATGCCCGGCACGCACTCCTTGTACACCGCCGCCGCCTCCCCGCCGCCCAGCCGCCGCAGCGTCTCGTCTTGGCGCCCAAACGGCGTCGGCGCGCTGACGACGTAGCGGCCCCAGAACGGGCCATCACCGCCGCCACCGGAGGCGGTCCGCATGGCGCACACGCACGCGCCCACCACGTCGGCAATGTCGACGCGCCGGTGCGCCAGCTCCAGCACCTTGAGGTTCCCATCCTGCGGCGCGGCCGCCCGGCGCGCGTCGTCGTCGTCCTCCTCGGGGAAGAAGCGCGCCGTGCGCAGGACCACGGTCGGCATGCCCGCCTGCGCGTGCACCAGGCGGCACAGGTCCTCGGCCGCCGTCTTTGTGGCGCCGTAGATGTTCTTGGGCACTGGCGCCACGTCCTCGTCGATCCAGGCCGCCCGGCCCGCCCGGCCGCTCAGGGCGTGGCCGAAGGCGGACGTGGTGGACACAAAGACGAAGGACTTGATCCCGTCTCGCCCCTGGGCATCGCGCGTGGCGGCCGCCGCCTCGAGGAGGTTGAGGGTGCCGGTGATGTTGACGTCGACAAAGTCGGCCTTGGAGTGCGACCCCACGTGCGGCTTGTGCAGCGTCGCGGCGTGGATGACGTGGCGGAGGCCGGGGTTCTCGCGGAACAGCGACTCGACGAACGAGCGGTCCGCGATGGAGCCCTGGCGATGGGTCGTCTCCGAGGGGAGGACGTCTGCCCCGAGCGGCGTGTGGCCGTGCGAGTGCAGAGACAGCATGAGCGCGCGGCCCAGATGGCCCGAGGAGCCCGTCACAAGGACGTCGGGCGATGTATGATGACGCATATCCAAGTAGGTAGTCTGGCCGGGGACGTGATGCTGTTGCAAGCGAGAAGGGGGAGCATTGCCTTTTATGGATGCCGCGTTTGCTGATGCGTCAAGCTTGGATGAGTCACAATGACTAGCACCTAAAGGGGGCATCGCCTTTCACTTGGCGTACCGCTCCCTCAGGCTCGCGGAACACAACGAGAATGCTTGGCTTGCCCCGGATGAAGATGTTCTTCTTCATGGCGCTCCTGTTGGCCGACCCAGCCGCAAGCTAGACCTTCAAGTCCCAAACGAGGTGGCTCAGCATCACCCTCATTTCGCCATTTGCAAGACTTGAAGAGGAGCTGGCTAGCATTAGTGACACGGCAAAAGAGTCGCAAGGCAGGACCTACTCCTTAGGATACGCAAAATTGCAATATTTTTGGTGGGCATGGCAGCCAGCCAGGAGCCCCGAACAAAAACCTCAATGAACCCCGCCCCCAAACTCCAGCTCCATGCTTCTCCACCGACATCACCAACAAACGATTAAACACCACACCATGTCTCCTTCCTCCCTTGCGCCTGCATCTGCCCACCCCTATCTAGTGCCATTTGCGTCAATAAGCCGCTTAAAACCCGTTCACGATGGTCGCCCGATTCATTGAAGTCGCAGATTTACCTTCGTGCTCAACACCGACAACAACATCGTTCTCACCGCTGTTGCCAAAGCCCAGGGCCCCAGTTTACCACCACTAGAAGCTATCCCATCCAAGCCCGCTATGCCCGCCACGCCGCTTCAACTCGTTCCTCATTACCCCTCCAGGTAAAGCAAATTGGCATGGATATAGCCACGGTGTTACGGGACCAGACCAAGGTAGTACCCGTTACACCAAAGCAAAAGAGGAACGTTGTTGTAGCTGGGGCTACAACCATGCGAGGTCCTTATAAGCGATTGTACCGTGACACACGGCCTTAAACACTTTTTAAAAAATTAAAAATTAAAAATTAAAAATTAAAAAATTAAAAAATTAAAAAATTAAAAATTAAAAAATTAAAAAATT